GGTTAAAGCCCCAGTCTGCAGCTCCAGGATTTCTTATGGGTGCCAGTTTGAGTCCCAGCTGCTTCTCTTCCAATCCTCCTCCCTGCTAATGCGCCTGGGAAAGCAGCAGAGGATGGCCCACGTGCTTGGACCCCTGCACCTACATAGGAGACCTAGAAGAAGCTCCTGGCTCCTGGCTTCGGCCTAGCCCAGCCTTGGTCGTTGCGGCCATTTAGGGAGTGAACCGGCAGATGGAAGTCCTCTCTGTCTCTGTCTCTCCCTCTCTAAAACTCTGACTCATCTAGGCAGTCTGCAGTGGGTGCCAGTGGGCATCCTCTGATCTAGTTCAGTCCTGATGCTGTCTACCTGGACGTCACATCAGATCCCACATCTTCGGACTCAGTCCCACAAAACTTCCCCCACTCCAGATGCAGTCACAAGTCTGGGCCTCTAGGACTTCTGACCAACTGGCGTCATTGATCTTTTTTCATTCGATTCATTTCTGAGCAGTGCGCAGAACTTGAAGAACCCTTATGTTTATCAGTTTACTGTAAAGGACTTTTCAAAGAATACAAATACATAGCCCAGTGAAAAGATACATAAGGCACCTTCCAGGATGGCCCGAGAACACAAGCTTCCACCCTCTCAGCACAGGAGTGAGCTCTTCCTCCAACGCTCAGCTCTCCAAAAGCTCTCTGAACTCCTGGTCTTTGAAAGGCAGCGTGACAGGCTCGCCCCGGCTGGTTCATTTCTGAACTCCTGGTCTTTGAAAGGCAGCGTGACAGGCTCACCCCGGCTGGTTCATTTCTCACATGCCTGGACTCGGAGCCAGGAGCTCAATCCAGATTTCCCGCATGGATGGCAGGAACCTGATTGCTTCCACTATGAATACTGCCTCCCAGGGTCTGCACGAGCTGGAAGCGGAGTCAAACCCAGGCATTTCAATATGGGACCCCAGTGTCTTAACCATTAGGGCAAATGCCGAGCCCTCCTTTTGAGTTTGTTGTGAGGCCTCTATTACATAGGTGTGGTTGGAGCACGGGCAGCCAAGGAGAAATATGATTGCGTACAGTGTAATTTAACAGACTAAGAAAACCCAACAAGGCCTGTCTTGTTCAAACTCTTCATGGCCTCTCTGAGTATTATCCTTCCTCCTGATAGGGAGGTTATGTGATCTGTCAGACAAGATAGATCAGACTCTTTCTCTATGACCAACTCCAAGACAGAAAGGAAGGAGATTACAGTATTGGGGACATTTGGTGCAGTAGTTAAGACGCTGATTGGGATGCCAACATCCCATATTGGAGTACCTAGGTTCCACTCCCAGCTCTACTTCCTATTCAGTGTCCTGGTTGTGACCGGCTTGGGAGGCAGCTGGTGATGGTTCAAATAATTGGGTCTCTGGCACTGACAGGGGTTACGTGAATTGAGTTCCTGGCTGCCAGGCATCTGGGGAGTGAACCAAGAGATGGGGTGCTCTCTCTCTTCCTTTCTCTTCTCCATCATTCCCAACCCCCGCCCCATTTCTCTCTCCCTCACAAATAAATTTTTCAACTGTATAGTAATTTTCCAGTATTTTTAATGTCATTTTCCACTATTTATTTGTATTCTTTGAAATGTCCTTTATAGTAAACTGATAAACATAGGGGTTCTTCAGGTTCTGCGCACTGCTCAGAAATGAATCGAATAAGAGACCTTCTTGTATTTCTTGGTTTCTGTGACCCGCCTTGGGGAAGAGAAACTCTAGTTTCTGAGTCTCACCTTGGGAAGGAAAAGGGGCAAGAAAAAGAGAGAGGTCAGAAAGAGACTGCTTCTTGAGCCTTAAAACACTCCAGCATCATAACTAAAGACCCGTTCACCTTCATCACTGTGGCACTGCTTCAGGAACCAAAGACAAAAGGATGGATGTTGTGGCATAGAGGTGTAAGCTGCCGCCTGCAATATGGGCATCCCATATGGGTGCCAGTTCGTGTCCCAGCTGCTCTACTTCCTATCCAGCTCCCTACTAATGCACCTGGGAAAGCAGCGGAAGATGGCCCAACGGCCTGGGCCCCTGCCACCCAAGGGAGAGACCCAGATGCAGCTCCTGGCTTCAGCCTGGCTCAGCCCTGGACGTTGCAGGCCTCTGGGGAGTAAACCAGCAGATGGAAGATCTCTGTCTCTTCCTCTGTCTATCTCTGTCTTTCAAATAAATAAATCTTTAAAAAAAAGAAAGAAAGAAAGAAAACCCATGCTTATTTTTCTAGTCATTTTGGCAATAGCAGGGGCTGTAAGAGGTATGAGCCAGGAGCTGTGGATGTCATGATGATACCTCAGCTATCTTAGTGAGTTTCATAAGGAAGTAAAGTGTATTATGTGCTGTGACCTGCTGCTGCTCGCCTGCCCAACATCTTCAGCATGTGCTCCTGCGTGCATTGCTTCTCCAGCAGATGGCAGCAGCTCACTGCTAACCGCAGCCCTGACTGCTCTGTGGCTGCTCCATCTGAGTCTGTTGACACTGGAGGAAACATTTGAATGCGCTGATAAAGACTGTGCAAAACATTGATTTTAGGTAAAGTGAGAAAGGATTGCTAGTACTGTGGAAGAAAAATCACATTTAGTGCACAACATGAATACAAAATGATAATTAAGTAGTGAAACACATTAAGGAAGAGCTTAATGATAGGATCATGTGGAGGTTTTTAAACTGTATTAGGAGTTTCCATTTTGATCCAAGAGCAGTGGATGAAGTTTAAGCCAGACATCATTGAACATATTGGGGGTGGGGGGGCAGCACTGTGGAATAGTGTGGTAAAGCTGCTGCTTGCGATGCTGGCATCCCGTATGGGCAACAGTTCGAGTCCTGGATCCATGTCTCATCCAGCTCCCTAATAGGGAAAAGCAGCGTAAGGTGGCCCTAGTGCCTGGGGCTCTGCCAGCCACATGGGAGACCTGGAAGAAGCTCCTGGCTCCTGGCTTCAGCCTGGCCGAATCCCGGCTGTTGTGGCCATCTGGGGATTTAACCAGCGGATGGCAGATCTCTCTGTAGCTCTGGCTTTCAAATAAATAAATCTTTAAAAAAAAAAAAAGATACTGAAAAGAGAAGCCGTGAATTTTAAAATATATGTTGAGCATCCCTAATCCAAAAATCTAAAATTTTAAATTCTCCAAAAGCCTAAAATTTTGAGCTCTAACACAGCACCATACCTGATCTCATATGGCGAGTAACAGTCAAAATTCAGGCAGACTAATATTGTATAAAATTACTTCCAGGCTGTGTGTGCAAGGTGCTATGAAACTTAAGTGGATTTTGTATTTAGACTTACGGTCCATCTCCAAGATATCTCATTATGTGTATGCAGATATTCCAACCACGAAAAAAAATCCAAAACATGTCTGGTCCCACGTGTTTCAGATGTGGGACATTCAACCTGTAATATTTACAGAATGTGAGCAGACAGATGGCTCATCTAGAATATATGAAGAGTTCCTATAAATCAGTAAACAAGAAAAAGACAAAACAATGGAAAAATTGATAAGGACTTGAACAGCCACTCACAAAAGGAATTTCAGGTGGCTAATAAATCTGGAAAGCTGCGCAATCTCATTAGTTTTGATGCAAGTTAATATCACAGGAAGGAATCACTACACATCCACGTGATTGGTAGGCATCTATAAATCTGATAATACGAAGGGTTGACAAAGGACTTCCCCAGCAACAGAACACTGTGGGAGTAAATTGACAACCATCACTTTGGAAGTCTACAGTTAAGTGAGAGATAATGTACCCTGGAACCCAGATTTTCACTCTGAGATAAAAACCACGCATAGTGTAACAGTATCTTTTATACAAGAACATTCTTAGCAGCACAGGTTTTAACTGCCAAAAACTAGAGCCAGCACGAATGCTCAACTGGAGAGGGACTAAGCATGCGAAGGTAGTTCCACCCGGTGGTGCACCAGGGAACAGCACCAGTGAGGGCACAACAGCCTCATGGGGTTTTGTCTGAGGGTTTTCTTTTGTTTTTGCTTTGTTTCTGTTTTGAGAGAGACAAAGAGAGCTCCCATCTCATGGTTCACTTCCTGAAAGCCCACTATGGCAGGGCACAGGCACAGTCAGGAGCCAGAAACTCAATCCAGGTCTCCCATGAGGGTGGCAGGGACCCAGTTACTTTGACCATCACCCGCTACCTCCTAAGATGCACATTAGCAGTAAGCTGGAATCAGAAGCTAGAATGGGGAATTGAACCCAGGCACCTCTGTATGGGATTTGGGCATCTTCACTGTTAGGCCATATGCCTTCCCCAAAAGTAAGTGTGTGTGTGTGAGAGAGAGAGCCAGAAGCTTCTTCTGGGTTTCCCACGTGAGTACAGGGGCCCAAAGACTTGGGCCATCTTCCATTGCTCTCCCAGGTGCATTAGCAAGGAGCTGGATCTGAAGTGAAGCAGCTGGGACTTGCTTGAACAGGCACCCATATGGAATGCCTGCATTGCGGGTGATGGTTTAACTCGTTACACCACAATGCCAGCCTCCACAATAAAAAGTTTTAAAAGTATACACACACTAGATGTTGTTTTGTTTTTAAGATTTATTTATTTATTTGAAAGGCAGAGTTACAGAGAGGCAGAGATAAGTCTTCTATCCACTGGTTTACTCCCCAAATGGATACAACAGCCAGAGTTGGGCCAATCTGAAACCGGGAGCTAGGAGCTTCTGGTCTCCCATGTGGGTGCAGGGGCCCAAGCACTTGGGCCATCTTCCACTGCTTTCCCAGGCCATAGCAGAGAGCTGGATTGGAAGTAGAGTAGCTGGGACTCGAACTAGCACCCATATGGGATGCCATCACTGAAGGTGGCGGCTTTACCCTGTTCACTACCACACCAGCCCCACACTGGCTGTTTTGAGAATAGATTATAGTGGGCAAAAATGGAAACATAGGATAGGAGTAGGGGTTTGGTCCAGGATCATACAGATAGAGAAACAGGTCCCAGGGGAAAATGTAATAGGACTTCCTGATTGTTTCCTCTTGTTCTTTGTGACAGTTCATAAGCCGGAAAAGGTCACGTGGACAGAAGCAGCTGGAACCATCCGAGACGGAGTGCGAGCCTACACCGCTCTGCATTATCTTTCTCATCTCTCTCCAGGAAAATCAGTGCTGATCATGGATGGAGCAAGTGTAGGTGCTGATGATTTTGTCAAGAAACAGACTAACATACCTGAACGCGAGGGATTTTGAAGGGAGCCATCGTCTATTTGCTGATGCCACTCTTTGCCAAACAGTCGCATGTTCTCTGATTTTGTTCCCAACCTCCTGTTTTGTTACAGTAAGCAGCTTTTATTACTAGGAGATAAAAGTTAGATTTAGTGTGAGTAGTTTCTTATTACGTGGGAGCTGCAAGTACATTAAAAAGCAGACAGGCCGTTTTGATTCATTCCTGTCGCACAAAACCTGAAATAGCTGGAGCCTTTGATGTCATACTTCAGAGCTCTGTACCAGGTTGGTTTCATATCCATCACACACTTATGGCAATAAAGTATTGCTGTTCTATAGATAGATTACACACAAGTCTAAAATGTGCTAACTTAAATATATTACCTGTATCATTAAAAAAATTGAAATTGCTTTTAGAATATGTAAAAATAATTTAATCTGAGGGCAGGTATTTGTCCTAGTGGTTAATATGCCCATGTGCCATATCTAAGTGCCTGGCGTCAAGTCCTGGCCCCACTCCCAGTTCCGCTTCCTACTAATATGTATCCTGAGAGGCAGCAGGTGTTGGCCTAAGTAGTTGGTGCCACGAGGGAGACCAAGGTGGAGTTCCCAGGTCCCAGCTTTAGCCTTGCCCACCCTGGCCACTGGGGTATCTTGAGATGGAGGCTCTCTCTCTCTCTGCCTATCTGTCTCTTTCTCTCTCTGTCTCTCTTTCAAATAAACAAAAATATGTGTAAAGTATTGTACAGATGTCACAGAAGTTGGGATGAAGTTAGTTTTTTCTGCCTGGCTGTTAAAGATGGTTTCTCCCCTGCGTGTCACTGGAAGGCTGACAGCAGTGCTCTCAGCATTCTCTCGGTGTCCACCCTCAGGACAGACTGTTTCCCTGACCTCACTCCATAGACCCAGACGAATGGCCCTCCTAAGTGCTCTGATAGGTAGAGTGCTAGCTGGGCTCCGTGTGTACTGTAGTATATATAATAAATATGTAGCGATACATACACTAGCTATATAGAGATATATTTACTATGTAATATATAGATAGATATAGATAGATACCTGTCTATAAATTAGGTCAGGCCATCGTGGTAACAAGCCCGTGTTGCTGAGTGTGGCCCTCCATTCTTGAAATTCTGTGCTAAGTAAGGCAAGACTAAGCGAGAGCATGTGATGGATGCAACTTCCCCACCAGCCCTGCTGAAGGAGAAAGCAATCAAACGTTTCCCCTCCTGATACTGTGCAGATTTTTCCTCTTTTTCTATTATATAACACTTAAAAAGATAAAGTGACGCTTAACAATTATAGTTTATAAAATAATCAGTTTCGGACAGCGCCGCGGCTCAATAGGCTAATCCTCTGCCTTGCGGCGCCAGTACACCGGGTTCTAGTCACGGTCGGGGCGCCGGATTCTGTCCCGGTTGCCCCCCTTCCAAGCCAGCTCTCTGCTGTGGCCTGGGAAGGCAGTGGAGGATGGCCCAAGTGCTTGGGCCCTGCACCCCATGGGAGACCAGGACAAGCACCTGGCTCCTGGCTTCAGATCAGTGCCGTGCGCTGGCCGCAGTGTGCTGGCCGCAGTGGCCATTGAGGGGTGAACCAATGGAAAAGGAAGACCTTTCTCTCTGTCTCTGTCTTTGTCTCTCTCTCTCACTGTCCACTCTGCCTGTCAAAAAAAGAATAAAAACACACAAAAAAAGAGAAGGAAAAACAATCAGTTTCAGCAGTGTGTTGTAGTAAAGTAAGCCACCACTTGGGATACCATCATCTGATATCAGAGTGCCAGTTTAAGTCCCAGCTGCTTTGCTTCCAAGCCAGCTACCTGCTAATGAGGCTGGGGAGAAAGTAGAAGATGGCCCAAAACGTTGGGCCCCTGCCACTCATGTGGGAGATTAGAATGGAGTTCTTGGCTCCTGGCTTTAGCGTGGTCCAGCCTTGGCTGTTGTGGCCTTTTGGGGAGTGAAGCAATAGATGGAAAATGGATTCTCTCTCTCTTCTTCTTCTTCTCCTCTCTCTCTCTGTGTCACTCTGCCTTTCAAATAAATGAATCTTTTTCAAAAATCTATAAAACATAAATTAGAGATGGCCCCTGCCCTATATGTATAAACCCACTGTATTTTTTATCCACACAGGCGTTTGGCACAATAGCTATTCAGTTAGCACACCATAGAGGAGCCAAAGTGATTTCAACAGCATGCAGCCTGGAAGACAAGCAGTGCCTCGAAAGACTTAGGCCTCCTGTAGGTGGGTAATAATATCAGCACAGAATTTAAGCCTGGAATGTGAAGGGAAACCACCTAGTAGACTGCTCTGGTAAAAACAAAGTATAAAATTCCAAGTAAAAGTTTTAAAATGCACTTAGCACAGCGAATGTTTGGCACGGTAGATGTCCACATCCCGTATCACAGTGCACGGGTTTAAGTCCTGACTCCACTTCCAATTCTGGTTTCTTGTTAATGCACACCCTAGGAAGCAGCAGGTAATGACTTGAGTTCTTGGATCCCCATGTGGGATACCTGGGTTGAGGTTTGGGCTTTGAGTTTCAGCCTGGTGCAGCCACGGCTATTACAGCCATTTGGGGAGTGAAGCAACAGATGGACAGTCTCTGTCGAACCATCTCTGAAAGAGAGAGAGACAGACAGACAGTCTTCCATCTACTGGTTCAACCACCAGCCAATTGGTTACAACAGCCAGGGCTGGGCCAGGCCGAAGCCTGGAGCCAGAAGCTTCTGGGTCTCCCACAGAGGTGCAGGGCATCTTCTGCTGCTTTCCCAGGCACATCAGCAGGGAGCCAGATTGGAAGTGGAGCAGCCAGGACTTGAACCAGCGCCCATGTGGGATGCTGGCACTGCAGGTGGAAGCTTAACCTTCTACACCACAGCACTGGCTCCCACAAACTTTTTGAAGTACTGTAGTACAAGGACTGGACAAATAAGGAAAGAGAAGAGATTTGAAAATAGAGAAAGGGAGCAGAAATGGCATTGTTGAAAGGAAAGCTTCTATTGTTGAATTCTGCCTTTCCTGTCACCAGAGTCCCCTCTTCTGTGCTGTCATACCCTTCCCCTCGACCAAGTCCTAGTCTACTGTCAGACTATAGCTGTGGCCACGTAGCTCTGAGAAGAATTAGCAAAACGTGAAGGTGATAGAAGATACAAAAGCAGGAGCAGGTATTTGGCCCAGCAGTTTAGATAACTGTATCCCGTGTCAGAGGACCTGGTTTGATTTCTGGCATGCTGATGCACACCCTGGGAGGCAGCAGGGGACAGCGAAGCATTCGAGTCCCTGCCACTACATGGGAGACCTGGATTAAGTTTCTGCCTCCCAGCTGCATGCATTGGGGAATGAACCAACAGATGGGAGTGTGCATGCACTCTTGCTCTCTCCCTCTCTCCCTCTCCCCCCTCCCCCACTCCCCTTCCCTCTCTCTTTCTGCCTCTAAAATAAAAAAAGATACAAAAATGAAATATAAATGTCTTCGTTTGCCAGTTTAAATTTTTATAATTTTTTAAAAGATTTATTGTACTTATTTGAAAGGCAGAGTTAGGGAGAGAGAGAAAGAGATCTATCTGCTGGTTCACTCCCCAAAGGGATACAACAGCTGAGCCTGGATCAAGCCACAGTCAGAAGCCAGGAGCTTCTTCCAGGTCTCCCACTTGGGTGGGAGGGGCCCAGACATTTGGGCCGTGTTCTGCTGCTTGCCCAGGTGCATGAGAAGAGAACGGCATTGGAAGTGGAGTAGCTGGGAATGAACCAGCACTCACACTGGATGCCGCCATTGCAGGTGGCAGGTTTACCCCATGCCACATGCAGGCTCTAATTCTTATAATTTTTACCTTCAATAATTTGCTATTTTATCTATATAATTAACTATAGTAATAATACTTTAAAGCAACAAGTTAAAATTAATTTGTCACCAATTCTGCTAAGAATAACATGTCAGAAGACCAGTCTTAGACAACCTAATCCACCAAAGGTTTACATTTTTGTTTTATTGAATGTACCAGTGTCTTCATTTTGCTGATCCTTATCAGTAATAGGTTAGATGAGAAAAATACAATTTGAATGGACTTCTTTTCCCCTTTGACTTCCATAATGATTTTATCTGCTTCTCATTTCAGAGAGTGGATGTTTGTTTGCCTTTCTTTTTCCCTGTGTTGTTCGTGTTGCTGGCTCTATACAGAACAGTACAATTTCCTATCTCCTGTCCTTCACAGCCCGAGTGATTGATGTATCTAATGGGAAAGTCCATGTTGCTGAAAGCTGTTTGGAAGAAACGGGTGGCCTGGGAGTCGACATTGTCCTAGATGCTGGAGGTATGTACCTCATTAAGTCAAATTAGGAAATGATTTTTAATGTACTTATTAAATCGGATGTTTAGTTTTGGATTTTTTTAATTTGTGACAGCAAGTTAGACAGTGAGAGAGAGAGACAGAGAGAAAGGTCTTCCTTTGCCATTGGTTCACCCCCTCAAATGGCCGCCAGGTGCATTCTCCTGGTCTCCCATGGGGTGCAGGGCCCAAGCACTTGGGCCATCCTCCACTGCACTCCCGGGCCACAGCAGAGAGCTGGACTGGACGAGGGGCAACCAGGACTAGAACCCAGGGTACTGGCGCCACTGGCGGAGGATTAGCCAAGTGAGCCGTGGTGCCAGCCTGGATTTTATTTTTAACTGAAGGTGTGTCTATTTTAATAGTAGCTTCTTCCCTTTATTCCCATTGTCCTCTCTGGAAGAGAGACTATTCTTTTGCCTTTTAAATTAGACCCTTTGAAATTTCAGTAACAAATAGTACTGTCCCCCTGAGGAGCCTGTAAAGGTGATCTCAGTGGTTCCTGGACAATGCAGATTATCTCCGCGTGCTTCTTCACAGTCATTTTGGCTACGTGAACCCTCCAGTATAGCATAGCTGCTTCCCAGTCTCTGAAAAGGCTCAAGAAGTTTGTTCCATTTTCACTTTTTGTGAACTTTTCATGAACTGATCCAAAGCCAGGAGCCAGGTGCTTCCTCCTGGTCTCCCATGGGGTACAGGGCCCAAGCACTTGGGCCATCCTCCCCTGCCTTCCCGGGCCACAGCAGAGAGCTGGACTGGAAGAGGAGCAACCGGGACAGAATCTGGCGCCCCGTCCGGTACTAGAACCTGGTGTGCCAGCGCCGCAGGCAGAGGATTAGCCAAGAGAGCCACGGCACCGGCCAACTTCCGGCACTTCTAAAGGACGGATTTTAGTGTCAGTGTTGTGATGCAATAGGTTAGGCTGAACTTGAAACCCTGGTTCCAATCTAGGCTTCTTGGCTTCCAATCCAGTTTTGTATTAATGTGCCTGTAAGGGCAGTGGATCATGGCCCAAGTACCTGGGTTCCTGCCACCCACAAGGGAGACGGGTGGAGTTCCTGGCTCTGGCTTCAATCTGTCTCAGCTCTAGCTGTTGTGGCCATTTGGAGAGTGAACAGATGGAAGATCTCTCTCTATCACTCTGCCTTTCAAATAAATAAATAAATAAATTTTTTTAATGAAAGGTTTTACAAGCCTGGAAAGTGCTCCTATTTTAACTTTGTTTTCAGTACAGCTGGGGCTATCATGTGTTTCTTTTTAACCAGTATTTTCAAGAGTTGAAATTAACTCAGAGGGCCGGCGCCGCAGCTCACTAGGCTAATCCTCCGCCTTGCAGCGCCGGCACACCAGGTTCTAGTCCCGGTCAGGGCGCCGGATTCTGTCCCGATTGCCGCCCTTCCAGGCCAGCTTTCTTCTGCTGTGGCCAGGGAGTGCAGTGGAGGATGGCCCAAGTGCTTGGGCCCTGCTCCCGCATGGGAGACCAGGATAAGTACCTGGCTCCTACTATCGGATCAGCGTGGTGCGCCGGCCACAGCGCGCCGGCCGCGGCGGCCATTGGAGGGTGAACCAACAGCAAAGGAAGACCTTTCTCTCTCTCTCTCACTGTCCACTCTGCCTGTCAAAAAAAAAAAAAGAACTCAGAGAAAAATCTTCCAGTGACAGCGAATATATACTTCATTGATATTTTTTCAAATGGATATTTCAGCAATTACATTAAAATCTGACTAATCTAATTTTTTAATTCCTTAATGAGAAAGTAGCTCCTTTCATTGTATTGAGCTATCATTGTTAAAATTATCAGACTTAGTTACATGTTATATTACTTTCCTTAGCATTCCAATGAAAATCATTTTTATTTAATTTATAATTAAATCTCAAGTACATTTCATGTTGCTTTTTTATTATTATTATTAGAAAGAGTTAGAGAGAGAGAGAGAGAGAAAGAGAGTTCACCCCCCAAATGGATGGCATGCTGCGCTGATCCAAAGCCAGGAGCCAGGTGCCTCCTCCCACTCTCCTACGCGGGTGCAGGGCCCAAGCACTTGGGCCATCCTCCACCACCCTCATGTTGCCTTTTTTAATTTATTTGAGAAGCAGAGTTGCATACAGTGAGAGGGAGAGACAGAAAGAAAGGTCTTCTGTCCGTTAGTTCACTCTCCAAATGGCTGCAGTGGCCAGAGCTGTGCTGATCTGAAGCCAGGAGCCAGGAGCTTCTCCCAGTCTTCCATGCAGGTGCAGGGCCCCGAGCACTTGGGCCATCTTGTACTGCTTTTCCAGGCCACAGCAGAGAGATGGATTGGAAGAGGAGCAGCCAGGACTAGAACCGGTGTCCGCGTGGGATGCCAGCACTGCAGGCAGAAGATTAACCTACTGTGCCACGGCGCTGGCTCCTTATATTGAGTTTTAATGCATCTCTTGAAGTTATTTTGTCTTACCTGTTTTCTGAGACAAATGCTTCCTCATTCCTATATTAAAAGGCAAAGAGAACATATTTAAGAAGTAAATTTTCATCAGATTATCATAAAATATTTCTTCTCTCTCCCTGTTTTTGTTTTAAGTGAGATTGTATAATAAAGATGATGAGCCATCCATGAAGTTACAGCTACCACATAAACATGATATCATCACACTTCTTGGTGTTGGAGGCCATTGGGTAACAACAGAAGAAAACCTTCAGGTATTATCAGAGACAATAAAGCATTACTATTAGACTACTGTGAAGTAATTACCAAAGAATAATACCTAAGTCTTTTTTGAGGCAAGGTATGCAAAAATTAATATAAATTCAGATTTACACCTGTATAGCTTCTTTTCCTTTCTTAAAAGGTGTATTTATTTGAAAGGCAGAATTGCTGGTTCACTCTATAACTGGCTGCAGCAGCCAGGGCTGGGCCCGGATCCCAGGAATCCATCCAGGTCTCCCACGTGGGTGCAGGGGCCCAAGGACTTAGACCATCTTCCACTGCTTTCCCAGGCACATTAGGTCACAAGTGGAGAGCTGGGACTCAAACCAGCACCCATATGGGATGCCAGTGCTGCAGGCAGCGGCTTGATATGCAACACCGCAGTACTGACCCCATATTTTTTTCTTAACAAAAACAAGCATTATTATTGTTGATATATATGTATCAAAATATTTCTGTGCAAAATTACCGTAATTTTCTAATTGTCCAAAATAGGATTATAGTTTATGTGTATAAATGTTATTTCCCAAAGTTATATATTTTTCAAAAGACTTCTATTTCTATTATATGTAAAGATATCAATAAAAAGTATGATTTATATAATTGATGTAAATATAAATATTTATACTTATTTCGTATACCAGTCTTCACTGGTTTTCCAACTTCCTGGTTGAAGGTGATGGTAGATAGCACAAACCCTTACCACTGTATCATCAGGATTCTAGATTGGCTGTTGATTTATCACCCTGCTGTTTCATCATTTTGGACCATGAAATTGAAAAGGAAACATAGTTTACATGTTCTGTTAAAGTGTGGTGATTATTTGTGACTTCTACATTTCTGTGTGTGGACATTTTTCTACGTCAGTTGTCTTTCTGCTGTTAGACTAGCAGTAATTGATGGGTCCTTGTTTATTCCCTCGCAGTTGGATCCTCCCGATAGTCATTGCCTTTTCCTCAAGGGAGCAACAGTGGCTTTCCTTAACGATGAAGTCTGGAATTTGTCCAACGTTCAACAGGGAAAATATCTTTATATCCTTTTTGCACTACTGACTTGAGTTTCTGGATTAGAATTTACCTTATACTTCACTCATAAATTCTTTCATTGTGTTAAGAAGTAAGAATAACTGTCAACTTTCATTGAATATGCCAATCACTGTTCCAGTATCTTGCAGATATTAATTCATTTAAGCATTGAAACAACTCTATGACAACATTGAAACAGCTCTATTATTACCCTGTTTCTGAGATGAAGAAACTAAAGCATAGTGAACTTAGCATAAGAGAGTATGTCTAAAAGCTTATGGAAAAAAATAGAATTAAAAGATTTTTTTTTGTTGTTCCAAACAGTATTTTGAAAGCTGTGCAGTTTTTTCATATGCTGCATTTTCCATGAACTTTTTGAGGACCTCTTCTATGTGTGATATTTATAAAGGCCTGCCCCCTCTAGTAGAAATGACAGACTACATTCAAAGCTTTAAAGTAGTCATATGTAGTTGTTATACTGCATGTTAAGTTTTTTGGAAATTTCAAAACTTCATGTGATGAATATCTGAGTTTAAGATATTTTGATTAAATATCTTTCTATTCATTTTTTACAAACTTACTTGTAAACTTACTTGAAAGTTGTGAAAATTTATTTGAAAGGCAGAATGATGGAGGGAGAGAGAGATCCTCCATCCGCTGGTTCATTCCCCAGTTAACCACAGAAGCCAAGGCTGGGTCATACTGAAGCCAGAATCCTGGAACTCCATCTGGCTCTCCCACATGGGTTGCAGTGGCCCAACTACTTGGGACATTCCCAGCTGCATCACCAGAGAGCTGGATTAGAAGCAGTACATCAAGGAACTGAACCAATATGGGATGCTGGCGTCACAGTGTTGCCGTGTGGCAACACCGGTCCCTTTAATTAATTTCATTTTTTACAAATTTAAATTCAAGTGACATTGTAGTTATCAAGAATAGCAGGATAATAATGGTGCTAATAAAAGAGAACACCATCTAATTATTAAAAGTAACATGAACAGGCATGATTTGAATTTTACATGTTAGACATCAAGCTGGCTGCTTTGCATTACTTAATTCTATGAAACCCACTCTCTCCACGAGAAGGTGATTTTAACCAATTTGACAGATCCCTGGGCCAAGCTGAAGTATATCATGGTTGGGGCCAGCATTGTGGCACAGTGGGTGAAGCCACCCAGTGACACCAGCATCCAGGACGAGTAGCAGCTCGAGTCTCAGCTGCTCCATTTCCATCTCCTTCCTAATGCACCTGAGAAAGCAGTGGAGCTGGCCCGGGTGCTTGGGCCCCTCACTCACGTGTGAGGTGCAGATAAAGTGCCTGGCTCCAACCTGGCCCAGCACCAGTGGCCATCTGGGCACTAAACCAGTGGATAGAAAATAATGTTTCCCTGTGTGTGTGTGTCTATAACTCTGCCTTTGAAATAAATATTTTTTTAAAAATCCTGTTTATATGAAATAATGTTAATATTTTCCAAAATCAGAAATAAATGCTACCTATGGATGGTCCCCATCTCAATTTAAAATGGTGCAAACCCGATGCACATTCAGCAGAGGACTTACTTGGGCTGTGTTCCCAAGCAAGCTTATGTGGACCAGTCCCCTCCTGTGATGCTGGGGCAGCAGCAGTCCCCGCAGCTCCCGGTCAGCCCTGCAGTCACCAGGAAAACAGCCGGTCATCAGCATCGTGCTGTGTCGCTAAGCTAAGAAGGTTAGCAGGTCAGGTGTAGTAAGTGTGTTTTCCACTTGGGTATTTTTTTTTTCAAGAGTTATTTATCTATTTGAAAGTCAGAATTACAGAGAGATGAAGGAGAGGCAGAGAGAGAGAGAGAGAGAGAGAGGTCTTCCATCCACTGCTGGTTCACTCCCCAGTTGGCCGCGACAGCTGGAGCTGCACTGGTCCAAAGCCAGAAGCCAGGAGCTTCCTTCGGGTCCCCAGCGTGGGTGCAGGGGCCCAAGGACTTGGGCCGTCTTCCACTGCTTTCCCAGGCCAGAGCAGAGAGCTAGATCAGAAGTGGAGCAGCCAGGAACCAAATCGGTGCCCATATGGGATTCCTGCACTGCAGGCAACAGCTTTACCCTCTACGCCACAGCATTAGCCCCTGGATATTTTCAACATAAGATCTTTACCAAGACATAATCCCATCATAAGTCAAGGAGCATTTGTATAAACACACACACACACACACACACACACACATGCTTCACAGATGGCTATTTTATTCACAGAAAACTTGCAACAGTGCTAATGACTGTATATTCCTTTTTTTTATTTGACAGGCAGAGTTAGACAGTGAGAGAGAGAGACAGAGAGAAAGGTCTTCCTTTTTTCCGTTGGTTCACCCCCAAGTGGCCGCTACGGCCAGCGCACTGCACTGATCCGAAGCCAGGAGCCAGGTGCTTCCTCCTGGTCTCCCATGCAGAGTGCAGGTCCCAAGCACTTGAGCCATCCTCCACTGCCTTCCCGGGCCACAGCAGAGAGCTGGACTGGAAGAGGGGAAACCGGGACAGAATCCGGCGCCCCAACCAGGACTAGAACCCGGGGTGCTGGTGCCGCAAGCTGAGGATTAGCCAAGTGAGCCGTGGTGCCAGCCCCCCCCCCCCCTTTTTTTAAAGATTTATTTATTTGTAAGAGTTACAGAGGTAGAAATCTTTCATTTGCAGTTTCACTCCCCGGATGGCCACACCAGTCAAGGCTAGGCCAGGTGGAAGCCAGGAGCCAGGAGCTTCCTCCAGCTCTCCCACGAGGATGCAGGAGCCCAAGCACTTGGGCCGTCCCCCACTGCTTTCCTAGTGCATTAACAGTGAGTTGGATTGGAAGTGAAGCAGCCAGAATCAAACATTGTAGGCAGCAGCTTAAACCACTACAACATGCCAGCCCCAACTGTATGAACTGTATGTTCTTTTAAAAAAATTAATAGATTTTTATAATCATGTTTTCTAATTTACATATTCCAAAGACCTGAATTAGACATTACTCCTTACTTGTATAAATCCCACAGTTGCTTCACACATGAGCTAGTTGCTTCTTGTGATTTAACAAAGACAGCTATGTTCCAGCTGTATGACCCTACGCCATAGTTAATTCTAGTGTACTAGCAATTACATACTCTTGGTCCTGATATTATAATATTAAATAAATTACCAACATTGATTTTTCTTAATTTCTTAATATTTACATCACTTTTATACATAAATACACTTTTCTGCAAGAAATTTTGAGCCAGCTAACATAAATCAGTAAATGTGTACCTAATTTGAGAGATGTAAGTACTAAAATTGTTTTTAACTAAAAATGCCATACATTGTACCAAAATAAAAAAGAAACTATTCTATTACCATCCATGGATCTAACAGTGGTCAGCACATTCTAGGCTTGTGCTGTCATCACTTGTCCTTAGAGCTTCAGGCTCTATTATATCTCAAATCATTGGCTTGTTTTTCCAATTATTTAATTATTTTTATTTGAAAGAGGGTGAGACACACAGAGACCCCTTCCCTCTTCTGGTTCACTCCCCAAATGCCCGCAACAGTGAGGGCTGAGCCAGGCCAGAGTCGGGACCCTGGGACGCAGTGCCGGTCTCCCATGTGTATGGCGGGGACTCACTGCTGCCTCCCAGGAAACTGGGTCAGAAATTAATTAAAACATTTTTTAAAAAAAGAATTAAACTTGACAGCTTACAGAATTTCTGTAACATTTTGAATTTCTGAGAGTATAAAACTTAAGGGGTTAAAATATCAAATTGTTTTATTTTATTCTCTGTCCTTTATTTTGGCACCTTGACAATGCTTCCAGCTACGTATCTTAAAAGATGTGATGGAGAAGTTATCAACTGGTGTTTTTAGGTATGCTAAAGTAACCAAATCATTGCTTTTGTTTGCTTTCTAGTCCCAAGATGATAAGATAGGCATTTCCGTTTTTGCTTCAACTTTTATAATATACCTAATGTCTCTGTATTTTATTATTCAGTTGATTTTCTTAAAGATTTATTTTTATTTATTTGAAAGGCAGAGTGACAGAGAATGGGAGAGAGGGGGAGAGAGAGGTACCTTCCTGCTCCTGGCTCAAGTCTCAAATGGCCACAGTGGCTGAGGCTGGGCCAGGCTGAAGCCAGGAACCAGGAGTTGGGTCTCCAGGTGGATGGCAGAGGCCCAAGCACTTGGAGCATCATCTGCTGCCTTCCCAGGAGCATTAGCAAGGAGCTGGATTGGAAGAGGAGTAGCCGGGACTCAAACCAGCAACACTGCAGTATGGGATGCTGCCGCTGCAGGTGGCAGCTTAACGGGCTGCACCACGATGCCAGCCCCTGTATTACTTTGTTTAGATAAATAACTGCTCTTTACTACTTCGCAAAACTTTCCTGTTGGACCACCAGTGAAGTATTCCCCAAGATAGAAATGGCTTGTGAGTTTTCCTAACTGTATTCCATCATCGCGCCTCCCATGGCAATAAGAAATAACAAGTGGTTTGAAAACAATATATTTTGAATTGGATTAGTTATCACTTACAAAAGAAGTGGAATTTTTTTCCTTGAATACTTTTTAAGATTTGTTTGTTTATTTGAAAGGCAGAGTTTGAGAGAGGGAGAGAGAAGTCTTCCATCTGCTGGTTCACTCCCCAGATGGCCACAATGGCTCGGGTTGTGCCTGGAACTCCATCCTGGTCTCCCACGTGGGTGCAGGGGCCATCTTCCATTGCTTTCCTAGGCACATTAGAGGGGAGCTGGGTCTGAAGTGGAGCAGCGAGGACTAGAACCGGGCTCCATGTGGGCTGCTAGTATCACAGGGGAGGCTTAACCCACTGTGCCACAACACTGGCCCCCGCCTTGAACACTTATAACTTGAATGTTGTAACAGTAGAACTTCTTTTCCACTTTAACAGTGGAAATACAATTTTGTTTAAATCATTTAAAGTGGCAGAACTGAGAAATAAGCATTACCAAGTACCACTGTAGGTGTTCTACCCATGGGCAACGAAACCTGACATTTCTACTCATTTCCTTCTTCTTCAGACCACAGTTGGAAGAACCCATCCCACTCTATGAAGCCAAAGTTTCCATGGAAGTTGTTCAGAAAAATCAAGGAAGAAAAAAGCAAGTTGTTCAATTTTAATTTTCTTCTTTCTGAGACCTCAGATGGATGAACCCATCCTAGTATTTGAAGCCAGAGTTTTCCTTGGAGATTGGAGGGACAAATCAAGGAAGATAAAAGCAAGTTGTTCCATCCTTAGACCTGCCTTCTTGCTGTCTGACACAGATGTGCAGTTTTTTGACAGAGTTGAGAAGTATGTGAAAAGTTGTGCAAATTAACTTTCGAAGGGAATGTTCTGAAAATCTTTTTAGTTTCTGTTTCTGTACGTGTTGCCTCTGGTACAAAACTCCTTCCATGAAGACAACTGCTTTCTGCGACGGCCACACTAGTACCGTATCGATAGAGCGTAGAGGCCTTCCGCTAAACTGTCCTGTCCGCGTGCCTGTCCACTGCCTTCTGGGCTCCTGCCCTCCCTAGCCAGCTCGCTGTCCTGATGTGAGCATGTGCGCGTATTTTCAAGTCTTAAAAGTAGCCTGCCCACGTGCACTGACATTGTGTGCTTTCAAATACTCACTCGCTCCGGTTTCTCCCGGATCCAGTTAGAGGCAGCGGCGCGTGGGGGCGCGGGAGGGCAGCCCGTGGGAGCCGACCTGAGGGCGGTCCTTCGGGGGCTGGGGGAGGCCCAGGCCCCTCTGGCCACCTGACGTCACCGAAAGGCTGGCTAAGCAGCCATCCCCGCAGCCCGGGTGTGCTGTTTCCTTGTCATCCGGGCTCCTTACCGCGGGCTATTCGCACTCCTGGCACCTCGTGACCAGCGTTCAGCGCCCACTGGGCAGTGCGCACCTGCACCGCGGCCGCCCGGGCCCCAGCGCCTAAGGGGAGGACCCGGCGGCGCGCCTGGGCGGGGCCACGGGGCGGCCCACCGCGCATGCTCCGCGCGGCGCCCGGGGCGGGGCGGCGTCGGGGCGGGGCCGGCCTGGGGGTGGGGCCTGCGCGCGCGGGAAGTGCCTGCGGAGCGGCTGACCGGCCTCTCAGCCGCCGCGAGTCATGGCCTTTTCCGTGCCGGGCTACTCGCCCAGCTTCAAAAAGCCGCCGGAGATTCTGCGGCTGCGACGGAAGAGGGCCCGCAGTCAGGGGGCTGCCGCCTCGCCGTCGCCTCTTCTGCCCGAACCGGCGCCTCGCCGCGCCGCCCTGGCTGCCGGGCTGCCCCTGCGCCCCTTCCCGGCCGCCCCGGGCCGAAGTGGCGTCGGCGGGCCCGCCGCGGCCCGGAGGAACCCCTTCGCCCGCCTCGACAACCGGCCCCGGGCCGCCGCGGAGCCCCCGGACGAGCCGCCCCGCGACCAGCAGGAGGCTGCGGACCGGGTGAGTGCGTGCGCGCCTGGCGGCCGAGGCGCTGCTGTCTGAGGGGTCGAAGCCCTGAGAGCGACGTGGACCGCGCTGGCTGCGAGGCAGGGCAGTGAGCGCCGAGTCTGGGCCGCCCTGGGCGCTGGGAACGGCCGGCGGGCGGGCGGGGCGCCGCGAGGGGGCCGGGCGGCCGGGCGCGGCGCCGAGCCCTCTTCTGGGGGTTTGGAGATCAGAGGGAAGGAGGCTCGGACAATCCTGAGCGCCCCGCCCTGGCAGGCGGGCCCCGATCTGCACGCCCTGTGCGGGGTGAGGAGGGGTCGGGGGACCGAGCCTACCGGCCTCTGCCTCCTCCGGAGCCTGTGGGCGCTCACCCATCAGTTATTCACGCGCAGAACACCGTCGTCTTATTTTTCCTCTTAAAGTTTCACTCAAGTGAATCACGGACAGATGGATTGAGGGCTGTGAATTCGGGTGCACTTGGGTTTATTGAGAGAGACAGAGTTCATCATCTAAGTTGTGAAAGGATAATTTTCTGAACTTCAGTTTTTAGATTCTAACCGAGAGAATGATTTGCAGTGGGATGAGATGAGTCCTGAAAGAACGGCTGTTACTGCCCTTCCCCAGGTAAAGCTCTGAAACGCCGGGATGTGGGTTTTTGAAGTTCCTACTTGTCAGAGGCGTTTTGCTTGGAGAGGAGTTTCGGCGTCCTGAGCGTGACGCGCTCTGCCAGGGTTGGCGCTTGTCGGGAACCAGCCAGTGCTGTCGCAGGGCCACCAGCACGAATGTAGGCCTAATAGGTGTGGGGTTTTCCTTCCACCCCAGCAGTGACTTACTCGGAGCCAGCCCCTGCAGGCTCTGCCACGGCTTAGCTCAGTCCTCAGATCACCTGCGCAGGTTGTGAGCCAGCACTCGGTCTTGCTGTCCGCCTCTCCCCCCCAACACACATTGGTTTCTGCTCCCTAAGGATTTCTGTGCTGATGGTTTGATCAGTACGCCCTCTGTCCTAATGGGAGCAGGCCAAAAGAGTTCCCTAAGACTCAGTCTCGCTTGCTTGTAAATAAACGACCTTCGCATTGCCTCTTGGAGGTAATTCCTCCTTTCCTAGTAGCTTGGTGTGATGTCACCTAAAAGAATCTTTGTAATGTGGACAAGATTGACTTGAAAGGGCAGCAGAGTAAGTTGAAGGGAAGTTTTTGAGGGCAGGACAAGCTTCTTAAATTCGGCCCTTAAGGACCCTGCGTAAGTTACCTGCAGGAGACACTGCTTAGCCCTGGTGAGAGTTTCAGAGGCTTAAAAGTGACTTCGTAAACACCTGGGAGATTACTGCTTTGATAGCAGCATCAACAGCACTGTGCAGAACTGTCTAAAGTAGCAAGTGAAATCTGCCCCTCTGGGCCACTCCCCCCAGCGATAAATTCCCCCATCTTTGCGGTCAACACCAGCAGCAGTTTGGTGTAGCTCATTCCACACTTTTTCATGTATGTTCTGTGTGTAGTATATTCTAATATGTACTTTTATTATATAGTTCATGCAGTTTTGACATTTCAGTGATCATGACAACAGTAGTCAATAAAATGTGAGAGTGAAGGATTTTTCTTGATTCTCTGTTAAATAATTGTGTTCTTTGTTTTCTAAAAGACTCCACAAGTAGCCTACAAATCTGATGGTCCATCTTCAGAAGGTACTGAGTTACCTGTGGACTGGAGTATTAAAACTCGACTCCTCTTCACCTCTTCTCAACCCTTTGCGTGGGCGGATCATTTGAAAGCACAGGAAGAAGCCCAGGGTCTTGTCCAGCATTGTAGGGCAACAGAAGTTACTTTGCCTCAGAGTATACAGGTAATTCTAAACTAATAAACCTATGTTTCAAAGTAACAAATGAAGAGTAAAATGGTCTTTTCTGTAAAATATCAGCAATGTTCCATAAATTTTTACTTCTGACATTTAATGACACAGAGACTTGGGAAATTTTGTTTTTCCCAAATGGTGCATTCATAAAGCATCCAAATTGAGTAACTGCATATTAAATTCAGAAACTTGTCCTGAGAATTAATAAATGTTGAAAACAGGAATTGTTTGAACTAGACCTTTTTGCTCTGGGACTAGTATTGTGGCGTAGCAGGTAAAGCTGCCTCCTGAAACACCATGTCCAGTATGGGCTTGCATTCGAGTCCCTGCTGCTCCACTTCTGAGGTAGCTCCCTGCTAATGCAAGGAAAGCGGGGGTAGAAGGCCCAAGTGCTTAGCCTTGCTACCCACGTCGGAGACCTGCAAGAAGCTCCTGACTGCAGCCTCGCCCAGTCCCAGCCTTGGCAGCCATCTGAGAAGTAAACGAAGGAACTAAACTAAACTAAACTACTCTCTCCCGTGCTGTCTCTCCCTCTCTCTAACTCTGATTTTCAAATAAATAATAAATTTTAAAAAACTTTCTTCTCAGGCTTTTTGAAAAAATATAAGAAAAAGGGATGAAAAGCAATTGAGTTCAAGCATAGGGGAGTGGATAGATTTTACAAATTTTCTTAAATACTCTGCTTTGTAAGTAATTGGTCTGTGATAATTTTACTGGAATTAATGAATTCTAGGATGATTTTAAAGAAATACAGTTTCATTACTTCTAAGTATCTCAACTCAAAATGGGTTAAAAAGTATTTCCTAAAAGATGCTTTGGTTTGTCTTTTCCAATAAATCAGGATCGTTTGTGATTGTGTTATTGATGTTTCCTGAGTACTTTTGATTTTACTTATTTTATTGGAAAGACAGAAAGAAAGAGATCTCCATGTGTTGGTTGTAAATGCCTGCAACAGCCAGGAGTCTGCCAGGCTAAAGACAGTAGCCCATGTGGGTGGCAGGGACCCAAGTGCTTGAGTCATTACTTGCTGCTGCCCAGGGTGCACATTAGTGTGAAGCTGGGACTCAAACCCAGGCACTTGAATATGAGGCCTTGGGCATCCCAAGTGGAATCTTCACCATTGTACCAAGTGCTACTCTTGAAACATTGTTTTTGTTGGGTATAAAGCCTTGATATAGTATGACCTGCACATAAACACACGCGCAGGTGCAGGCGCATGCACAGGCCTACCCCTCATGATAGAGAGTCATTATTCTTAAGTATGGTAGCAACAACAGAGTTTCTCCATCTGTGATTAAGTATTCTTTTGGAAAACAGTTTGACAGACTATCATCACTGTCCAGAAAGGTTTTCCCAGACAAGGATTAAGCACATTTTAGCCCTGTAACAGTTATTTAAACTTTCCCATTCAAAGCCTTAAAGAGTCTTAAAGTAAGTGTTTGATGTATTCAATGTCTCTTTAAAAATATTCTGTTTTTCTTATGGGGCAAAAAGTCACCATTTATCACCTCTGGATTTCAGGATCCCAAGCTATCCACTGAGCTCCGCTGTGCCTTCCAACAGAGCCTTATCTATTGGCTCCACCCTGCCTTGTCTTGGCTACCACTGTTTCCTCGCATTGGAGCTGATAGGAAAATGGCTGGAAAGACAAGTCCTTGGTCAAATGATGAAACCCTACAACACATTTTAATGAGTGACTGGTAAGATTAGTTTAAAAAAAAAAAAAAAAAAACTGCAATCCAGAAGTGAATTTTTTTGAGTTGTTAATTCTTTTTTTTTCTTTTTTTTTACATTTTTTGAAATAGAGTGTACATACCAAGAAATGCCCATACATGTGTAACAGAGTTTTTGGTACTCTGATGATACTCATAACCAACATCCAAATTAAGAACAGCACATTTCTAGTACTCCAAGAATCCTCACTATTGTCTGTCTCTCCATTTTTTTTTAAGTTGGGAAAGGAGAGTGTATTTTCATTTATGTCATATGTTAGTAGTATACTCTCATTCCGTTTGTGATGTGGAAACATAAGGATCTCTATGCCCTTCTTAATTTTGTCTGAAACAGTTAAATACCAACATTTAAACTATTTACCTTTTTGTATCTTAGTCACTTTTTATCTAATTGTGGGATGTAAATAAATAGTAACTGTACACATTCTTTTTATTTGAAAGAGTGAAATACATATATATAGAGGGTGGGGGCGGGAAATTCCATCCGCTGGTTCACTCCCCAAGTGGCCACAGCAGCCAGGGATGGGCCATACTGAAGCAGGATCCAGGAGCTTCATCCATGTCTCACATGGGTGCAGGGGCCCCAGCATGTGGGTCATCTGCTGCAGCTTTCTCAGGTGCATTAGCAGGGAGCTGGATAAGAAGTGGAGCAGCTGGGACTTGAACCAGTGCCCATATGGAATGCTGGTGTTGCAGCAGGTGCCTTCATGTGTTACACCACAATGCTGGCCCCAAGCATAATTCTTTTTTTTTTTTTTTTTTATAAGATTTGTTTATTTGAGAGGCAGAGGTACAGAGCAGCAGAGGCAGAGAGAGAAAGGTCTTCCATCTTCATCTGCTGGTTCACTCCCCAGATGGCCATGATGGCCAGACTGCGCTGATCCAAAGCCAGGAGCTTCTTCCAGGTTTTCCACGTGGGTGCAGGGGCCCAAGGACTTGGGCCATCTTCCACTGCTTTCCCAGACCATAGCAGAGAGCTGGATCGGAAATGGAGCAGCCAGGACTCGAACTGGCGCCCGTATGGCATGCCAGAACTGCAGGCGGTGGTGTTTTTTGTTTTTTGTTTTGTTTTTTTTTTTTTTTTTAGGATTTATTTATTTATTTGAAAGAGTTACATGGAGAGAGGAGAGGCAGAGAGAGAGAGGTCTTCCATCCAGTGGTTCACTCCGCAATTGGCCGCAACGGCTGGAGCTGCGCCGATCCAAAGCCAAGAGCTTCTTCCGGGTCTCCCACGTGGGTGCAGGGGCCCAAGGACTTGGGCCATCCTCTACTGCTTTCCCAGGACATAGCAGAGAGCTGGATCAGAAGTGGAGCAGCAGGAACTAGAACCAGTGCCCACATGGGATGCCAGCACTACAGGCAGAGGCTTTAACCTCTGTGCCACAGCGCTGGCCCTCCAAACATAATTCTGTAATGTTACCTTTTGTTGGTGGCTGATTCCTTTATTAGCAAAAGAAAGGTTTAGAGAAAGTCAACCAGTTATCAGTTGTTTAAAGAAAAAATGTTTAGGGGCCGGGGCTGTGGCACAGCAGGTTAAAGCCCTGGCTTGCAGCACAGGCATCCCATATGAGCACAGGTTCGAGTCCCGGCTGCTCCTCTTCCAATCCAGCTCTTTACTAATGCACTTGGGGAAGCAGTAGAAGAAGGCCCAAGAACTTGGACCCCTGCACCCACATGGGGGACCCAGAAGAGACGCCTTGCTCCTGACTTTGGATCAGCTCAGCTCCAGCCGTTGTGGCCATTTGGAGAGTGAACCAGCCAATGGGAGACCTCTATTCTCTCTGTAACTCTTTCAAATAAATAAACTAAGTCTTTAAAAAAATAAAAATGTTTAGGGCCTAATTGGTAAACACTTTACTAAAATATCAGAAAGTCATCAGCAAATCTCTACTCCCAATTTCAGTTAGTTAAAGCCAAAATATATACAGCTGCAAAACTTCAAACCCAGATCTGAAATATTTGTGTTACATCTTAAACCAGGTAAATATCAAACTAAATTATACAAAATTAAATTTTAAACATCAAAATATTAAGTGTTTAATAAGATTTGAAATTCTTTTGCTTCGTAGGTCTGTGAGCTTTACTTCTCTGTACAGCCTACTGAAGACCAAGCTCTGCCCCTATTTCTACGTTTGCACTTACCAGTTCACGGTCCTGTTTCGAGCAGCAGGGTTAGCAGGAAGTGATGCAGTCACGGCTCTTATTTCTCCTACAACTAGAGGTCTGAGAGAAGCCATGAAAAATGAAGGTAAACGTTGAGTTTTAAAGTGAGGATACAATTTATAAATTAAATGCTTTCCTTAAAAACTAAAATGTGAATTGTCTAAGTTGATTGTGTTATTTTTAGAAATTTCTATTTTTCCCTCCCTCTGCAATTAGTTGATGGCTTTTCTTTCTCTGATCTCAAAGTAAAATCCATAATGGGCTAGAACGTCCCTATATGAATCTACACTTCCTGAAATCATTTTGTAGTACAAATGACCCACCCCTGTAATGACATAAACTGAGTCAGCCAATGGCAGATCGTGCAAAATGTGTAGGGAGCATAATCAGTCATTTTTGAAAAAATGTACTGGAATATAATTTATGAAAGAATACAAATTGTTATGAGAGTATGTGTTGCCTCCTGAGCTTTTCTTTTTCTTTTTCTTTTTTTTTTTTTTTTTTTTTTTTTTTTGTAATTATTTGAAAGGCAAGAATTAGAGACAGAGAAATCTTCCATCTGCTGGTTCACTCCCCAGATAGCCAAAATGGCTGAGTCCAAAGCCAGGAGCTTCTGTGTCTCCCACTTGGGTGGAAGGGGCCTAAACACTTGGCTTTCTTCCGCTGCTTTCCCAGGCACATTAGCAGAAAGCTGGTTCAGAACTGGAGCAGCCAGGACTCGAATTAATTGGCACCCATATGGGATGGCATTGTCATAGGCAGTGGCCTTATCCAGTGTGCCACAATGCCAGCCCTTTACTAAATCTTTTGTTTAAAGGAAATGCGTGCATTTGTGTATAAGATGATCTGCCGCCATCAAGAAAGCTTGCAAAGGACTGAGTAGATCAAGCATAAATACTCAGGGAACACCTGTTAATACTTTTAAAGAAAACAGTTGCATTTTTGTTTTCTCGTTGTAGGTATTGAATTTTCTCTGCCTTTAATAAAAGAAAATGGCCGAAAGAAGGAAACATCTGGAACAAGCTTGGGACATGCGGAGTATGTGATTAAAATAATCTTTTATATATCCAGTGACTTAAATAGATCAGTGAAATAAATTTGTAAAGGTGGCAGGCTGTGAAATGGCAACTCTCAACTATTTCCTAGAGAGCAAGCAATCAGTGATGAGGATGAAGAGGAAAGTTTTTCCTGGCTGGAAGAAATGGGTGTGCAAGATAAAATTAAAAAGCCAGACACACTATCAATCAAGCTGTATCCTTTCCATTGCTGTTAAACAGAATTAATCTTAATTGAATTGTTAGTGAGCAATTTAAAATTGACTGCTTTTTTTTTCCCCCTCAAGATTTATTTATTTGGGCTGGCATTGTGGTATGGCAGGTAAAGCCACCACCTGTGACACTGGCATCCCATATAGGCACCACTTGTCGCTCCCCCTCTTCATGGAGGAACCACACTAAACCCTGCCTAGGCTTCATATCCGAGTCACGGCACCATTATGTCGCTCCCCCTCTTCGTGGAGGAACGACACAGGACCCTGCGCTGTTCTCTTGTCTGCTCGGCCCTCCCCGGGTTTGCTGCTGGTTCTTCCTGGGTTGGCTACCGTCCCTTCCACCTCCGTGGAAGGGCGGTTCCCCCTAGCCACTTTCCCCACTTCCGCGGGGGAGCGGCACACCGCCGGCTGGCTCTCTCGGGGGCTGCACAGGTGTTCCTTCAAATAGATGTTCCCCTTAGATGTTCCTTGTGCATGTTGTCTCTCTCCTCCTTTATAGTCCTCTTCACCAATCCCAACTCTGCTACCCACACGCCGAGTACGCTGCTCTCCTCCAATCAGGAGCAGGTCCTACAGTTTATTGGTTGAACTGGAGGCAGCTGTGTAGAAGCTGTTTCTCCCTTCTCAGCGCCATATTGTGGGAAAGCAGATGCATAGAATAAGTCTTAATTCCAGTAACTTAGTCTAGTCCAAGTTGCTCCCAGTTTCTCCCCACACCACTTTGAGTCCTGGCTGCTCCACTTCCAAGCCAGCTCCCTGCTCATGGCCTGGGAAAAACAGCGGAAGATGGCCCAAGTCTTTGGGCCCCTGCACCCACATGGGAGACACAGAAAAAGCTCCTGGCTCCCCACTTTGGCCTGACCCCAGCCCAGGTTGTTGTGGGCATCTGGGGAGTGACCAGCAGATGGAAGATGTCTGTCTCTCTTTTTCTCTTTGTCACTTGGACTTTCAAAGTAAATAATCTAAGAAAAAAAGATGTATTTGCTTGAAAGGCATTTAGAGAGAGAATCTTCCATCAGCTGGATCATTCCCTAACTGGCGACAACAGCCAGGTCTGGGGGCCCTCATCTTCTGTTTTTCCTGGTACATTAGCAGAAAGCTGGATTGGAATCAGAATAGCCAGGACTTGAACTGGTACTTAAATATGGGAAGACAACATTGCAAGCGGTAGCTTAACCTGCTGCACTATAATATCGTCCCCTTTTTGACTGATTTTATATGACTTTTTTTAATTTTAATTTTTATTTTTTTAAGATTTATTTATCTGGGCCTGCTGTGGCATGGTGGGTGGAGATGCTGCCTGCAGTGTCAGCATCCCATATGGGCACCAGTTCAAGTCCCAGCTACTCCACTTCCAATCTAGCTCTCTGCTGTGGCTGGGTAAAGCATTGGAAAATGGCCCAAGTCTTGATGCCCCTTAACCCTTGTGGGAGACCTGGAATAAGCTTGAGCAAATTGTTAATCTCTCTTAAGGCTCAGTTTAAAAAAACAATTAGGGACTGGCGCTGTGGAGCAGTGGGTTAATGCCATGACCTGAGGCACCTGCATCCCATATGGGCGCTGGATGTTGAATATTTTGATTCAAACGTAAACCTTATGTTTGCAGTGAAGAGTGAGGGATAATCACATTTCCATTTTGTTCTGGGGGAGAGGAGTCCCAAGTGATTCCAAATCAAGATAACTTTCCCACTGGTGAAGTACTTGAATTACAGTTTCCTTGACTTTTATTGTCAGCCGTAAAGAGAAGCATGAAGTACAAATGGACCACAGGCCTGAGTCTGTTGTGTTGGTGAAAGGAATCAACACTTTTACGTTACTCAATTTTTTGATCAACTGCAAGAGTTTAGTTGCAACCTCAGGCCCACAGGCAGGACTTCCACCAACCCTGCTGTCCCCTATAGCTTTCCGAGGTGCCACGATGCAAATGCTTAAGGTAATTTAAAACGTTCTGTGCAAGTATTTTTTTATTGATACAATTCATTCTTGATTTATTTTTTATTTTACAATTTATCTATTTGGAAGGCAGAGTGATAGCGAAAGAGCATGCTAGTGCATCCATCTACTTGATCACTCCCCAGATGGTTGCAACAGCCAGGGCTGGGCCAAGACCTGAAACTCCATCTAGGATTCCCACCTAGGTGAAAAGGCCCCAAGTACTTGAACCATCTCTCACTGCTTTCCCAGGCACATTAGCAGGGAGCTAGGTCAGAAGTGGTGGAGCCAGGGCCAGCGCTGTGGCTTAGCAGGGAAAGCTGCTGTCGCAGCATCCCATATGGGCATTAGTTTGAGGCCTGAAAGAGGCTCCTGGCTTCAGAGCAGCCCAGCTCCAGTCGTTGTGGCCATTTGAGGAGTGAGCCAGCATATGGAAGATCCTCGCGTGCTCTCTCTCTCTCTCTGCCTCTCGGTAACTCTGCCTTTCAAATAAATAAATCAATCAATCTTAAAAAAAAAAAAATACCGCCAGGACTCCCAACTGGTGCTGTAAAATGAGATGCCAACATTGCAAGTGGTGACAACCCACTGTGCTGCAATACTGACCCCCACAATGCTGCTTTATTGGAAAGCAGAGACAGATATTTTATCTGCTAGTTTTCTCCCCAGATGCCCACAACAGCCAGGGATGAACCAGGCTGAGGCCAGGTGCCAGACATTCCATAAAGATCACCCACATGGTTTGCAGGTACTTGAACCATCACCTACTACCTCACAGGATGCACATTAGCAGGAAGCTGGACTGAGGAGCAGAGCCAGACTTGAACAAGACACTACAATTGCGCTGTCTTAAGTGCTGTGTCTAGTGCCTGCCCTAGCTGGACTGAGTTCCCAACGCCTGGTTTCAGGGCATTTGTAGAGGTGAACCAGCAGGTGGAAGATTTTTGTTGCTCTCTTTACCTGAAATACACAATTTTCTTTTCAAAGGAATAAGAGACTACTAATTTTTACTTTTTATCTTGGTAAAAATAAATACTTTTGTGGTACATGAAAGAAATTTAAAATACAAATTATTTAAAATGGTTTCTTATTATTATGCAGCAAAAGCATTATTTCCTTTTTTTGTTTATGGAAGCATCTCATTTTGTTTCACTTTTACCATTGAGGACATAGCCAAGAATGTTGCTACAGAGCTCAAGGTCTACTCATTCATAAGTAAAAATAATTGTATATCCTTATCAAATGATAAGTCTACACATAAATATACATACTAAGTTAATAGCAATAGATGTGTGGAGTGTGTTTTCTCTCAATATTCTGTGTTGAGCATACATGGATACTCGGTTTTAGCAGAACTGAAAAAAATATCATTTCTCATGAATGTTTGAAGATGACTGTTGTAAGAAAAAAGTCATTCTCTAGAATACACTTCAGCCAGAACCCTCATGTGAGGACCATGGTGGCACTGAGCTGTCACTGTCACTAGTTCTCACGCACGTCATTGTGACGTTGTGATAACTACTTTTGTTCTGTGCCTTTGGATATGAGGCCCAGATGGAAATGACTGAACAGTTTTGCAACAGGGATGGTGATTTTTCTTTTTCTTTACATTTCCATGAAGGCACGAAGTGTGAATGTGAAGAGCCAAGCTCCTTCTGGATACAAAGATCAGTTTAGTTTGGAGATTACAGGTCCTATCCTGCCTCATTGTGTGCATTCCGTCACCATGCTGCTCCAGTCTTCACAAAGCGGGTCCTTCTCGGCAGGACTCTATCCACATGAGCCAACTACTGTATTTAATATATGCCTGCCTATGGATAATGTACTGGATAAGGTGAGGCGACAGGTGTGAACCGTTTCCCCGACCAGCTCTCAGGGAAGTCACTTCTGATGAGCCACAGAAACTGTGTTATGAACTGGTCAGAAGGCATATCTCTTGTTTTTGTGTCATATCTTATGAATTTAGCCTTTTGTACTAGTGACAGTAACTGAAGAACTTTACAGCTCTTAGATCCAAAACTTAGTGCCTGATTCCTTCAGGATATAGAAACATGACTACTTAACCATATTTGCCTTGTCTTGAAAATAAGTTTTGTTGAGATTGTAATCAAGGCCTCCCTCTATTGCCTGATGCCTATCAGCTTGCTAGACTTAAAACACCGCTGCAAAATCTCCTAGGATCAACTTCTGTTGAGCTGAATGTGTTAGTATGAATGTTCAAAACTAATGTGTTTTTTACTGACTTGTATGCAAATTTCCACAGGAGGTGGTACACAAAGAGCTTGCTAACTGTGGGTTGCATCCTAAGACTCTGGACCAACTCAGTCAAATACCGTTACTGGGGAAATCATCTTTACGGAATGTGGAAATGAGTGACTACGTTTATAATTGGAGATCCTGAACACCAAAGTAAGCCTAAAAGGAATCTTTGAGGAAAAAAACCTCCTAGCAAGGAAATTCAAGATTCTTGTCTTTGGCCTTAAAAGTTCATTTTGCAAGTTGAATATTAACTTTTATTACATGCACTGAGCAGTAGCATTAAGGTTTTGAGTCAACTTTTATTTTAAAGTTAGGTTTCCAGATATTGAACATAAGTTAAACTTTTTTCAAAACACTGAAAATTCTTAAAAACTGAGTAATGAGAAAGACTAAACCTGTAGCAACTATTCCCACTGTGACTAATGGCATCAGTGCAAAAATACTACTTTCATAAATCTCTGTTAGAGAGTTCTTGTAGAAATAAATGTAGATAGTAACTACTGAGCTGATTCTTGATGCTTCTGCTTTAGCACTTTTTGCTACTGATTTCTAATTCTATTTTTAAATACACTCAAAAAATGTTTTAATGCATGTCAATCCAGACAAAAGGGCAGTTTGTATGCCATACAGAATAGTGATGAGCGTTGTAAAACATGCTTAGCTGCCATGTAGCACTCTTCAATGTGCTCGTAGGTGTTTGTGTGTATGTGTGCTTCAAATTTAAATAAAAGTGCTTAGAAATCGAAAGCATTGGGTAAAGAAATAACAGCATTTAGTGAAGAAGTATGTGTTTACTTTATAATCCAGAAAATAAACCACCACGTTTGTTCCAGAGAAGTTTGTATTTGGGCCTTAAGCTTTTGAAAATAAAGTTTAGAGACATAGCATATGAATACCACTGTAATACACATGAAATACTCTATCAGACCCTAAAAATTAACATAAACTTTCTCATAGTCAACAAAATAGTGGCTGGTTGCCAATTTTATTAGATAAGTTGGTTACAGCATTGTAATTATCATTTTACATCTATCTAGGTGTAGCTGAAATTCAAAATGCACATCAAAGTAAAACTATATCACAACTCAATGCCATACTAAACATACTTGGCCTCTGCAGAATTCTAGTCAGACTTCCTCCACTCTTATGACCCAAGTGGCTTTAACGGGAATGCAGGACTTAGTGCTGGTCATCACACAACATACCACTTTTCTTTTTATAACCTCTACAAAATTTTAAGGGGAGATGGTGGCATTAGCCCTGTGGAACAGATCTTGCTTGATTACCTCAATAACACTGGCCCAGTATCTGTCCAGCAGAACCCATTGTGAAATAGTACAAGGTGCACAGCCCTTCACTGATTACAGGCAAGTGTTACAGCAGCCTAGCCATAGGAAGGGGAGTTACATCATAGTACAAAATACAGTATAAAAGCGTTATTTAACATTCCACACTGAAGATTACTGATGCCTTCAAACAACTGTTTGGATGTTAGCCACTTAAACAAATACATCACTAAGGTAAACAATATAAACATACCAAAACCCTGTATGGTTAAATACAATTTCCATGGTACAAAAATCAAAGCCTGGAGATGTTTGTACAGATTGCTTTTTACACAATGTCTTAAATTGCCAAATATTTACAACATTAAAGAGGAAATACATTGTGATGCAGAGTAAAATTATCTGAAATGATTAATATAAAACCTCAATCTATCTACGTGAGGCACTCCTGAAGCAAGTGGCATTAGCCATGAGGTCCTTTGGTACAAGGCCCATTGCTTGAAGAACCACAGTAGCAGCTGTGGCTTTAGCATGCTTCTTATTAGGGCTGGCAAAGCTGGGCTGGTAAGCGCTTCCATTTATCAATACCTATTCAAGAAAAACATACAATTGGGCTGGTAAGGGCTTCCATTTCTCAATACCTATTCAAGAAAAACATACAATAAGAACAGCATCAAACTTTAATATCTATTAGCTTTTTATTTTTTCACTAAATGCTAGAACTTATAAAAATATAAAACCCATACCATGTAAATCAAACTTAATCTCAACCCAGAAGTAGCAAGTCATTTGGGAATGGGGACTGCAAATTAAGGGCAAATCTCCAAATTGGGAAATAAATAAAACCGGAAAGTACTACATTAATTCCCCACATTCCAGGACAAAGTACCAATAAACTGTCCATCAGATTTTGCCCATAGCCTTCCCTCTAATTTTTTAATAGGATATATTCACAAAATAAACATCCCACCACTACCCACACACAAACACCCCCAACCCACTAACAGCATATTAATCCTGTAATTATACTTATCCCTCACCCTCTACCAATCATCAAATTAGCACATAAACAATTCAGAAATTCATATTTACCCTAAAGAGAAAATGTTTGCGATGATCAGGGCCACTATCATGGACCAAAAGAAATTCAGGTGGTTGCCACCTTCTCTTGTTACAGATTTCCATCAAGGCAGACACAGGATGTTTGCCTGCAGAGAAAAAATGAGTTATATTTTCACCAGCTTTTGCTACAAATTACAAATTCAAGATGAGGGTGAGACAGGAAGAAACCTAAAAGCATATTCTCACCTGACAGATCTTTCATTGCAGCCGAGAAGTTCCCAGACCTCTTTTGTGCTCTTTCTCCTACTGCAACAAGACCTTTAATAATGAAGAAAAAAGGGGGAGGGAGGCAACTTTCATTAAATTTCAAGTATCATTTCAAATCCCAATATAGACTAGCATTTCTTCTGTAGGAACCTCTATTGATTCCATGACTTCAAACTTCATATAGGAATACATATGTATATATGTATATACATTAAATAGTATATAAATTAAATCCCCAAGGTCTGTTTCTTTGTAAGCTCAAAAAGTATCAGTTATTTACTGTAAGTGATTTTTATTCAGATAAAAGTACATTTAAAAAACAGCTGATGTTTTAAGCCACTGAAAACGTTTTTGGAAAGTGAGAAAACAGTGTCCATAAATAAACGCGAGGTGTTTCCACACATAACTGCTCTGATGACCTTGCTGCACTGAGGTCTGATTTGTTACAAAGCGGATTGGCTGTGTTACTCATAACAATCATTTTCCAGTGTCCAAATATATTAGTGGAAATCCTTCAGCACTACATTGCTAATTCCATCCAAAGCCATCCTGGGAAACATGATCCTCTGAGACCTCGCACTCAGACCATGTTGTAAATTCCAAGAATGCTCTCTGCAGTTGTACAATGCATTATTTACTGCAGAGCTAGTCTGTTTCTAAGTTAATTAAGACATCAATTATTCAAGTTACCTCAACTTACTGCAACCTACTAAAATCATACTGCATGGGCAGCCCCTTGTGATTCTACTTAGAAAAATACTCCAAGGGAAGAAATTATGAGTATAGGCTGTTATCTGTGGATACCAAGTGTATATTCAGTAACTCAGCAACTAAACACAGGCTATACACCCCTGCTAAGGTACCTGAAAATAGCAAAATACAGTCGATGTTAAGTTCCACCTGCCCTAACAAAAGGCAGTATAAAGAGGTTACACAACCCAATTTTGTAGCTTGAAAAGAGATAAGCAAAGACATTTATTAAATCAGGTTAAATTTATCCACCTAGTAGGTATATGTAAATTTCCATACTCAGCAACTAGCATGAAAAAGTTGTCATTTAAAAGCTCAAACTTGTCCTTCTATATTTATATAAAAATAAGCGGTGTGTGTGGAAACAAATTTTTTAAAAATGTGCCTATGTAAGAAATTTCTCCAGTTTAGAGAACCAAAAGAATGCATTTAGCGGATCCAAAAAATGTGTAAAAGAATGAAATTCCAAATGCTGAAGTACAATAAACATTCTGAAAAAGAATTTGTTACCTTTACGATCTGTCTTAAAATCAACTAGGATAGGCTCCTTATTTCCTTCTTTGTTTTTTCCTAATCCTTCTCCTTCTCTCCAGCCCATTTTTCTCATCAGAACGGCTCCCATTCCTCCAGTTACTGGGGCTGCTCTTAAGAACTGATCCTATCCAAAGAAAGAAAGGTAAAATGTCCCAATTTCACAGTTAGAACTCAACTAAAGATTCACACGCAACTTTCTAAAAAAGAAAAATCTTATTTTACTTCTAGATCTGTTATAGCAATTCAATGTCAATGCTTCTGTACTTGACACATACTGCAGTTATATTTGTTCTAATTACTTTTGCATTAACATAATGGTATTTTGATAGTCAAATAAATGGCAGTTTTAGAACAATGGCCCCTCATGCCCCCCTCCAAAAAAAAATTAGAACACTCCTGTTTTCGTCCACTATTTAGGTTCACTGGTATTTCTTCTTAGCTTGCAAAATAAAAAGAAGGCAATGTTAAAACAGTCAATAATAGTAATTGTCCCAGGTGTACCTAGTTTATGAATAAAGCCCAGAAATCATTTAGAAAAAGTTTGGACACTGAAGAAGCATATTGTTGTCATCCAAAGTTTTCTTCCCCATTCTACTATAAAGCAAGTATAAATATTTTACTAAGAAAATCCCTATGAGGCAAAAAGATAACTCTTTAAAATATATTTACACAGTAATAAATAGGAGACAATCACACATAAAATACCCTGTAAGTATACCAAAATGAATTTGAATTCTTTTAAACCTAGCTTGATGTTAAAAGACTTTTAAAAAACTCCTTAAATGTTTACATACCTAGGCCTCGGTAGCAGCAGTGTTGTGAATAGTACGGCTGGCACTGACCGGGGCAAGAAGACAGCTACAAGGATTTGGCCCTGAAACAAGTTTCCATACAGAGGGGTGAAAGTTCACAGGTTATTCTGTGAACAATCATCTCTCTTGTATCCAACCCACTGAACCATAATTTCCATCAAAGCAGCAAACCACTTAATGTCCTAAGATGCACAGCTATATACTTTAGCATGGTCAACAATTACTTTCACATGTTAAAATACCTGATGCCTCTTTAACAGGCATCCTTGTACATGTAACAACAGTATTGAATTCTGTTGATCTTTACGGCCACTTTTAAAAGCATCTGAAACCGCTCCAAATCATGTTTTATTTCCCCTTGTTAATAAACTTAGGCATATATTCTCTAGCAAATATATAGCAGTCTTATCAACAGAGGAAGTAAAAATTTTTTGGTAACTAAGGAAATAGTATGTATCTTCATTTCCTATATTAATAGTTGATACTAAGTGAAAAAAAATCATTGTTTTTTAGACAGTAGTAAAATAGTATAAATTTGTTTCCCAGCTTTATAATTAAATGCTGAGCAGAAAACATGCCAATGACATGTGACTAGACATTAAGTTTAAAAAGGTGCTCTGATGGAAGGAGGCAGCTGTAGAGGTAAAAACATACCCCTGGTTCAGTTCCTTATTTGGTGCAGGCCATGCAGTGTAGATGTATAAAGAGAAAAGTTAGCTGATGCTTGGGTATTCAACTGCCTTGATGCTACACACCTAGAATGACTTTTACTTACTTCCAGGTTCATCCGCCCCTCTTTTCCAGGATACACTCCTAAAAAAAAGGGCAACTGTGCAGAGTACAATATAAACCCCCAAATAACCCAGGTTTCCAATTGCTTCTGTTTTCTAGTATCTTCTTGTTTCTTTACCCCAGTGTGTATGCAGTTAACAACAAAAACTAATGAATCTGAGGACCACAACAAAACATTACTCATCAGGTCATGTCCAGATCATTTCATTCCAGAAAACAGAAGTTCTTTTAAAATCAATAACCATTTAAAATATTTTACTTATGAATTAGAATATTGATAAAACTGACTCTTTTTCATCTAAACATACTGCAACAAAAAAAGCTCAAGAAACGTTGGCATCCTTATGGTTTTAGTACATAAAGAAGATGTTTGAGCTATACTAAAGCAAGAAAAGCCAAATGATTATTTGAGCCAAGTTTTCTAAACACAACATTTAATGACTGTAGACAGTATCTGTGTAAGAACATGTTAAATCTTCAGCTGTCTGTAACTTCTAAATAGTCTGCATTCCTTAGTCGACAGCAAGACATAATTCTACACAAACATGTTTTCGTGAAAGTGGTTTTTGATCATTTGATCTGATGAAATCATTTTCATCTCAATGATAGCAAAAATAATGTGCTTTCCCACGGATGTTTTACATGAAATATAAGGATTAAACCATTTTAAATGTCCTACCTACTAAACATGTTCACATTTAAATCTGTGAACTGCCTACGAAGCTTAAAATAACCAAAAAAATGTTTTAGGGGAAAGTTTATTGGGAGCCAACTGAATCAGTGAAAGGTTAGCACAATGATGGAAGTATTATAAACATTTAGATCAGCACGTCATTATAAAAATGAAAGCCAGAATTTTGCACTGGAGTCACATTACAATGTGTCCACCTAAAAATGTGTGTTTACCACAGACCTACTACTTCAGCACACATAAGCTTCAAGTCTAACTTCCGGAACTATTGAGTTCTCAAGCTCCAATAGTACTAAAAGTAGAAACTAAATAGATGTGTTTGTAATGTAATTCTTTCCGCTGAGATGAAAGCCATGTTTTCAAATAAACTACTCCCCTATTTTTAACTATAATGTAAAATATTTTGGTAGATTTCTTGTTTCCCAGCACAAACCCCCACTAAACGACCTAACATAACTTGGAAGGCAAAATGAGGATAATGTATTAATGTGTTAGTAAAAGGCTCAATAGAAATAAAGCTATCAAAACGGAAATTAAAATACATGAGCATCAAATACCTCATTTTTCAGAAGTTCACCTCATTAATTGGCACTTACTGCAACTCTATATATGTACCTATCAGATTACTGATTACCACTCCATGAAGCTTGTCTCCACTTGACACTTGGGAGACTTTGAAATTTCAAAAAATTACTTGCCCACGATCACACAAGGAGTCAGGTGTACAGCAGGACAAAGAAACCTTCCCATTCCATTAGACCACGCGGCCTCCCAGTTTCAGCACCGCTATGCTGCCAGTACTCCTGAAACAAATTTCCCATCACCCATCCAACCACGCCATCCCTTCACCAGAATGCTTTTCTTCAGAAAGCCTTTCTTAACCACCTAAGACTCCCCCAGAAATGAGGCAGCCGTAGGTGGAGTTCACAGGTCTCACTGCAGGAATCCCAAACCAGGTGCACCTACATCTTCGTAGCACGAGGTGTCCGTTCTCTCCCTTGATTTTAGGTCTTACACATCCTGTGTTTTCATAAGATCAGTGGTTCTCAAATTGAACCTGTGGATCACCAGAGGCCACCAGGGCCTAAATGGTGGTCCACAGATAGTACTTTCCATCCCCCCTCACCCTCCCTTACCACCCGTCAGCACTGCCCACCCCACACTCCAGCATCCCCCCAGCCTTCCAGTCCCATGGCAAGATCACCACATGCAATGCTAATACTAGGGCCTCCCAACCACTTGCTGCAATCAACAGCTGACACAGGGCTGGAGGTCACAAGAAGAGTGAGGAGTAGAAGCCAAGGGATCTTACAAGAAGACGCAAGCACTAATGAAGGGGCAAGGACAGAGGAAGAGAAGAAAGGAAAATGAGGGTGGTGGAGGGCTCTGGGGGCAGTGATCTACCACAAATAAACCTGCAACAAAGTTTCCCATGAAGTAAAAATTTGAGAACCACTGCTTTGAAATGATTAGGTTAGTAGTCCAGCAGGAACTGTGGAATATTCTGAACAGCACCTGATACGATGTTAGCACTCTAAACAGTTAAATCAAACCACCCCCACCAAAGTCAGCATCAACAATTAAAAAAAAATTAACCTCAGGATACAAAGCGAGTGGCTCTTGAGCCATATTTATACATTTGCCATTGTCTCATGAATCTGGTCCATCTTCGATGTCCATCCTGGAGTATACACATAGCAAATTTACTACGGAACTTTGGTTAGAGTCACTGGCCTCTTCATGCATTTTTAATAAAAAATTTTCCAAAAAAATTTTAACTTTGTACTTAAACATTTTGTATGTGCATATAGTATGTACCTTTTTAATCCAGGCTTGGGCACCAGTATTAGCCAACTGTTCTTGTGTCAGAACCTGTACTCCTGTACTTCCTGTGAACTGGCCAGGAATAGAGTTCAGCTGAGCCCAGGCATCAATCTGAAGAAAAGAAGCTGCCTTGATTAACGAAGTAAAAATGCCACTGGTAATTTAATTAACAAAGTTGTTTAGTTCCCGAGAAAACTAATAGCAGAAACATTCAGCCTTTAAAACAATATACTGAATCTACACATACCTAAAATTAAATACTATCCTAAACCTTCCAGAGAAGTAGTTTGATATTCAGTGAATCCTACTAATTTCAAGATTTGATTTATATCTCTTAACTAAAAAGCATAGCTATAATATTTATTCTTCAAAATATCTCATGAACACATGAAAATTGTAAAGAGCTTAAAATGGCAATGGATCCTTGCCCTCCCCTTATCAAATGCATTATATTAAATGTCAGGAAGGCCTATCCTGACAGTAACTAACTACTTTGAGGTATTATAAACACAGAATTCATGCCACAGGCTTAAATAATACAGAAAACAGATTACTGAACCATATAAAACAGCCTTTAAAAAACATTAACAACCAAAATGTACTGGGATAATCGGCTGTCATGCATTCAATTCACATTTACTAATAAAGACAAGTCAGAATGTACTTCCTGTCTTAACATGCACTTACTGTTTCTTCATAGCATTACCACAGAAGGACAGAAAAAAATGGAGATGCCATCCATTATTAAAAGCACAGACTCTGAAATCAGATTGCCTGGAACTGAGTTCCAGTTCCTCCACTGCACAGTGTGAATTTCAGTATCATTAAACTACTCTCTACCCCAGTTTCTTCAGCTGAAACAAGATCTTCATCTCATAGGGCATATATGGGCACTTAGCTAACTTTTTGTTCTCCCCCGAAATAGTTTCTGCCACATGGTACAAATAGTTACCAAATGCTCACACTCTAAATCACTTTCAACTTAAAATAAGCCAGCGAATTAAGATAAATGATTTGTTATACATCAACCACCTAGTTAGTGAAACTGTCACTTAGACATTACAAATGTCTACATACCCTTTCCTGAGCTCGGTTTAACATGCTCATGGCTTCAAGGTCAAATGCATTCTCACTGAGTCTTTTCTGAGCAAGTGCCCGTTCACTCATTGCTGTAGAGATGTCCACAGGCTAAGAAAGAAAACAAAGATAATTATCTCAAATCACCATAGTCCCCTAAATTCTGAAAAGTGCTCATATCTTTAGATGCGACATGTCAAAACCAAAGTAATCATGTAAAGAGGGGAGAAGTCTCAAAGTTTAGGGAGGAAAAAAAATTCCTAGGAAAGGAGATAAGATAAAGGTAAGTTATGAAGTATCACAGGCAACAAACCAACTCAAAAGTGATTTCACTGTTATTTTCTTCAAAAAATTCCATTAAAATGAACGTAAAACTCTAGTATTAAGAAAGTCAATCCTAGCAAATTTTTTTTAACTATTTTAAGTTTTATACTCCTTAGAGTTTTCATGTTACACTTATTTGCATAACTTTCAGAAGCAGTTAGCAAAGGTTTTGATTAAACAAGTAGAAAACCATTAGTCAGTAATCTCCTTCATTCATCAGCACATCATTTCACCTCCGTTGTGCAGTTTGTTCTTACAAACCAAATTTCTCAATAAAATGTAAATCATTTCTTTCCAGTTTACATTTATTACTGGCATTAAAATATTTCTGTGGTAGTCCATAATAACCTTGGCTGATGAGATGTTTAAAAAGTATTAGGTCTTTGTCTTCCTTTTCAAAGCTCCTATCTTCACCGTTTAAAACCATATGTGCTAATAAGCAGAGGTGATTTTTAACTTTCGAAAAGCATAATCTTTAGAGCAAATCCTCAATTTGTCAGAATGTAGAAGGCTTAACCCCAGAATGAAGAATCAACTAAGTAAGTACTTAATTTATGCTATTCTAAAATTAAGAGCTCAAACTGATTTGCATCAACTCATTGATTTTTTGTTTCAATACTGATGAACATTAATTCTTGTAGATTTGTGTGGGGCACCAAGCAATATCAACACATGCAAACTGATCAAATCAGGCAGCTAGCATTTGCATTCCTTTACCTTCTGTTTGGAGTCTACCAGCCCCTCTCAGTTCAGCATACAGCAAATACATTATTGTGAACTATAGTTGCCCCACTGTGTGGTAGAATACTAGAACCTATTACATCTAAACTAATTCTTGTGTTTTGTTTTTTGTTTTTTGTTTTTTTTCTTAACACCATTTAACTCAACAGTTTCCAGTATTTCACAAGAAAATTCAGTTTTGTTAATTATCTGTTATGGGGAGGTTTTTGCTGAAGGTAAAGTCAAATAATAATTAGTAGGTATTTGAAGAATATGACAAATAAGAGTTAACACCTAACGATGGTTCTTTTAAAAGGCGAGGATAGCTGTTAATTAGACTATGAATTGTGTGTGAAACACTTCTTTTAAAAATAAGATCTATATTGGAGAGGGCGACAATTATGAACACTGTATCTCATGCCTAAGTATTCACTAATTTCCCTTTTCCTACCTTTAGAACTCCTTAATTCATCATTCTTAGTTCTCTTGCCTAATCATCTAATACACCTTTAGTTGATAAATCAAGTTTTTCAAAAAAGTACAGATTCTTAAATGCCTTCTTAGGACAGAAACAAAATTAAATTCCTGTTATTGTTTATATATTAGACTGTTTATAGATCTCTTGAAAGAGTTTAGTAAATTATCCAGAAAACTCAAGAGTAATTCTGGGACCTCTAAGCAAAGGCAGACTAAAACACTAACAAACACTACATTTACCTTTCACTTCAACTCTAAGTGATCTAATTCCTGGGACTTGTTCTTTTTGATTCCTGGGACTTTAAATGGGAGCACGGATATTTCATTCCAAAATTTACATTGTCCAGCCCTACCTTAGAAACTTCCTAAACTTTTCTAGCAGGATTAATTTCCAAGGTAATTTTTTAAGGCACACTAAATGAGACAAGTACTATTTCATAAATCTCCCTAGACTTCCCCCGTTTTTCATAGCAATCTAGAAATCTTAGTGCTAGGGTACTTAGGCATAAATGGGTTTTTATTTTGGAAATAGTAAAATCTACAAGGATATTGAGTGAAATGTTCTCTACCTACCAATTTCCAACTATCTGTCAGCCATAAAACTATTTATGAAATTTTTTTAAAACTGTTCTAGAATAAAACTAATTCTTTCCAGGGAAAAGTCAAATGACTGTACCTATCTGTGAATTCACTCTTCTAGAAATTTTAGTTCTTAACGTTTTCTCTATTATTTATTGTGTAAGTAGGTAAACCTATATCCACTTTATCCAGAATGAAACCTCCTTCCTATCTCAGTAATACTGCCTATTAAATTCATATCTTGTTCTGGAACAAATTTTAGTATAGCAATTTTGATGTTTTAAGTTTGCTTAAGATAAAAGCAAAACCTTTTTTCCTGATGTAATATTTATTCTTCAACAGGCTTACCAAGTGAGCTGCAAGTTCATGTGAAAACTTATTACCAAATAGTTTTACTATAAGTTCACATTTCTTAAGTGTGAAAATATACTCAAAATAGGATCAAGACTGTCTGAACCTCTTAAGGATCTTCAAGGGTTTACTTCAAAAAGCCTATTTCCAGCTTGTGAAGTTAACACAGGTTATGTAATAATACGTAAGATAACAACTGCATTAAAAGGGGTTAAATTTTACATAATCAGTATTAAAACTCAGAAAATAACAGAGTTATCCTTTATATCAGTACTATGCTATGAATCTTCTGCAGTAACAGCTACTAGGCACTTGAAATGGAGCTAATGTGATTAAAATGATTTTTTTTAGTAACTGATGACTACTATATTGGACAATATTTACAATCTTAACCATCCTTTTATGTGGCAAAAGCACCAAAATGGTATCTTCATAACCCTTCTAAAAGCTGCAAGAAAATCTTAAATCTGCGAAATATTATCAAGTTGTCATCAACATTTCCACCCATTCAATAGAGACCAGCTAGCTACCTAATGTGTAAAAACTGTGCAATAATTTGTCTATAGGTACATTGAGGGAAATGTTTCATTTCCTTTCCCCTAGGACTTGTTCAAAAAGGTGAAATCTATGTTTAGAAATTCCTGAATTACATTTCTCTTTCTCACATTAATAAAAAGTGCCCAACTTCTTTCACCTCTTTATCAGCAACAAAGCAGACAATTTCTTCTAAAATCTTCAAAGGTTTCATTGTAATGCCATACACAAGGCAGTGGGTATGATGTAACATTTCATGACTTAAGTCATATGAGTGTGCCTTTTTATATCCTTATTTATTATTTAAAAACTCCTAAACCAATGTAATCCCATTTTATTAACCCAACTATTTACATAAATAAAACAAGTATCTTAAGAATATCTTAGAACATCAGCAAAACATTATAGAAGAGCTAAAAATAATTTGTGAAAAATAACTCATAACAAGTTATCTTCTATACAACGGTAAAATAAAAAAATAAAGCATAAAAGAAAAACTTTAATAAAACCAAAGACAAAGCATCTGGTTTATATATAAAACATTTAAAAAAATATTTAGCGAAAACTTTTAAAACAGAACAAAATTACAGCTACAAAAACAAAAGCCTCACTAAATACAGACTGTCTCAGTTGTTATGTGTTTGGTTTTAAAAAAAATTAGGAATTTTTTTATTGTCAGAATTCTCATGTGTAACTCTTAATCTAAATTAATTTCCAAGGGGAAAACACATATTTAACTTATTAAATGGTTCAGTGAAATTCAGTGTTTTACCACATAGGAGAAACCAGAGAGGAAAAAATGAATAATAATGAGGACTATACATCACACATTCTAAAACTATGTTTAATTTGTTAGAATTTTTACCTTACTCCAAGTTAGCTGTCCTAAACTACAGAACTTCTAAGTCTTATTTTAGTTCTCATGGAAATAACACAGCACACTGCTTACGATAAAGATGATCTTAACATCTAAGCAATCCCTAGACCTCAATGGTGATTAGTACCAGATTCTACTTATATTTATGTCACACTAAACCTTGTACTAACTTCATTACCAAGAATGCTTCTACATCTTAATTTCCCAACATTTTTAATCTGATCATAAATAAATCAAATTCATACAAATATGGTTAAAGTTCTATATTCACTCCTTACTAAGGATGGCATTTACTGGTTTCTGGATGGGAAGTCGATGTTATGGCAGGAAGGGCACACAGGCTGTCATTTTATGCTGTTCCATCCACAGTGTCTACCCAAGTCTTGCATTCACATGCAAGAATCTGGTGGAAAAACTATGTTGACTCTTAAGGAGACAAAATCTACAATTACCTATAAAATGTTTTATGCTGAAGACTGAAGAACCACAAAGTCCATATATATTTATTAAAATGAAGGCAGATTTAAAAAATACTCTTCAATTAAAAAGGTGACCATTTAAAAGAATTTTCCTTTTACTCTAGAAAGCCTTTATTTCAAGCCTTAATGGAACCAAAAGGGTTAGTCCTCCCATAAAACATCACCAAAGGTATTCCACAAACATTGGTATATAAAACAGCAATTTTACAAATATACCTAGGTAATAGTTAAATAACTGGAATTAAACACTTTATATTGAACATTTTCTTTAGGTGTTTTAATCATTAGCATGAAGTAAAACTAGACATGTGAAAGTGCAATACAATCTGATCCATTTTTCTCCCCTAAAGTTTTGGGACTCTTGTTTGGAATTAAAGGTAACCTATATATTCTGAGTCTAAGCCTCCAAGTAGGTGTGAAGAGTTCTGATAAACGAAATATTTGTATTTACCTTCCCACAAGAGAGATCTTCTGCTTCATTCAGTTAGCCCACTTATGTATTAATGATTCCTTTACTCAAATAATTTATATTAACCTTCCCTCCAGATTTCTTCAGAATAATTCTCCTCAACCTCTAATATCTTGACAACTGCTTTTGATGTCAAGCAAGGCTAACACAATTATACTGTCAATGTTAAGACTGAAAATGGCTGAGTATTAAATTTCAAATAAAAAACACATACACATTCTCTTGACCAAAAGGAAATGTAATCAAGTTTTACTAAGCACTTTCCCCAGGTTCAACCGAAGAAAAATCAAAATAGTTATGTTTGCTCATCTTCGCAGAAAAATCCCTTGGAATTTTGCAGTATTTATGGGTATTCATTCAGTCCACTGGAAAACATTTCTTTTGTAAAATATCTCCCTAGCTATTTTTTCTAACTCTGTTAAGTGCTTCATCTTCAAGAAATTACTAAAACCATACATATTAGGATTTCTAAGTCTGTACTACTCTCTTATGGTTTATATTCAGCTACTACAAGAAGATTAAGTTAGCTGCAAATGTCAGCTAACCTTTCCCTCTTGTGATGTGCAAATAACCCGATTTGGGGATTAGCAACTGACCTACTGAATTGATTTCACTCAAATTTTGTTTAGGCTAGCTATCCCCCACCCCCAGCCCAGTGATGACATAACTTGCTTCAGTGTGAACACCATGTGAATACAGATCATAACCTGTGACTGTAAGTTACACTGGCTAGTTATCATGTCCAGCTTCATCAGATAGAACTTGTTCCTTTTCAGAATGCTGCAGGTCAGAAACAAAAACAAAAAGCCCACGGTGATAATGTCACCTGTGAACAGCTCAGGGAGAAAAAAAAAATACTGATATCCAAAAGTTTCTGATTTGGGTTCTGTTCACTTTCTGACTTTATAAAGAGGATTTATTTGTAGAACTGGAAGTGTTTACTGGAAGATGATTAATATGACCAATGTAGGGAACCTGAAGTAAAGAAGATAGGTCTCTCTGACCTACATATCCCAGAACCGCAAGAAAATGAAGTCCGTAAGGGCATTAGATATCTAAGTCCAGTTATGTACAGGCTTTGAAAACCAAGGGCAAGGGTGATGACAACTAGGCTATGGTATCATTTAAAACTCCCACCCCACCCCTATTAAGTCTCCACCCTCCCAGACCCCCCAAGCGTGATCTTGCACAACAAGTTAAATAAAAGTAAACTGTTTATTAAAAGATACAGCAAAGGTACAGATACAGAGATACATACAAAGGTACAGATATATATATATATATTTACATATATATACAGTCTTGCTGTTTTCATGTGCACTGTATTTAGCAGCACATTAATCAGGCGGCATTTTAATGGGGTTGTTTCGACACTTGGCATTATTACTGCGTCATTTTGACAAGATACAACTATAGCCTCGTGGAAATTTTGAGGTGTGAATTCCACTTCTCCAACTTTTAATAGTAGCAAAGAGGGGAAGAAGGGAGTGGAGTACCAAGGCTGAACATATTAGGCTAAACACAAGAATTCAAAAGGGCCAAGGTAGCACAGGGAAGGGAAAAATTATTAAAATTAAAGGCTATGTGACAAACAACCCAGAGAAATAATAAGAAACCATCATTTAAGGGCAATTAGCTATGTACCCAGATGTTCACTTCAGTCTACAATGACCTTTTCCAATCCAGTTCTTGTGTTGAAACTAAAGTTCTGCCTCTCTCCACTCAATTCCTCCATCCAGTAAATTTGCTACCACCAAAATCTAGAGCTATAAAGCCTTGAAGCGAAACGGGAAGCTAAATAGTTATACCTCGGGCTACCTTCCCACAAGTGCAAGGAGGGCCCAATGTTGGGTAGGGATGTGATAACACTTTTCTCTGCAATTCGATGCTTTTCACTTTGTGGCTTGCTCCCACAAAGTGAATTGCATCGAGTTACTGTCAACTGAGAAGCTGCGGGTTGTTTCATCTGTCGTCTAACCCGGCCCTGCCGTTTAACCCGGCCCTAAGAAGAGTGAAACAGAATCCAAATCAGATATAAAGTAACAATAAAATGGAAGATTTAGGCATAAAAAAAGATAAAAATACACATAATATTCCTCTTACTTACCTCTGAGGGCAAATTGCTGCTGAAAACATTATCATCATCTTTGTTTTCTTCACCATTCTTCTCTACAGGAACCCACTCTCCATAAACACTGTCTGCTTCTTTCTTTCGATGTTGAGATCCAGATGAAACGGGAAATTCTTTAGTTAATGTTACTTGGCTTTTTGGTGGAGTTGGTTTTGCTGCAGCAATCTAAAAAACAAAGTGTTTCATAATTATGCTCAATATTAACAACTACATTAAATGGCTTCTGAAGCTGGTCAACATAATCTGAAGGACAAGGTTTTGTTCATTATTTCTCAAACTAAATTCCATTTGAGTTTTATTTAAATAGTTACACAAACTGTGTTGTTTCATCAATTCATAATCACTAATACTCACATTCAGATTGAAAAAAATGGGTTTGGGTTCACTGAGCTTAAAGGGATGATGATAAAAAGGAGGTTCTTCTTCCTCTTCATCCGAAACATGAGGTTTGTTCACTATTACATCATCATCTTCTTTACTCTGTGCAATCTGTTTGCATTTCTTTAAAAGTAAAAACAAACAAAAGATAAATCTTATGGTTTATGCAGGGTAACATGTAATTTCTTAGAAAGAACCAAAACCATTTAGACCCAACTTTCAAAAATAAACAAGACTAATAACTGATAGGTTACAGAATGGTATTCTAGCTTATTGGCTATTATTTAAACACAATGGCTGGTCAGTCAGTCAACAACATTTATTGAGCACCTACTATGTGCAGAGCACTGTACTGGGCACTGTCTGGGGAATACAAAAAAAAGTAAAGACATGGTCCCTGCCCCCAAGGGAGCTTACAATCTAGTACAAGAGACAGAATACATACATATGAAATAATTGAAGAAAGCTTTTACAGAGCAACACAATAACAAGTGCAAACTGATATAATACAAACCGAGTACATAAGTGCTAAAAGAACCAAAGGCTTAAGAGAGAATAGAGTCAGGCAGAGCAGAGAATTAAGGAACAGTCCTTGAAGAGTTCTAAGCCAGATTTTCATAATGAAGAACAGGACTAGTAGGGAAAGGAAAAGAAAGTCATCCTAATCAGGTGTTGGTAAAAAGGCAAGAAGACACTTGTTAGAAGGGACAAGAGGGCTGAGGATGAGCCTAAAAACATAGCAAAATACTAGGTGTCCACAGAATTTTGGACAAGGAGCTTGGATTTGGTAAGTAAGCAATAGAGCTTTTACTAGTTCCTCACTTTTTAAAAAAAGTAGTAATTCATATTTAATAAATCTAAGTGAGGAAACAAATTAACAAGCTTTATGATCCCAAAATGTATGGCAAAATAAAGCTTGAATTATTTGTACTAGGGTTAATAGCAATGTGTCTCTCCATGAATGTTTTGGAATAGAACTTAAAGGATGGAAAATAAGGCATGATGGAGAGGGTACAACTGATGAGGTCTGACACATAAAGCAGTCAATTCCTTCCTGAGAAGCAAAGGAACAGACTCCATTACCTGGCTTTATAAAAAGGTCTGAGTAAAGTTGGGTAGACCTGTCTCTATACAAGCAGTAGAATTCATCACATCTATTATCAAGTGAAAATTTACAATAGGATAAAAAGCTCATTTAGCCAAAAACACAGAGTATATCAGGCTTGTAACCAAGGGGAACAGAATATATTGACAGTGGCAGGCTGGCATAAGGCTAGCCGATAACAAGTTTCAATAGATGAAACAGTGTGGTATTTCTGGATCCTAGCAGCAATTATTTTAGCATTTCCCAAAAAATAAAACAAAGCTCAAAAAAACAAAAACAAAAACAAAAACAAAAAGCCTCAATTGAAAACATCAAAATTTTAAAAACAAAAATAAGTATTTAAAATATGTTACTGCCAAAACCCGAACCGCAGGAAGAACTGATAATGGCCGGCCATTATCACCAATGGCTGGTACCAAACAGCCAAAACCCGAAATGTTGATGCGAAAGAAGTTCCTTTCAGGCAATGGCCAGCTATTCTCATTAATTTCCAAGCTCCGGTGGCAAAAGATCATTTCTGAAGATTGTCTGTGTCTTTGCGTATATGCAGTACACTCGTGGCGATCAGTGAACACGTCGTGAATGGAAACGAAACTGTAGGCGAGCTTCTGCGTGTTGCTCACTCAACACCTCCTCCATTCAAACGAACCGTCCCACTCCTCAGTCAGTTTGGCTTCTAAAACTGGAAAGCAAAAGTAATGGGAAGTAACTTTTAGCTGGCGGAGCTTAGCCATCCCGGATAAAATGGCCTGCTACACAGAGCTTCTGCCGCTGCCACATCTGTACTTCGGGTTTTGGCCACTCAGAGCCAGCCATTATCAGCTCAGCCCACAATTCGGGTTTTGGCACGCTCCAGAGTCAACATCCCTGGAGTAATCCATCTTAAGAATGAAAACAAATTCTGTCTAGCTTACCTCAGTTAGTTCTTCTATAGTAGCTCCTCCTGACTTTTTAGCAACTTTCTCTTCTATTGTAGGTGGAGGTGCAGGCTTTAGGTTTGGCGGTAAAGGAACACCAGCCTTAGCACACATGGCAGCTGCATTAGCTTTGGCTATTTCAAGTAATTGAGCCTTATCTGTAAGAGCAAAAATATAAGCAGTTTTCCTAAACAGATGTACATTTTGTATTACCAAAAACATTTCTACTGTGACTAAATTTAAAGGCGTTAATTTTCTGCCCAAATTTTTAGTCATGATCAAACCACTATGGCTCAGCTGTTAAGTGGTGGCCCCATATTTTAAAAATTAAGTACAAGTAGAGCTTTCCATTCAAATGCTACCCAAAATAGCTAACTTACAATACAACTATTAATAACCACCCAGCCACTCTAAGACACAAACCTGACAGAGCCAACTTTTATCTCCCAAAATTATCCCCACAACTTGACATCTTAAATCATACTTTAGGCTAGATTCAAGTGCCATCTCTTCTAACAGTTTTTAATAAATCAAAATTAACATTCCTCTCCACTGTGCTCCCAAGTGCCTCAACTATACGATACGTAACGATAGTAACCAGCACTTTCTGCCTTTGTTGGTCATTCTACTATTTCATACAAAGGGACATGAATTTTAACCACATCTCCTCCACAAACTTGTGATTACTTTGGAATTATACATTATTATCTGCTTTGAAAAAAAAATAGTGGTACTCAGAAATTTTTGTTGAACTAAATTCAATCTCGCCCTTAATATTCTTAACATCTTTTTCTTTAGACAACCCTGACCTGGAAACCTTCAATCTACTTGCAAGATAAACTAATCATATTTACCAAAGGTAATCATGCATCTATTAGATTTTAACCATTTCTGCACACTACTAAAAAATCTAAGAAAATGAGAGCATTGAGTTATAAAGGCAAACAAATTAAGAATCATTCTGGGGACCGGCTCTGTAGCATAGCAGGTAAAGCCACCGCTTACAGTGCCAGCATCCCATATGGGTGCTAGTTCAAGTCCCAGCTACTCCACTTCCAATCCAGCTCTCTGCTATGGCCTGGGAAAGCAGTAGAAGATGGCCCAAGTCCTTGGGCCCCTCCATCCATGTGGGAGACCCAGAAGAAGCTCCTGGGCTTGGGATCAGCGTAGTTCCAGCAGTTGTGGTCATCTGGGATGTGAACCAGCAGATGGAAGACCCCTCTCTCTGCTTCTCTGTAACTCTGCCTTTCAAATAAATAAATAAATAAATAAAAGGCAAGCCATTCTGAGGGCTGGCACAGCATGGAAAACCACTGCCTGCAAGGCCAGCATCCCATATGGGTGCCGGTTCCTATTTCAGCTGCTCCAGTTCCAATCAGATCCCTGCTAGTGCACCCAGGAAATCAGCAAGGAGTGGTCTGAGTCCTGGGGATCTGTGCCCATGTGGGAGACCTGGAAGAAGTTCTGGTGGGGAGTGAACCAACAGATCGAAGATACCTCTCTCGCTCTGTCTGTCCCTCTAACTCTGCCTTTCAAAGAAACAAAATAAATCTAATTTCTAATGTAGTAATTTCATTTTTTAGCTACCATCATCCACTCAGTTTTTAATAACTTCCTGCTACTATTTTATAACAATCAGAACTACCATCACAAACATCTAACAAACCTGTATTGCTATTTGAAGATATGTTAACTTATTAAAAAAGAATCTTCATTAGGTTTACTTAAAAGGATGTATGTTGGAACACAACGCAGTGACAATCAACAAATAACAACCGTGTCTTTAAGTAAATGGACTTTGTCTGCTTCTGTTTTTCATTTTTAGTTAGGGCAAGATGACTCATGTAAAATTAAACATTCAAGTATCAAAAAACATGTTGAGTATAACATACTCCAAAGCAGATATTTTACAACGCATTTATCCCTTTGTTTTCTAAACACATGCTAAATTACTCATAAAAATTTAGAGAAGTGTTTATCCTAAACCAATAGCCCCAAATACTCTATTTGACTCAAGATCACAAAAGTTCCAATTTACACCATTCTCCATTATACCACTAAAACAAAAACAAAAAGACTCACCCAAATCTGTTAGACGTTTGGGTGATCTGCCCCTTTCAGAAGACCTGGACCTTTTACGACGGATAGGAGATCTACTAAACCTTCTTCTCAGAGGCGTTCTTGATCGCCTTAATCTGACTGGTGATATACTGAAGCTTCGTCTTCTCACCACAGACCTAGATCTTCTTCGACGGCTAGGAGTGCGGCTCCGTCGGCTGGGGGTACGGCTCCGTCGGCTGGGGGTGCGGCTCCGTCGGCTGGGGGTGCGACTCCGTCGGCTGGGGGTGCGGCTCCTTCGGCTGGGGGTGCGGCTCCGTCGGCTGGGGGTGCGGCTCCGTCTACTGGGGGAAACACTGAAACTCCTTCTTCTACCCACGGATCTAGACCTCCTCCTACGGCTCGGAGTGTGACTGCGACTCCTGCGACTTGGAGTGCGACTTCGAGCTCGGACTGCTTTCCGGTTGTCCCTTGAGCTTGATCTTTTTCTTTTCCTTTCCCTGGATTTAGATCTGTGCTTTGGAGACCTTTTGCGCTTTTCTTTTGATACAGATCGCCTTCCTCTAGACTTTGATCTAGACCTGCTGCTCCTCCTCCTGCGTCTTGACCGTGACCGTGAACGTGTTTGAGATCGATGAGACTTGGACTTAGAAGACCTCTTCCTTGCCCTAGAACGAGATTCACTAGTACGCTTGCGTGATTTATGTTCAGATGATTTGGAACGTTTACTCCGAGATCTTAATGAAGAATCTCTTTTTTTCTCTTTTTCACCTTTGTCACGGTTCTTTTTCTTGCTTTTCTCATGTGTGTCCTTAACTTTAACAAAAATCTCATAATCATCTTTTTCTTCTGAAGATGACTCCGAAGCTCTTTCTGGTATACTAATTACAACTGGACTGGCAGCAGATTTGTCACGTTCAGCCTCACTTGCAAGTAAAGGTCCTTCAATGCCAGCTCTAAGGCTTGTAAGACGTTCCATGTCCTTGGGAAGTAATGGTCTCACCAAATCTGCTTCATTAATATCCTCAATATTTGTAGGAAATCCTGAATCAGGTATCTCTTTAGTAGGGAGAGGTACCTCTTTATCTTCCCCACTACTTTCTTTAGGGCTGACAACAACTGCTAATGTCTGGTCGCTCTCTTTTACAGGTAACAGTTCTTCTGTATCTTTACTAAGATTACCAGATGCTAAATCAAGATGAATGTCTTTAGCAGGCAAAGGTCCCTCTATGTCAGCTTCACTACCACCACTGGGGCTCGTGGAAATGACCATGTCATGCTCAGTATCTTGAGTAGTTAAAGATACATCAACATCATACTTATTAACTGAACCGAGAGCAGATGGTGTCATATATTCAGTACCCTTACTAGTTTCCACTGCGTCAGGTTCCACAGCCAAAGGACCAGTAGAAGACAGAGTTCCTCTTGCATCAGTTTCATTAACACCAGAGCTAGTATCCAATACTGTACATTGTTCAGTCTCCTTGATGGGCAAAATTTTCTCTTCACCAATTTCACCAACAGGACCAGTGTCAGCAGCAGACACTGTACTATGTTCCATCTCTTTAGCAATTAAGTGATTATTTGTATTAAGGTCTGTATTTATACTACATTCACTTTCGTAAGAGTCACTTTTCAGGTGTCCTTCAGCACGCGGCTCTTCACTTGAATGCAATGGGATCTTCTGCATGCCAATCTCCGGAGCAAAACTTTGATCACCAGAAAGTAAATTCATCCCTTTCACAACAAGTGATGAAGACATAACACTAGACTGCAATATTACTGGTGTAGACTCTAAAACCATCTCGGTCGATATTATTTCCGTCTGCTCTGAAATAGTGACAGCAGATTCTGAAATTGTCACAGTGGATTCTTGGACAGAAAGAGATGGTTCTGAAATAATCATAGCAGGTTGAAGGACTGACACTGCCGGGTCCACAATAGGCACAGTAGGCTCCAGGGCAGAAACTGACACTGGAATGGTGACATGCTCTGGCTCAATCACAGCTGGAGGGTCGACAGCTACAACCTGCGGTTCTGATTCAGCCACAGGAGGCGGCTCCAAGACAGCCACAGCTGGAGATTCTGGGACAGCCACAACCGTGGTAGGAGACTCTGGGACAGCCACAACCATGGCAGGAGGCTCCTGGACAGCCACCGCTGCAGCCTCTGAGACAGCCACGGCTGGTAACTCCAGAATGTTCTCTGCTGGTTCTGGTATAGTTACTGCTGGCTCCAACAAGGGCACAGATAATTCTGAGGCATGTGCTGAGGTTCTCATGGAATCTAATGTTTCTGCTGTCTCGGATACAACAGGAGGCTCTGCTGTTAACACAGCTGGTTCCACTGACATCATGGGAGTTTCAGTCACTGGTCTCTCTGGAACTTCCTGTTCTACTCCAGCAGACTCTCTAGGTGTGGATGTAACTGAAGACTCTGGCTCCAGTGGTGGTTCTGAAACAGTCATGACAGCCTCTGATGTTAACACTGAGGACTCTGATGCTGACACTGAATAATGAGCAGGGACCGCTGAAGGCTCTGAGATCTCACTCTGACTCACAGGAGGCTCAGGCTGTGACACAGACCCTTCAGTAGGTAATGCTGGCACCTCTGTAGGCCATGTATTTTCAGCTGCTAATGCTGAGTCCTCAGCAGGTAATGCTGGACCCTCTGGTGGTTCCTCAGGAGGCAATGGTGGTGTCATTGGTGGCTCCTCAGGTGGCAATGGTGGCATTGTTGGAGGCTCTTCAGGAGGCAAAGGTGGCACCATATATGCCTCTGTATATGTATCAGTATAAGTATCAGTGTAAGAATCAGCTGCCATAGACATCATTGAACGGTCAGTGTAAGATGACATCATAGATCGGTCAGCTGCAGAGTACGATGACATCATAGATCGGTCAGCAGCAGAGTACGACGACATCATGGACCGGTCCGCACCCATGGACATCATAGATCGATCAGCCATCGGGGACATCATGGAACGCTCATAAGCGGACATCATAGAGCGTTCATAAGCTGACATCATAGAGCGTTCAGCCATAGGAGACATCATAGAGCGCTCATAAGCTGACATCATAGAGCGCTCATAGGCTGACATCATAGATCGCTCAGCCATAGGTGACATCATGGAGCGCTCGTAAGACATCATAGAGCGTTCGTAAGATGACATCATGGAACGTTCTGCAGCATAGGACATCATCATAGACCGTCTAGATGCCAACATCAAGGGTCTAGGTGCTAACCTGTATGGTCTAGGTGCTATTCTGTAAGACCTGGGAGCTATTCTATAGGGTCTAGGTGACATCCTATAGGGATCAGGAGTTAGTCTATATGGATCATGCCCTAATCTATAGGGATCTTGTCCTAACCTGTAAGCATCATGACCTAACCTGTAAGGGTCATGACCCAACCTATAGGGATCTTGAGCTAATCTGTAAGGATCCTGTGCTAACCTATAGGGATCAGGAGATTTTGAACCCAACATAGCAGAATCTTGGGTACTAGATGCTAACATCTGGGCATCCATGGTACCAGATGCTAACATCTGAGCGTCCATGGTGCCGGAAGCTAACATCTGGGAATCCATAGTGCCAGATGCTAACATCTGGGAATCCATAGAGCTGGTTGCTAACATCTGGGAATCCATAGAGCTGGTTGCTAACATCTGGGAGTCCATGGAGCTGGTTGCTAACATCTGGGAGTCCATGGAGCTGGTTGCTAACATCTGGGAGTCCATGGAGCTGGTTGCTAACATCTGGGAGTCCATGGAGCTGGTTGCTAACATCTGGGAGTCCATGGAGCTGGTTGCTAACATCTGGGAGTCCATAGTGCTAGTAGCTAGCATCTGGGAGTCCATGGAGCTAGTGGCTAACATCTGGGAGTCCATAGTGCTAGAGGCTAACATCTGGGAGTCCATGGTGCTAGAGGCTAGCATCTGGGAGTCCATGGTGTTGGATGCTAGCATCTGGGAGTCCATGGTATTGGACGCTAGCATTTGGGATTCCATGGTGTTGGATGCTAACATATGGGCCTCCATGGTGTTAGAAGCTAACATATGGGAATCTTGGGCCAACAAGGGATCCACTCCTACTGTTACAGAAGTCTCCCCCACTAATGTAGTAGGCAGCTCCTGTGCTACCGTATTATAGGATTCCAGCGCTGTCGTCGAGGGCACCTCCAGGGACTGCGACACGGTCATCGTTGACAGCTCCGACGTTGTCACCACAGACTGAACAGAGATCTCAAGCGCCACAGTTGCCACAGGCTGCCCAGGCAACTCTGGCGCCCCAGGCTGCCCTGGCAACTCCAGCACCCCTGTTGCCAGAGGCTGCCCCAAAAGCTCCAGTGCTCCAGCTGCCCCAGACTGCCCCGAGAACTCCAGTGCCCCAGTTGCCATGAGCTGCCCAGGCAACTCAAGTGCCCCAGTTGCCACAGGCTGCCCTGACAACTCCAGTGCCCTAGTTGCCGAAGGCAGCCCTGGCAACTCCGGCACCCCAGTCACTGAAGGCTGCCCAGGCAACTCCAGGGCTGTAGTTGCCTCTGGTTGTCCTGGCAACTCCAGCACCATTGTTGCCTCAGGCTGCCCCAGCAACCCTGTTGCTGCTGTCACCTCAGGATGCCCAGGATGTTCCACCGTTGTCATCCCCACAGGATGCTCCAACTCTGTCGTCGTCACAGGTTGTTCGGTCAACTCCATTGCTACTGTTACCGCAGGCTGCCCTGGCAATTCTACTGCGGATGACACTGCAGGCAGCCCTGGCAACTCCTGTGCCATCACAGGTGGCTCTGGTACCTCCTGTGGTGGCTCCAACCCCATAGATGGTGCTGGAAGCCCTGGCAAGTCCTGTGACAGCTGTGGCACTGGTGTCACAGGGGGCCCCGGCAACTCGGGCACTGGTGTCACAGGGGGCCCTGGCAACTCAGGCACTGGGGTAGAGAGGGGCCCTGGTAACTCTGGCACCGGGGTAGCAGAGGGCCCAGGTAACCCCAGCACTGGAGTCACAGGGGGCCCCTGCAACTCCGGCATGGAGATCGCAGGTGGCCCCGGCAACTCCAGCGCTGAGGCCACCGACGACTCCGGCAACTCCAACGCCGTGGTCTTAGGCAGCTCCATCAACTCCTGTGGTCTTGTCACGGATGACTCTGTCATCTCCGATGGTACGTCTACAGGCTGCTCTGGCAAGCTAAGCACTTCAGTTGCAGATGACTCTGAAAAATCCATTGCTGTTGATGTGCTTGGCTCAGGGTGCACCTCAGCAGGTGCTTCAGATGCTATGCCAGGGGTTTGTGGTGGCTCTAGGGCTTTTGCTCCTAGAGGGTCTACCAGCATCTTTGATGACTCTGTAGATGCATTCTCCAAAGATTTCAGCACAGACTTCTGATACTCCACTGACATTGTGACAACTGGCTCAGATGACTTCGGCACTACTGCTGTAGCAGGCACTGGTGCTGTTGCAAAGGAATCCAGAATCTTTGATGTGGACGGTTCCAGCATTCCTGCCACAGGCTGCTCGGACTGCTCTGAGATTACTGATGTTGATGCAACTGACAGTTCTACAGTTTTTGTAGCTGGCTTTAGAGTTTCTAAGATGTGCGGCTCTGACACCTCCATTGATACTAAAGGAGGTTCTAACAAAACTGCAGATGATTCACTGGTCTCAGATAGCCCAAATGCTCTCACAGGTTCCAGTGCCATTGCTGAAGATTCAGAATCAAACTTTAAAAAGGAATCTGATTCTAAATCTATGTTCCCATCATTATGAGATTTCGGCTTTGATTCAGATTCTTCTGGCTGTCTTTTATATTTTTTTTCCTTTTCTTTCTTCTTTTTCTTCTTTTTATTTTTGTGCTTTTTATGCTTCTTTGATTTTTTGGTGGGAACTTCATCAGTAGGATCTGTCTGCACAGACACACATCTACTTTTTCTGGAGGCCTCTTTCAAGTCTAAAATAGAAATTAATTTTGTCAGCCACTTCCCAAATTTAGATAAACATATACCAGTATTTTCATTCCATGTTAAAGTTTCACCACAGTGTGACACTTCACATTAAATGAAGTCAGAAAATAAACTTCACCAATTAATCTGAAGACTGTCACACATCTTTCTATAGCTAAAGCTTGGTTTAAGATAGAACTCATTTAGAAAGATTTGTTTTACTAAATTACGTTATTTTCTCCAGTTCACAAATTACATAGTAAATAACATTTAAACTACATTTTCCAGTAATTATATTTCAGATTATCAGTTGTTAAAATTCCTATTAATACTACTCATGTTAAATAATTTTTGAAAGGCAGAATGACAGAGAGGAAGAAACAGAGTAGGAGATGACTTTCAGTCTGCTGTTTCACTTTCCAAATGGACACAACAGTCAGGTCGAGGCCAGGCCAAAGCCAGCATCTAGAACTCCATCTGGGTCTCCCACATAGATGGCAGGTATTTGGGTACCTAAGCAATCTGCTGCTGTCTTTCCAGGCACATTAGCAGGAAGCCAGATCAGAAGTGGCAAGCCAGGCCTCAAAGTGGCACTCAATAACTCCAGTCAAATTCTAAAATTATCTTTTAATCCTTATTGATATAGAAGTCCCATGGCACTTGCCCTAGAACAGAACGCCTGCTTTTTATCCTAAATCAGTCTATCAAATACTAGATGAAAGGCCTTGGCCAAGATACTGACAGTGAACCTTCCTGGAGGTAATAAAATAAATTAGAAACATGCAAAGTGGGACCTTAACAGCAGCATAGCAAGTTAAGCCACCTATGACGCTGGCATCCCATATGGGCACCTGTTTGTGTTCTGGCTGTTCTGCTTTTGATACACATCCCTGCTAACGCACTTGCGAAAGCAGCAGAGAGCCACCCACATACAAAACCTGGAAGAAACTCCTGGCACCAGCCTGGTCGTACAGCCATTTGGGGAGTGAACCAGCAGATGCAAGATCTAACTCTTTCAAATAAGTACGTACAAAAAAAAAAGGCCGGCGCCGCGGCTCACTAGGCTAATCCTCCTCCTTGCGGCGCCGGCACACCGGGTTCAAGTCCCGGTCGGGGTGCCAGATTCTGTCCTTTTGCCCCTCTTCCAGGCCAGCTCTCTGCTGTGGCCAGGGAAGGCAGTGGAAGATGGTCCAAGTGCTTGGGCCCTGCACCCCATGGGAGACCAGGAGAAGCACCTGGCTCCTGCCATTGGATCAGCACAGCGCGCTGGCCGCTGCAGCCATTGGAGGGTGAACCAACGGCAAAGGAAGACCTTTCTCTCTGTCTCTCTCTCTCACTGTCCGCTCTGCCTGTAAAAAAAAAAAAAAAAAAAAAAAAGGAACACTGCCTGGCAGATAATAAGGTCTCAGTAAAGGTGACTGCTTCTATATAGTATGCAAATATCTGAACAAAAATAAAACTTGAATTCTCTCTTATCAGATCTGTTGTACTCAGGTAAAAATAACAAAACCTCCCCCCCAATATTTTGCTTTTCTAAAACTACTAAGGAGGGGCCGGCGTTGTGGCTCAGTAGGTTAATCCTCCACCTGTGGCGCCGGCATCCCATATGGGCACTGCTTCTAGTCCCGGTTGCTCCACTTCCAGTCCAGCTCTCTGCTGTGGCCTGGGAAAGCAGTAGAAGATGGCCTAAGTCCTTGGGCCCCTGCACCCTCGTGGGCGACCAGGAAGAGGCACCTGGCTCCTGGCTTTGGATTGGCACAGCTCCGGCCACTGCGGCCATTTGGGGGAGTGAATCAACAGAGGGAAGACCTCTCTCTATCTCTGCCTCTTTCCCTCTCACTGCGTCTAACTGTCTCTCTCAAATAAATAAAATCTGGAGAAAAAAAAACAACTACCTAGGAATCATTTTTTAAATGCCTCTATTTTTTAAAATTGTCAGTTAAGGTGCCAGCCCTGTGGCTCAGCAGGTTAACGCCCAGCTTGCAGTGCCATCATCCCCTATGGGTGCCAGTTCAAGTCCCAGCTGCTCCACTTCTGATCCAACTCCCTGCTAATGTACCTGGGAAATCAGAGGAGGAAGGTCCAAGTGCTTAGGCTCCTGCACCAACAAAGGAGACCTTGAACAAGCTCTTGGCCTCAGATGGGCTCAGCTCTGGCTGTTGCAGCCATTTGGGGTTAACCAGAGGATGGAAGACCTCTTTCTCTGTCTCTACCTCTCTAACTCTTAAATAAATAAAATATTGAAAAAAAAAAAAAAAGGCAGTTAAATTAAATCTTACAGATCCCAGAAAAAGCTGGTAAGAAATGCCAGTCAATAGTAGAAAAATATAAGCCAGTAACACATGACAAGACCCAGCCACGGCAATTTTTTTTTAAGATTAATTTATTTGAAAGGCAGAGTTACACACAGAGGGAGAGCCAGAGACTTCCATCTGCTTGTTCATTCCCTAAATGGTCACAACAGCTGGGACTGGGCCAGGCTGAAGCCAGGAGCCTGAAACTGGGTCTCCCACGTGGGTATCAACTTTTAAAGCACGTGGGCCATGTTCCACTGCTTTACTAGACACATTAACAGGAGGCTGGATCAGAAGTAGAAAAGCAGGGGACTCGAATTGATAGGATATACTGGCATTACAGATGGCAGCTGAAACTGCTATCCTGCAACGCCAGTCCCCTAAGAAAACATTTTCTTCATTCTACTCATTTTCTATTGCTTAATTGCAGAATATCAAATGTTAGTTAAGTTACACTCCAATAAAAAAAAAAAACTGTAGCTAGAACCATGAAATCTAAACAATGCTTAAAATCCTTCATTTCTAAACATAAATTTCAATAAAAGCAATGAATCATCTTCATTATGTTTAAAGATTTATTTATTTGAAAGGCAGAGAGCTAGAGAGACAGAGAGGCAGAGGCAAAGAGAGAGAGAGAGAAGAGAGAGAGAATCTTCCATCCACTGGTTTATTCCTGAGATGGCCTCAACAGCCAGAGCTGTGCTGATACAAAGCCACGAGCCTCTTCTAGGTCTCCCACGTCGGTGCAGGGGCCCAAGGACTTGGGCCATCTTCTACTGCTTTCCCAGGCCATAGCAGAGAGCTGGAATGGAACTGGAACAGTCGGGACTCGAACTGGTGCCCATATGGGAAGCCAGCATTGCCAGCAGTGGCTTTACCAGCTATGCCACAGCGCCAGCCTCCATTATGATTTTAAGTGTAGTGGATATGAAATCAAGACAGATGCTAGGTTTGGATTTTAATGTAAAACCTCTTATAGTCTTAAAAATCACTACAGGGTAGATATTTGGGTTAGCAGTTAAAGAGACCAGTTATGTAACATGGCAGGTACTTGGGTTCAATACCTGTCTCTGGCTCTTGACTCCAGCTGCCTGCCAGGTGCAGACCCTGAGAAACAGTACTGATGGCTCAAGTAATGGAGTTCCTGCCATCCATGCCAGACATGGATTGAGGCCGGCGCCGCGGCTCACTAGGCTAATCCTCCACCTTGCGGTGCGGCACCGGCACACCAGGTTCTAGTCCCGGTCGGGGCGCCGGATTCTGTCCCGGTTGCCCCTCTTCCAGGGAGTGCAGTGGAGGATGGCCCAAGTGCTTGGCCCCTGCACCCCATGGGAGACCAGGAGAAGTACCTGGCTCCTGCCATCGGATCAACGCGGTGTGCCGGCCACAGTACACCGGCCGCAACAGCCATTGGAGGGTGAACCAACGGCAAAGGAAGACCTTTCTCTCTCTCTCACTGTCCACTCTGCCTGTCAAAAAAAAAAAAAAAGACATGGACTGAGCCCCAGGCTCCTTGTTTCAGCCCTAGCCAGGGCCACTGTGGACATATGTGCAGTGAACCAGCAGAGTGTTCTCTCTCAAATAAATCAAAGTGCAAAAACAAAGAAAAAGAAAAGAGAGTACGTCCTGGCTATCATACCTCTCAAAACCAACATTCAGGGGCTAGCGTTGTAGGGTACTGCATTAAGCTGTGGCCTGCAATGCCAGCATCCCATATGAATGTGGCTTTCAGTCCCAGCTGCTCCACTTCTGATCCAGCTCCCTGCTAATGTACCTGAGAAAGCAGAATATTGTCCAAGTGTTTGGGCCCCTACAAACAGGAAACCCAGATGAAGCTCCAGGCTTCTGGCTACAGCCTGGCCCAGCAATGGCCACTGCAGCCATTTGGGTAGTGTACCAGCAGATGGAAGATATCTCTCTATCTCTCTTTTTCTAAGTCTGCCTTTCAAAGAAATAAATCTTAAAAAAAAAAAAAAAAAAAAACACATAATATTCAATAAAAACCCACACTCAAAATACTATCCCCTAGACACTAAGTAACTCAATAAAGATAAAACCATATTCTATAACAAATCAAGCAAACCCTCCAATGTTCATGGTTCAGTACAATTACATTTTCAAAGGTTTTTTTTTTAAGATTCGTTTATTAAAGAGTTGCAGAGAGAGCGAGAGGTCTTCTATCCGTTGTTTCACTTCCCAAATGGCTGCAGCCAGAGGTGGGTCAATCTGAAGCCAGGAGCCAGGAGTTTCTTCTGGGTCTCCCACATGGGTGCAGGGGCCCAAAGACTTGGGCCATCTTCTACTGATTTCCCAGGCCATAGCAGAGAGCTATGGATTGGAAATGGAGCAGCTGGAACTCAAACCAGTGCCCATATGAGAGGCTGGCACTGCAGGTGGCATCTTTACCTGCAATGCCACAGCACCGGCCCCTCAAAGGTGGTCTGAAACAACAAAGTCTTTAGTAAATCAAAGATAAACTCAAGAGCCAATGTTATAGCATAGCATGTTAAACTGCCACTTACAATGCTGGCATTCCATATCACATATCAACATGCCAGTTTGAGTCCTGGTTATTTGGCTTTCCACTCAGGGCACTGCTGACACACTGAGGAAAGCAGTAGAAGATATTTAAAATGTGTGGGCCCCTACCACTCACATGAAAGACCTGGACAGAGTTCCAAGTTCGTGGTTCTATCCACTGCTGCCCTTTGGGGAGTAAACCAGCAAACGTAAACTGTCTTTCCCATCTGCTTTCGAATAAACAAGTAAGTCTTTAAAAATGGAAAAATTTGAATTTACTGAAGTTTTAGATTTAATGAACATTTAAATACCTTGCAGTCAATAAATAATTCTATTAACCTTAAAATTAAACAAAAAATAAATAAAAATTTAAACAGAAAAACACCTGATCATCTCCAACTTACCTGGCTTACATCGTAGTTCTGTATCTAGGACCCCAGAAAGGACTTCTTCTATCTTCTGCACTATTTCTTCATTTGGGAGATTCCTGGCAGAGGCAGCTGCATCACCTGCCTGGTTTCCTTCAACAGGTGTATTTGTTTCACCATTTAGCTGGCCTTCACTCCTTCCACTGAACAAGAAAAGATATCAAATTCATGCTTTATCATACCATACTAAAAAAAAAAAAAACCCTAACTAATATATTTATACATTACTGTGTCCATGTTTCATCCTTTTCCTATTTCAGATGTTCATCACCAACAGAGCTCCCTTCACACTATTTACTTGTAGTTAGTACATGTTCATTTTTACATAAAAGTTTTCATAATTATAAAAGTTAAAAAATTCATTAAAACAGGTTTCTAAGCACTCTCCAGAACTTTAACTTGAGGCTTTTGGGTTTCCTATACAGTTCTCTAAAGGGAGGAAAATTTGTTAAAAGAGTCCAACCACAAATCCAAAGAAAAATACATGACCTAACATGGTAGAAAACAATGGGCACAGATTACAATTACCATCAACAGTAACAAGAACAAAAATGCTGGCCACAGACTCACTGATTAAAAAGAGCAACTTACAGTATCTTAAAGAGAAAAATATATTAATATGACATTTACTAACTTACCTAAAATATGATGCAAAACAACAAAAAACTGGTGTTCAAAAAAACTCACATAAATCAAGTGACAACTCATTTATACTAACAGTAACAGCACAGACAGCTTAACATGTCTTCAATTTATAGAGCCAGAAGACACTTAATATAAATTCTTGTCATTCACCTAGTCATTCTATTTTTAAATTTGTAAAATTTTGAAACACCCAATAATTCAAAAAACGGTTCAACTTTAATTCAACTTCAATTTTCAGCTATATGAAAACACATAAAAAATTATGCTCCAATATCTCATAAAAGTCTGAAGGGTCAAAAGAAAAAAAATTCTGTAAACTGTATGTCATTAAAGAACATTTGGCTTTCTAATACTATGAGTCATGTAACACTAATTAATAACTATTGACTATAAACTAGTGGAATACCTTTTTTAACTCACTTGATCCCAACAGAAATCTAAGGTCACCACTTAGTTATTTTGATTTTAGACAGAAAAGCACACAGAAGAAACTTAGCTGAAGATCACACAAACTAGTAAGAAATAAACCTGGTATTCAAAACCAGGTACTAAACCATCTATATGCAACAGACAACTTGCTATTTGTCAGCCTCACTACCTTGCACTGATGAATGAAAAAGCACAAAAGAAAAACAGCTCACTGAAATGGCAAGTAATAAAAAATGTTTTTAGGTAATGAGTTATGGATTATAAAGAATCTGCCTATTTTTCTACAAATGTGTATCTATAATTTTCTTTTTAGATTTTCCTTCTGGAGCACTTTTACATGTTACCTAAGTACTATAGGAGTACACACTTATCACTCTTAATATTGGAACACTACAACTTTAAGACAGTTTCTTAAGAATTATGACTTCATATTAAAGCTACAAGGATGTTGATCACAATTGCTGAAAAGCAAATTTCAAACAACCAAAATATGGGACATTGAATATCTACAATAGAATTCAATGACACAATGTAGAATATTCAAAAGCTACCATGACAAACAAACCTATTCACATATCAGGTGGAAAACAATCAATACAAAACAAAATGACAGTTCACAAAATACACATGTAATCTATATGCACAAGGAAAAAAACTGAAAGTATGTAAAAACATCAATAAATAGGCTGTTTCCTATGTTTTCTGAATGTTCTACAATAACAGCTCATTTTCTAACAGAAAATCTGAATTAAAAACAAGGCTTATTAACATATGCAAGCACAACTACTTATGGCATGTAACTAACAGTTTCCAGGAAAATTTTATTTCCTTAGGTCAGGTCTCTTCTCATCCTAAAAACACACCAGCTTTATCACAAAATTCTAAAGAGCAATATAGTAGGATGACACATTTCCCACTTAAAACATCATTCTGTAAAAACAATTCTGGCAATAACAATATATCAATGCCCCAACAATCCTACGTCAGGGCTCTTAATTCCCAACTGTGTTTTCGGTGGATTTTTAAAATCTCCTACTGCTCTTGCTCTCAACTTTCAAAATACAATTAGCAAAACTACTTGAACTTAAGAAAACTAGCTGGGTTTCACTATTTCTTTCCTATATCCCTGCTTTCAAGGAACTGTATTTTACACAAGCCAAAATCTCAAAGACCAGCATTCACCAACAACATTTTCTTCCCTGTGTAAACAACCTTTTCTCTGGAAATCTTTCCCCCTTAAAGTAACGTGAAACCAAGGAAAGCCCATGTGAGGTCTAACAGCAATAGCCAATACAGTGTGGTGGTCGAAGATGTCAACGCAAGCAGGGTGACAGATCTACACACAAAGTCCACTTTCATCAGTCTTTCAAAATTCCCTCCCATCCCAACTCGAATATTTTTCTCCCACAGACTAATAATACAGGTGAACTGTTTGAATTTAAAACTCTAGCCTATTAGAATGCTGCGTGGTGGAAACCACAGGACACTCGGACCGAATAATCTAATTACTGGATCCCGACCCCGAAACGGCCCGAAACTTGCAAGAATGGAGATTTAAGATTACCCAAGAAACGGCCGTTAGAGACCCTTTCCGGTCACCGGCACCGGCCGGCGAAATCCGCGGAGGCGGAGAGGGGGAGGGGAAACGCGGCGGCGGAGGTGGAGCTGAGGAAGGAACTAGGCCCGTCCCTGCCGGACAACCAGGCCTACAAGTCGCTCGAAGACCGCGGGCGACCGAACGGGGAGAAAGAGCGAACATCCTCACTCCGACTTTCAGGAGGGAGTCTGGGCTCACGGCTAAAAGGGCGCAATTCCAAGGGGAGGAAGGGAGGGAGCGGATGGGGGTTGGGGGGGAGGGCCCGGAAAATGGATCCCAGGCCCAGGCGGGGCCGTAGCGGAGCCTGAGCCGAGGAACGACGGCGTCTCTGGAGAGAGGTGCCAGGGAAGGCTAGGCAGGGCCCTAACGGCCCGTTCGTAGCAGAATGGCCTGGGAGGCGATTACCTGGAAAGCTCCTGTTGGATTTCCCGGAATTTACTGACCACGAAAGACCTAAAAATCTGCTCGATGTCGGCCGCCATGGCGTCCGCTCCGTTCTCTCAACTCCTCCTCGCTAGTCCTCCAGGCTCCCAGCATGCCTCGGGAAGAGGCGCAGCGGCCAATTCCTTCTCTCGCCTTTCTGATTGGCCCCGACGGCGCGTCCGGCCCGGCACGCTCCGCCCTCCGGCCAATCAGCGAGCGCGGCCCCACTCTCCTCTGCTGTTTCTGAGCCGCTTCGGGTAGAGGTGCTGACGTTTGCGCCGCGCACGACTGTGTCCGCCATGTTAGTGTCTGACGCAGGCGCCATTACAGGAGCAGCAGCTCTGGTGGCGGCCCTGTCAGCCTGAGTTGTCACCTGCCTACGGTGCTCGGGGGCTTTGAAAGGCTCGCTATAGCGAGAAAAGGGGGCAAGGAGGGCAGCAGGGTGCCTGGCACAAGGCACCCGGGCGTCTGCGGGGCACGCCAGGCTGTTTTCGTCGGCGACTTGCCTCCGGGAGAGAACTAGCCAGCCTTCGCCCCCACTGTGGTGTGAACACGAAGCCCCCATTTTTATTTCGTGTCCCTCCCGCTGCCCTCTCCAGCGGCCTCATCCTGTCAGCTGTGGGCCTGAGGTCCCGCGTCCAAAGCCTGGGGCCCGTCCAGGAGCCCAGCGCGTCCCGGCATTTGCGCACTTAGCCGGTCAGTTCCGAGTCTCGTCGGAGCACACAGCTAGCGAAAGGCGGGCCTGGCACCGTGGCGCTCGCTCTCCTCGGGGCCCAGGGGGCTCCCGAGGGGGCGTGCGGGCGTTTCGGGGCGCCCCGCACCACGGCGTCTCCGCAACGCGCGCCAGGGCTGCGGCGGCCGCGCCCGCTCGGCGGCCTCGCCGCGGGGACCCCGGCCGCGCCGGCCGACGGGGAGGGGCCGTCCGCGGGGCGGGGCGGGACGGCGCGGCCGGCGCGCGCCGGATCCCGCCGGGCCGACTTCCGGCGAGTGGGCGCGCGCGGCGTGGTCGCCGGGTGGCGGTGCGTGAGCCCTGCGGCGCGTGAGTGGGGTACGTGTGGGACTGGGCTCAGGGGTGTCGCGCGGGGAGCTGAACGCGGCCCCCGGGAAAGCGGCGCAGCCGTGGACGGCTTCGTCTTGGGTTGAAATAACGGTGGATGGGGGCTGGCCATGTGCTTTTCTTGCCCTTAACCGCGGCTGACCGTCTGAGCGTTCGCGTTCCGGGCTTTGCGAGGTGTCAGGGGTTTTTTGCATCTTCATGGCTTTTTTAGGCTAGAACCCGAAATCGGTGTGCTTAGTTGATCATATCCTCTCGTGTATGCACCCGTCGTCTCAGATTACACGTTCTGCTTTTGTAATAAGTTTCTACTTTATGCACCAAATCCTTTGAAATCTGACTCCTTTATACTGTTTATATTATAGTTACCCATTCAGACGATTGAAGCCCGAGAAGGTTAAAGCCCCTCCTGACCCTCCCAGCTAGTCAGGGGCGGTGGGCCGCACCCTCGCAAAGGCCCCTAAACCACTCCTGACCTTAGATGCCTGCTGCCTGGGTGCTAATGTATTTCGATGACAGTAAACAGGAAAAATGTCCTTCACTGACAAACTAAATATGTGCCATTTTGTCTACATGCAAAGATTTTTGTGTGTATTTCAGATATTTCAGCACATAGAGCAAGTGCACTGTCCGTCTTCCATTAGGCCGAAGTAGCTTTTTCTTATTTAGCAGATTTTTTTTCCTTTACTCAAATTTTTCATGATCATCATCATTGCAACTGTTAAAGAGTATGTGAAGCAAGATTGCTTCAGTTAGAATCCAGGCTCTACCTGCTGTGTGACCTACAACAAGCTGTTTAAGGGAACCAGGCCCCCATCTCTTTTATGTGTTAAGTGATGATGATAAATGTGTCTGCTGCATAGGATTCTAATGTAATGGTTTGAAAACTTGTTTCTCTCCCTCAAATATCAACTTTAGGTAAAAGTAACCATGAACTATAACAAGTTAATTTTAGTTATGAGTGCTAGAAATTGTGCTGATTTTTCAGAAATGTTCTTTCAATTTATCTTCACATAGCCGTGGTCACACTGTTAGCTTGAGACAATAGCTGTTCCATCCATTTTGCTGAGATTCAAATGCCAGAACTAAAGTCAGATGTGTTGGAATTTAATTTTTGCTTTCTCCACCAATTTTCTATCATACTGCTTAAAATAGGGGTCAGCAAACTATAGCCCACATGCCAAATCTTTTATGCCATGTTTTTTTGTACAGTCTATTAAATAAGAATGCCTGGGAAAAACAATGTTCTTATCACATCATTATTTGAAGTTTATATAAAGTTTTATTGAAACAATCATTTTATTTTGTTATTCTGGCTTCCTGTTGCTTAGAGCACTGATAGGAACTAATTTCCTACCTGCTGTAAATTTTGTGAACATTGGCACTTTTGTGAATATTGTCTGGCTACTTTCATAGAGTGGATAGTCTCAAGAGACCTCAAGGCCCTCAAAACCTAGTTTACTATCTGACCTTTTACAAATAAAGTTGCTGATCCCTTACCTTCAATATTTCTTTCACTTTGTGATACACATAAAGTCTATTACCTGTAAGATCTCAAGGTTTAAAAATGGACATGTTAAATTCACTTTGATTCACTTTTTTCTTAGCTAAGACTTGATGATTAAATCTAAAAGTGAAGCCCGATGAAGTGAGAGTATCAGTTAACGAGCTGTAAAGGTCCATTTTCCATTTCTAGCAACACAATACGGAGTAAGTTACAAAAATATTCTTTTAGCTTACAGTTGAAGCAGTCTGCGGCCAAGGGCAGTGGCTGGGGAAGGCCATCTTGCTGGCAGACTCCTGAAGTGGCAGAGGCTTCACGTGAAGAGATAGGGAGCAGCTGTGTTTGTATCTGGTGTCCCCTTTTTATAAAGCGGTGGGAAAGCAGTCGCGGGGCTGCACCCTAATGACTTTATGCAGTCATCCTATAATCACATCTAAAGGCCCTCCCTCTAACCGCCATGATCAGATTCAGTTCCGCCTTCCTAGTGCTACACTATGGGGATTAAGTTGCAAGACATGAAGCTCAAACCATAGCAGGAGCTCAATCACCATTCACCTCATAACCTACCTCTTTTGACCAATCTGCCTAATTTTTAAAATACCCCTCTTTCTGACTGTAATCATATGTGTCGAACTATGAATTCCAGTTTCTCAAAAGTGGATGAAAAAATGTCACTTGTGCAAGTACAAATAATTAAATCATATTGGGGACTTGTGATTTCTAAAGTGTGTACATTCTGAATTATCCACTGTGGTTTGCTTTTCATGCAGGTTTTGTTTTCCTTTGGAATTCCTGCTTTGCACACAGCAATGACGGCCCGAGTACTTGTAATTGGCAATGGAGGCAGGGAACACACGCTGGCCTGGAAACTTGCACAGTCCATTCATGTCAAGCAAGTGTTGGTTGCACCAGGAAATGCAGGAACTGCTTGCTCTGAAAAGATTTCAAATGCTGGTAATCATATTTTGTTTCTCTTTCTTTGAGAGGCAGAGAAAGTGATTGACAGAACTTTCATCTGCTGGTTCACTCCTCAGATGTCCACAGTAGCCGCCAGCTGAGACTGAAGCCAGAAGCCTGGAATTCAGTCCAGATCTCCCACATGGGTAGCAGGAACTCAATCACTTGAGCCATTGCTGGTTGACTCCCAGGGTGTCCATTAGCAAGAAACTGGATTCAGGAGCTAGATAGAGATGGGTATTGAATCGAGGTACTGGGATATGGCATACCGAATGCGGCATCTTTTTTTTTTTTTTAAGATTTATTTATTTATTTATCTGAAAGAGTTACACAGAGAGAGGAGAGGTCCTCCATCCAATGGTTCACTGGAGTGAACCAGAAGATAAAAGATCTCTCTCCCTCTCTGTCCTCTTTCTGCCTTTCAAATAAATTTTTTTTAAAAAATGAAAATAGATAGATACCTTATCTTGTAACCTGTCCCTTTGTGCAGAGCACCTTGAGATGTCAGCATGTGTAACAGTGGTAGTCCAGATACAGTGAAGCAGGAGAGCCCTGCAGAACCCATCTGTGGTTCATGCTATTGCTCATTACTTAGGACTCCATCAAGAAAGAAAATGTGCCTGGCTTCTAAGTTGCAGAACAGAGGTGCATCTTGTTCTTGTTGTTGTTGTTTTTAAAGATTTATATATTGATTTGAAAGGCAGAAATACAGAGAGGCAGAGGCAAAGAGAGAGAAGTCTTCCATCTGCTGGTTCACTTCCCAAATGGCTGCAACAGCCAGAGCTGGACCGATCGAAAGCCAGGAGCCAGGAGCATCTTCCAGGTCTCCCACGCAGTTGCAGAGGCCCAAGGACTTGGGCCATCTTCCACTGCTTTCCCAAGCCACAGCAGAAAGCTGGATCGGAAGTGGAACAGCCAGGACTTGAACCAGCGCCTTATGGGATGCCAGCACTGCAGGCGGCAGCTTTACCCACTACACCACAGTGCCAGCCCCCAAAGCTGAATCTGAAAATCATCATTCAGTTCTTTGCTTAAAAAGCTTTGCCTGAAAGAGATCCCTCCTGACTCAATGAGAGTCTCCCAATTCACCTCATATCAGATTTGCTTAATTCTTTGATGTTTGCTATTTATTGCTTGCATATTTATCTTAAATGTAGGGACCCTGTTTGTATTAACATCTTAATGCTAGTACCTAGGAAGTAGCTAACAGATAACTGAGTTTTCAGTAGGAATGAATGATGTTAAAAGATGAGTTGTGAGTACGTTCTGTGTGTGTTTTTTGTTTACAGTCAACAGTGGTGGCATGTACACCATGATTTATGGTTTTTTGAGTTTACTGGTACCTTCATCATTTAACTGGCTACAGTGATTACCAACAACTGAACTTTAGTGCCTAGCCTAAAGCACTCTTCTGAATTTCTCATGGTGAAACTGTCATCTATGTCAGTAAAACCAGTGGTCAACAGGCAGAGGACAGGATGGCATTTAGTCTTTACTTATCAGTTATAATTTACGTAAACAGAATGTTTTTGTGAATGTGATGTGTTTTCTGTTCACAGCCATCTCAGTCAGTGATCACACTGCCCTTGCTCAATTCTGCAAAGATGAAAACATTGAGTTGGTAGTTGTTGGACCTGAGGCGCCTCTGGCTGCTGGTAAAGTTCATTCTGTTTTTTGTTATGGCATACACAGTGGCAATGGGAGCTCAGGGATCCTCTCATCCAGTTCATTTTACAGACGAGGACTTGTATAATATGTTGCCCAAGGAGTTTTCACCATCTTGAATTTTATGGATTCAAGACGTTCTTCCACATACATCTGTAATATGATAAGTTATAGATCAAATTTGCAGACATGGGAAGCATTTTATGTATCTTTGTTCTGCTCTGATCTAGGGTCTATTTAATAATCTGTATATGCAGATATAATAAATATCTTGCTGGATTTCAGTCACCTATTGATAGCATTTTATTTATAGCTTACTCTCTCCCACCAGTGATCTACCTTGTTTAAACATACTTAATGTAATCCTGATTTGTATTCAGCCCAAAAAGCTAGAAAAGCCCTAGTTTACTTAAACTACTTTTGCTTCTGTAGGAATTGTTGAGAACCTAACATCTGCAGGAGTGCGATGCTTTGGCCCCACAGCAAAAGCAGCTCAGCTGGAGTCCAGCAAAAGGTTTGCCAAAGAGTTTATGGATCGACATGGAATCCCAACTGCACGGTGGAGAGCTTTCACCACGCCTGAAGAGGCCTGCAGCTTCATTATGAGGTGTGTAGAAGGCTGCACATGAAGCGCAGTCGTTTCTTAAGATAGTTAGGTCCTTAGGCTGTCATGAGTTTATGGGAAAATGATTATGGAAAAAATATTCCCAATGAATACTAGGTAAGTTACCCTTTTCCGTTATAAATAAATGGAATTTTATGTGTATATATTAGATAATATTGTAACCTTGCAGAAAGATGAAATTTACTGAGTAGGCCTTAGGGGGAATATGCACCTGTTCTGCAGTCATGCATTCTGCTCACAGCCAAATGGACAACATCAAGAATATTGATTTTTTTTTTTTTTACATAAATAATTAAGAAGAGTGAGAAGATGACTGCTTGGTCATCTATACCACAACTCCAAATGTACATCTTAAAATCAGAAATCCTTTTTTCTATTATTTGGAAAACATTAAGGAATTAATGACTGTTGGTAGACACTTACCTTTGTCTTTTTTGTTGACACTTCCTACTGCCTGGTGTGTTTTCTGTTCAGTCGGGTCAATTTCATTCTTTATTCATTCTTCATCCTACAGGGTTTCTTTGACACTGAATATTATTATTTCCTAGTAGCCAGATGCCTTGGGTAAGTAACAGTTTGTTACTTACTTTGGGTAAGTCTCCTTCTAGTTCCCTAGTCCCACTAGGGAGGTTCTAATGTGTACTTCCAAAAATGGTCTGTGTGTCTGCACTTATGGTCTTACATAACTACATTTCCTACTTAAATGAGAGTATGATTTGCTGCTTTATATCTTCAAGATCACTGCATATCTACTCTGTGCATCTGCTTATTCCAAAGATTGGGCCTACATGATCTCATTATAAGTAAAAAGAAAAAAGCAAAATTGTACAGAGGGACTTCAAAAAGTTCACGGAAAACAGAATTAAAGGATGGTTCCAACTTCCCATGAAATTTTTGAAGCACCCTCGTATGTACCATATGATCATATGGGGGATAAAATACTGTTGAGAAATATGTCAAGAGTGTTGGCATGATAAATAATTATTTTCTTTTCTGCTTTTCAGTTACTATGTAGTATATCACTACAAAAATCCCATTTAACATTTTCACTTGTAAGGGTTTTATTGAGTGTGAAGGTTTGCTCTGTTCACAGCGCAGACTTCCCTGCTTTGGTGGTGAAGGCCAGTGGTCTAGCAGCTGGGAAAGGGGTAATTGTCGCAAAGAACCAAGAAGAGGCCTGCAGGGCTGTCCAGGAGATCATGCAGGTAGGTTGATTCTTCTGGAAAGTTTCATTTTCTGTTCACAATGGGCAGATAGCGCCAAGTTTACAAAATGATACGAAGCCCAAAGGCAGATGTGCTTTTTTAAGAAGACTGTGTTATAGTCCTTCTCAGTACAGTGGTTATTACAAACACCTCTACACTGAAGGCCAAACCAGGATTCTGTTCATTTGAGTTAAGTTCTGACATTCTTTGTTATCTGCTTCTGAACAGTAGAAAATCCTCAGACTATAAAACATAGTAATAAATTCGCATGAGGACAAAAATATTTGTCTTGTGTGGCCCAGTCTAAGCAAGTGGAGTAATCAAGAATAAGGATTAAATATTAAATGTTAATGAAAATATCTATTTTTCCTTTATTTGAAACTGGAAAACCAAATCCTCAGGAGAGTATTATGTTTATTTCACCTGTACCAATTCAGCTCTGCATCATCATCACATAAAAAAATTTGGAAACATTAATATGTTCATTTTAGTCTTTTAGAGACAAAAAAAGAAAATACTAGCATTTTGGGTCTTTTTACAAATGGTGAACTATGACGAAAGTCATTTAAGTAAATATTAAAAGCTTAGAACTCACCTAACTTCTTTTTTTCTAAACTGCAATTAGGAGAAGGCTTTTGGAGCAGCTGGAGAAACAATTGTTATTGAAGAACTCCTTGAAGGAGAAGAAGTATCTGTACGTATATTCACTTTTTTTTGACTTTTATGAAGTATAGAAGCTGTTTCCTGATGAATGTGTCCCCCCCCCCCTTTAAAAAACTTAATTTAATCTGGCCACTTGGTCTAAAAAATCACAAACCCAGCAATTACAAAGAAATTTGAATACCTTAAGTGTTTGAAATGCAAAATGAAAAAAGAATTACTCTTTCTGTAACCATCCCCACTGCATTAATGGGAAGACTTGGATTTTTTTTTTTTTTTAAGATTTATTTATTTATTTGAAAGTAAGAGTTACACAGAGAAGGAGAGGCAGAGAGAGAGAGGTCTTCCATCCACTGGTTCACTCCCCAATGGGCCGCCACAGCCGGAGCTGCACAGATCCGCTCTGGGTCTCCCACATGGGTGCAGGGGCCCAGGCACTTGGGCCATCTTCTACTGCTTTCCCAGACCAGAGCAGAGAGCTGGATTGGAAGTGGAGCAGCTGAGACTCGAACTGGTGCCCATATGAGATGCCAGCCTTGCAGGAGGCAGCTTTAGCCACTACACCACAGCACCGACCCCAAGACTTGGATTTACATCACGTGTTATTAAGGTTCTGAATTAGTCAGACGTTCCTGCTTGCGCAGCTGTTTGGACACCAGTTGGGAAGCCCAAGTGCTGTATCAGAGTGCCCAGGTTTAATCCTGGCTCTGTCCCTGATTCCAGCTTGCAGGAGGCAGCAGTGATGGCTCAAGTAATTAGATTCCTGCAGTCCACACTGGAGACCCGGTTTGAGTTCCTGGCTCCAGCTTCCATGGCTAGGCCACAGCCGTTATGACTGCTTGATGAACCAGCACATGGGAATTGTTTCTCTGCCTCTCAGGTGAACAAAGACTTTTTTAAATTCATGTTTTTTCTCTTATATACAATTTACTGTATAATAGTAATAGAAATAAAGTCACCTTGAATAGTTTTAATGCCTGGAAATTTTAAGAGAAGGAGAAAGGATGAAATATTTTACTTGCAGAGTAGTTTGTTTTTTTCCCAATCTACCTAAAAATTACAGATCCTTCAGAAGTTGAGTATAGAAGAACTCCGTTGGTTTTTTTTCATTGTCGTTTTTATGAAGATTTTGTTTTTTATTTATTTAAAAGGTAGAATCATAGGAGGAGAGACAGAGAGAGAGATCTTCCTTCTGCCAATTCACTCCCCTAAATGGCTGAAATAGCCAGGGCTGGGTCAAGCTGAAGCCAGGAACTTCTGGGTCTCCCACATGGGTAGTAGGGGTACAAGTACTTGGGCCATCTTTTGCTGCTTTTCCTAGGCCATTAGCAGTGAGCTGGGTCAGAAGTGGAGCAGCTGGAACTTTAACCAGCAGCCATAAATGCCAGCCCCAAGAACTTGTGTTTTTTGTTTTTTTAACTTTCCTTTTTGAAAGACAGACACAGAGACACATACAGAGAGAGATCTTGCATCCACTGGCTCATTCCCCCAAATGCCCGCAATAGCCAGGACTGGGCCAGGCTAAAGCCAGGATCCTGGAACTCCATCTAAGTCTCCCCCTGGGTGGCAGGGACCCAATTACTTAGGCCATCACCTGCTGCCTTCCAAAGTATGTATTAGCAGGAAGCTGGAATCAGAAGTGAAGCCAGGGGGCTGGCACTGTGGCTTAGCAGGTAAAGCCACTGCCTGCAGTGCTGGCATCCCAGATGGGCACTGGTTCTAGTCCTGGCTGCTCTACTTCCCATCCAGCTCTCTCCTATGGCCTGGGAAAGCAGTAGAAGGTGGCCCAAGTTGTTGGACCCCTGCACCTATGTGGGAGACCTGGAATTGGCTTCTGGCTTTGGACCGGCCCAGCTTCAGCTGTTGCAGACATTTGAAGAATGAACCAGCAGATGGAAGACTTCTCTCCCCCTTTCCCCCTTTCCCCCTTTCCCTCTCTCCCTCTCACGCCTCCTCTCCCCCTTTCCCCCTCACACCCCCTCTTCCCTCTCCTCTCTCCCCTCCCCCTCTCCCTCTTGCCCTCTCCCCCTCTCCCCCTCTTCCCTCCGCCCCTAAGAAAAAAAAAGTAAAGCCAGGACTTGCACCAGGCATTCAGATATGGGATGTAGGTGTTGCAAGCATCATCTTAACCGTTGGCAACAAACACCCACCCCATACAGGATCTGCTTGACGTATGCAGCTTGAGATTAATGCGTTTTGTTAATTTTATCTTTAAAAAGAAACTTTAAGAGATCAGATATGTATAATTCACCTTATTAAATTGTGTTTACTTTTTGGCATTTAACAGTGAATCCTTTTGTCTCCATAGTGTCTGTGTTTCACTGATGGGAGTACTGTGGCCCCCATGCCTCCAGCACAGGACCACAAGCGATTACTGGAGGGGGATCTTGGCCCCAACACAGGGGGGATGGGAGCCTATTGTCCAGCACCTCAGGTACTTCCCCAGGGCTCTCCTGAAATTCAGTAGTAATTGGTCCTCCTGAAGAGCTCTTTTTTTTTTTTTTTTTTTTGGACAGGCAGAGTGGACAGTGAGAGAGAGAGAGAAAGGTCTTCCTTTGCCGTTGGTTCACCCTCCAATGGCCACCATGGCCAGCGCACTGCGCTTATCCGAGGGCAGGAACCAGGTGCTTCTCCATGCAGGTTCAGGGCCCAAAGACTTGGGCCATCCTCCACTGCACTCCCAGGCCACAGCAGAGAGCTGGCCTGGAAGAGGGGCAACCGGAACAGAATCCGGCGCCCAGACCGGGACTAGAACCCGGTGTGCCGGCGCCGCTAGGTACAGGATTAGCCAATTGAGCCACGGCGCCGGCCGTGAAGAGCTCTTACGTGTAATGCTTTTCTGATTATTGTGTTTGTTGTGTAAATTGTATTACTTATCAGCAGGTTGATTTTTTTCTATTAAAAGTAATCTAGTCTCTAAAACTAATCTTTTCTAAAAACTTTTCAAGAACTATGTTAAGACAGTCTAAAATGTAGGATGTGTTGAATAAATCTTCCTGTCCTCTCCTCTCTACACTCGATTTTCAACCAATGGGAACATATTAGATTCTAGAATTATCTTTTGTTCATCTCTGGATATCCACAGCCCAACACATGAGTGTTATATGTATGTAAGCATTATAAATTGAGGACTGAGTCAGACCATAATCTGTTCTTCTGGCCTTTCCATGTTTCCAATTTCTGAACAGCTTTTCTTAACAAAAGTCTGCATTATTGCATTATAAGTAAGTTCGCACTCCAAAACTCAGTCATCCTTTCATTGTTGATAGTCATAATTGTTTCTGCTGAAAGCACTTTTGCATGTTTTTATTGAGTAAAAGATTAAAAGCCAAATTCTTTTCTTTTTAGGCCTTATAAGTTTGAAATTACAATTTGGTAATAGTGATTTTAATCTAAGAACTATCTCAGTCTAATTTTCAAACTAAGCTTATAAAATCAGATTCATAAGTACATAGGCTTATAAAATATGTGTAGTGTATTCTATAAGTATTTACAAAGGAGCCTCCTGGCAAGAACTTTCTTCATCTTTATTATATTTTGGAAAAATATTTTTGATGAGCTTCTTTAAAAGCATATGACAGATGACTTAACAAGTCATGTTAGGCATGGAATGTGGGTTGGCACTGACACTTTGTCAATAAACATGCAATCCCGCCTCTGCTTGCTTACCAGACTCAGGGTATATATTAGTCAAAAAGGAAAGTTATGGTATTTTCTAAGACACTGAGGTGCATTTTAAAGAGGGGAGTAAAGCGTGTACAGTGTGTTAAGCACTGCAGTTGGCACTCTGTCTTCCAGTTCTTTACTGTTCTCAACAAGTAAGGCAAATGGACCTACCTGATGGAGTTGGGAGAATTTAGAAAGTTTATGAAGTGCTCAGCCGGTCTTAGGTGCTAAAAATATGATAGTTCATGCCCTCGTCATAGAATTTTTCTTAATATCAGTAACACTTAAGTATCACTGTATGTTCCTCAGGTTTCTAAGGATTTGTTACTGAAAATTAAAAATGCTGTTCTTCAGAAAACAGTAGATGGCATGCAGCAGGAGGGCACTCCTTACGTAGGTAAGCACATTGATGTTATTGTTGACATTGTTTGCAATAGAGTAACTTTGCACTGTTGATTAAACTTCCTGGGCCAGCATTGTGGCATAGCAGATAAAGCCGCTGCCTGCAACGCCAGTGTCCCATATAGGCTCTAATGTGAGTACTGGCAGCTCCACTTCCGATCCAGCTCCCCTGCTAATGGACTGGGAAAGGAGCAGCAGATGTCCCAACTACCTAGTCCCCTACCACCAACATGGGAGACTCAGAGGAAGCTCCTGGCTCCTGGCTCCTGGCTTTGTCCTGGCCCAGCCCTGGCTGTTGCTACCATTTGGAGATTGAACCAGCAGATAGAGGCTCGCTCTTTCTCTTGCTTTCTCTCTGTCTCTGACTTTCAAAATAAATTAATTAAAAAAATTTTTTTTCTCTTTTTGCAGTCTTTTTAATTGGCCACAATTGTAGCATTTATGATTATTTATGATTATTCCAAAACTATGAGTGCCAGAAATATTTATTCTAGATTTTATACTCCTAATACAGTGTTTTCATTATAGACTCCTTTTTCTGTCCTCTTTTTTGTTTTTAATCAAGGAATTCTGTATGCTGGTATAATGCTGACTAAGGATGGCCCAAAAGTTCTTGAGTTTAATTGTCGTTTTGGTGATCCAGAGTGCCAGGTAGGTAACAGTAATTGAAGATGGTATTACTTTGTAGACTCTGTGTGTCATTTTAACTTCAGGATTTATCAGCATTGAAATACTTATCTTTGAGAAATACTTAGAAGTTCTGCCAGTGGCCTGGCGAATCAAAATGTCTTAAGAAAACAGGAAGTTATCTCAACTGCCACATTGATTGTGTTCTTCCAGGTTATCCTCCCACTTCTTAAAAGTGATCTTTTTGAAGTGGTTCAGTCCACCTTAGATGGCCAGCTCTGCACCTCCTTGCCCGCCTGGCTAGAAAACCATGCTGCTGTTACCGTTGTCATGGCAAGTAAAGGTTATCCTGGAGCCTATACGACGGGTATGGAGATAACAGGTGAGTACGAGGGAAGGAGGGAAGAGTGGGTTTCAAGGTGACAAGTGACCAGCGCAACAGCACGCCTCCCTCCCATACTAATGCCTCTTTGTATTCAGGGTATGAAGGCACCAGAAACTATCAGAGGTTTTTTGGTTTTTTGGGTTTTTTTGTTTGTTTGTTTTTGTTTTTTTTTAACTATTTATTTATTTGAAGGCAGAGTTACAGAGAGACAGAGGCAGAAAGAAAGAGAGAGGTCTTCCATCTGCTGGTTCACTCCCCAGATGGCCACAACAGCCGGAGCTGTGCCGATCTGAAGCCAGGAGCCAGGAGCTTCTTCCAAGGGCAAGGACTATCTTCTACTGCTTTCTCAGGCCATAGCAGAGAGCTGGATCGGAAGTTGAGCAGCCAGAACTCAAACCAGCACGCATATGGGATGCTGGTGCCGCAGGCAGTGCCAGCCCCACAACAATGTTTTTTAAAACATAAAAGAAATTATCTTTGTAAAAACTGTCCTCTTTGGTCATTTTAGAATTTAAACAGTAGATTTTTTTTTAAGATTTAATTACTTACTTGAAAGAGCGGGGGAGAGAGTGAGAGAGAACACAGGCCTCCATTAGCCAGGGTTGTACCAGGCTGAAGCCAGGAGCTAGGAGCTTTCATCCTGGTCTCCCACATGTGTGGCAGGGGCCCAAACACTTGGGCCATCTTCTGCTTCTTTTCCTTGGTGCATAAGCAGAGAGCAGGATCAGAAGTGAAGCAGCCGGCACATGAACCAGCACCCATATGGGATGCTGGCAAAGCACGCGGTGGCTTCACTCACTACACCACAACGCCGGCCTCAAATATTAAGTTATATATGATGAGGCCAGTATGGAGGCACAGTCAGCTAAGCTGCCACCTGCCATGCTGGCATCCCATAGTAGAACACCAGTTCAAGTTCTGCCGTTATGCTTCCAATCCAGCTTCCTGCTAATGTGCCTGCAGAAACATCGGCAGATGACCTAAGTACTTGGGTTCCTGCCAGCCACCTAGGTGACCCTAATGGAGCTCCAGACTCCTGACTTTGGCCTGGTCCAACCTCACCCATTATGGCCATATTGGGAGTGACCAGTGGATGGAGAATAACTCTTGCTGTCTCACTCTTCCCTTTGAATAAATAAATATCTCTCCTTTTTTTTTTTTTTAAGTTATTGTATCCAAGAGTTGAAAAAGGTTTCAAAAGAATGAATCCAGGAATTTGGGGTTGGCCTCAATTCAATTTAAATCAAATTTACCTTAAAACATTAAACATTCCCTGCTAACACGCCTGGGAAAGCAACAGAGGATGGCCCAAGTACTTGGGTCCCTGCCAGCCATGTAGGAAATTCAGATAGAGTTGTTCTTTTTTAATAATTTATTTGAAAGGCAGAATTATAAATTGAGAGAGAGAGACAGAGATCTTTCATCCACTGGTTCAGTCCCCAAATGGTCGCAACAACCATGGCTAGGCCAGGCCAAAGCCAGGAACCAGGAGTTTCATGCAGGTCTCCCATGTGGGTGCAGGGGGCAAGTATTTGGGTCATCTGCTGCTGCTTTCTCAGGCCTTTAGCAGGGAGCTGGATTGGAAGTTGAGCAGCCAGGACACAAATTGGTGCCCATATGGGATGCCAGTGTCACAGGTGGCTGCAGTACCTGCCATGCCACAAGTACTGACCCACAGTTGGAGTTCTAGGTTTCTGGCATCAGCCTGGTCCAGTTCTAGCCATTGCAGCCATCTGGGTGTGAACTCTAGGGTAGAAAATCTCTCTCTATGTGTGTCTCTTTCTCTGTAACTCTCAAATGAATAAATCTTTTAAGAAAAAATGTTAACAATTGTATATTAGGGAAAAGATAATTGAAGCGAATGCTTTGCACTGCCCTGATATTTCAGCTATTAAGAAAGCAACTTTCCGGCGGGCGCCGCGGCTCACTAGGCTAATCCTCCGCCTAGCGGCGCCGGCACACCAGGTTCTAGTCCCGGTCGGGGCACCGGATTCTGTCCCGGATGCCCCCTTCCAGGCCAGCCCTCTGCTGTGGCCAGGGAGTGCAGTGGAGGATGGCCCAGGTGCTTGGGCCCTGCACCCCATGGGAGACCAGGAAAAGCACCTGGCTCCTGGCTCCTGCCATCGGATCAGCGCGGTGCGCCGGCCACAGCACGCCGGCCGCGGCGGCCATTGGAGGGTGAACCAACGGCAAAGGAAGACCTTTCTCTCTGTCTCTCTCTCACTGTCCACTCTGCCTGTCAAAAGATATGAGAAAAGGAAAGCAACTTTCCTTGAATGACTACAAAAAAAGATAGATGTTTGGCCTAGCAGTTAAGAGGCCCTTGTCCTGTATCTGAATGCCTGGGTTCAGGTCCTGGCTCTGTTCCCAGTGCCAGCTTTCTGCTAATGCACACCCTAGGAGATAGCAAGTGATGGCTCATTTAGTTGGCTCCCTGCCACCCTCTTGTGAAATCTGGATTGAGTTGCAAGCTTCAAGCTTAAGTTTGGCCTAGCCCCAGTTGTTAGAAACTCGAATCAGGAGCACAGGCAGGACTTGAACCCGTTCTCTTTCATATGGGATGCATCCCACATAGCACTTTTTTTTTTTTTTTAAGGATTTAAGATTTGAAAGACAGTGTGAGATCTTCCATCCTGTGGTTCACTCCCCAAATGGCCATAAAAGCTGGAGCTGGGTTAAATTGAAGCCAGGAGCCAGGAGCTTCTTCTGGGTCTGCCATGTGGGTGCAGGGGCTCAAGAACTTGGGCCACCTTTTTCTTCTTTTCTAGGTGCATTAGCAGGGAGCTGGATCAGAAGTGGAGCAGCCAGGACTCTAGTGGGTACCCAAATGGGAGCCGGCGCCCATGTGGAAGGCCAGAGCTATAGCCTGTGGCTTTACCTGCTACACCACAGCACCTGTCACACGCCCCCCCCCCCAAGTAGCATCTTAACTGCTGCACCAGATACCCACTGAAAATTTTTTAGAAATTAAGACAGAGATCTGTCCACTAGTGTATTTCCCTAATGCCCACAACAGCTAATACTGGGCCGAGCTAAAGCCACGAGTCAGAAACTCAATCTAGGTCTCCCATGTGCATGGCAGAAACACAACTACTTCAGCCATCCTGGGTGCACATTAGTAGAAAGCTGAAATAGAGAGCCTACCTCGATATTCAAACCCAGGCACCCTGGCATGGGAGACATGCCAAGCTATGTCTTTTTTTTTTTTTTTTTTTGAAAGACAAGATTAGTAGATTAGTTCTTCCATTCACTGGTTCACTCTGCCAAATGGCAGCAACAGCTGGACTTGGGCCTGGCCAAAGCCAAGAACCTAGAACTCCATCTGGGTCTGCAGTGCCCAAGCACTTGGGCCATCTTCCACTACCTTCCCAGGCACAGTAGCAGGGAGCTGGATCAGAAGCTGAGCAGCCAGGATTCCAGCCCATGCTCAGATGGGATACAGTTGTCACAGCTGGCACCTTAACCTGCTGTCCTACAACGTCGGCCTCCCAGGCTGTGTCTTAAATGCTGCGCCAGACAAATTGCTACCCCAGAAATTCCCTTACTCTTAAGTGAAAGTTAGATTTCAAATGCAGGGTTTATTCACTGAAACAAGAGACAATTTTTTTTGTTAAGATTTATTTATTTTGAAAATTGGAGTTACAGGGAGAGAAGGAGAAACAGATAACTTCCATCCACTGGTTCACCCTCCAGACAGCCACAATGGCCAGGGCTGTGCCAGACTGGTGGCAGGAGCCAGGAGCTCCTTCCAGCTGTCCTATATGGGTAGAAGGTGCCCAGGTACTTGGGCCATCTTCCACTGCTTTTCCCATGCTGTTAGCAGGGAGCTGGAACAGAAGTGGAACAACCAAGACACAAACCGGCACTCATGAGATGCCAACATCTCTCAAGCGGTGACTTTACCCACTACCACAATGCCAGCCCTGGAAACAAGTTTTAATCATGAGGGACCAGCGCTGTGGCATAGCAGGTAGAGCCTGCAGTGCTGGCATCGAGTCCCAACTGCTCCACTTCTGATCCAGCTCTCTGCTCTAGTCTGGGAAAGCAGTGGAAGAAGGCCCAAGTCCTTGAGCCGCTGCACCCGCATAGGAAGACCGGGAGAAAGCTCCTGGCTTCAGGCTTCACATTGGCACAGCTCCCTCCATTGCAGTCATCTGGGAAGTGAACCAGCGAATGGGAGACCTCTCTGTCTCTCTCTCTCTGCCTCTCCTCTCTCTGTATAACTCTGACTTTCAAATAAATAAATAAATCTTTTCTTTAAAAAAAAGTTTTAATCATGAGATTTATCATAACACAGTTTTAGCAATATAGTTGTCACCCCAAAAAATAGAATGTTCTTCGAAGGGTTCTATCTACTATATTGGCTTATTTCTGGCCTGATAGGAGTTTTGTTTTTTGTTTTTTTGTTTTTTTAAGTGGGAATTATACGTCACTTTGATTTGAAATACTTCAAATTGTGTGTCCAATGTGCTCTCTTCCAGGGTTTCCTGAGGCTCAGGCTTTAGGACTGCAGGTGTTCCACGCAGGCACTGCTCTCAGAGAGGGCAAAGTAGTGACCAGCGGAGGTAGAGTCCTTACTGTGACAGCCGTCCAGGAAAATCTCATGTCGGCCCTTGAGGAAGCCAAGAAAGGACTAGCTGCTCTCCAGTTCGAGGGCGCCGTTTATAGGACGGACATTGGCTCTCGTGCCCTAGCTTTCCTCCGGCAACCCAGGTAAAGTTCTCCTCCTGAGGTGCTTATGGCACGTCCTCAGAACTGGCAGCCTCTTGGAAAATGGCGTTAACCCTACACTAAGTCATTCTGCAGTCTTCTTTATGAGACCGATTTTATGTTGGTTGTATTTCATTTGAATCAAAACTGTTGATAGCAATACTGAAACTTCATGATAGCTACTTATGTTTGAAAGGTTTAGCAAACTCAGTACTGTAAGGATTTCTGTTCTTTGAATTATCACATAGTTAAATATTGTGGTATTTGAATCAAATTCCTGGTTTTTTTAAAGAACTCAACATGAGCATATTTGTCATCTACCTTTGTAACTTAATTTGATTATACTGTAAGTTTTGCAGTCTCATTTTGTCACTGCATTTAATTCTGTTACTGAAATGTATTTTTAACCCCTTATTGGTTTATTTACTGACATGTACCAACTGTTCCCTCATAAAATCAATAAAATACTGATTGCAAATGTGAGTGTTTTTATTCTTCAACATGCATCATATTTACTGTTATTCATTAAGCTAATCTATTGGTAATGAATATATTTTAGGACAAAATGAGAAATTTTTAGTAACTTAATTTAAGCTATACTGTTTCCAGGAAGTTAATTTTTATAACACTGAAATTTTTGTAGTCAAAAACAGGAAAATAACATGGTAAATTTATTTTTCATTTAACAATTACAAAATTCCATTGAAATAACCTTCTCCAGCGGACTGCAGTGTTTAGTGTGAGTTTGCTATGTTTAAGAAGAAGAAAATGAGATGCCACAGTAAAGACTGTTTCCTACCTGAAAGTAGCCCTGAGCCGCTGACTTCGCATTAACTGCCAGCACTCTCAACTCTAATTGTACTCTGGCTGCTCCTTTCAATAAGACTTCACATATTTCTTCACGTCTCACTGCATCAGTAAACCAAAGTCCACACTTTTGCCACACAGGACTAGAGTTCACAAGCTTCACCTCTGATGTGGTAGCCCTATCTAGAAGGAGATGATGCAGAGTATCATTACCTGGTGTTGCTTTTTTTCCTTGTTTGATCTTCTTACTGTTCTCAGCTGTAAAGAATGATAAAGTTCTAAATTATTACAATAAGAGCTAAATTTAATTATTTAGGGATATTCTTGTAGATTTGTTTTTAAACCTAATTTCCACTTTTCAGACTGTTTTGACATTAAATTAAAAGTGTAATGTGTTTGCTAGAGGCTGTGGGGAGGGAGGAACGGGGAGTTACTGTTTAACGAGTAGTTTCAGTTTTGCAAGATGAAAAGTTATGGAAATGAATGGTGCTGATAGTTACATGACAAATACTACTGAATTATACACCTAAAATTAGGATGGCACTTTTTTTAAGGTATTTTCCACAATATAAAAAATGAATTTTAAAAATGACAGTGTACTTGCATTTAGCAGTCTGCCGTGAGTACTCTGGAAGAGAAAGGGGGTTAAGTGAGAGGAGTGGCAGTCTGTGATGGTGCAGTGGATCTGCCTGGAGAGCTGTTGATCAGCGTTTGCATTCCCGGGACTTCCTGCACCAGTGCAGGCAGAATCTGCATGGGGCCAAGGCACAGACTTTCACTTTAAAACTTTTTAGTACTTCAGGGGATGTGGAAATTACGTAAGATATCTTTTGCTTTGAATAATAGTTTAAGATGAAAGTAATTTCCCTGGCATTGACACGAACTCTTAGTTGTTGTTTTTAATTCTTTAGAGGCCTGACTTACAAGGACTCGGGGGTTGACATTGCAGCTGGAAATATGCTGGTCAAAAAAATTCAGCCTTTAGCAAAAGCCACATCTCGACCAGGTAAAACAGATCCTGTACTCAGCTCACTTGTTGACTTTGACAGACTTAGTATGTTCAATTTGGACTTTATATTTAAATGAAGAAAATTTTCCAAATTAGTGGCAGGTTACTCTAAGTATTGCTGTAATTAAGCCAAGCTTATAGTCTTCCTTTTTTCTTTTTCCTTTTTTTTCTTTTTTTTTTTTTTTCATTTGTATTTAAAGGCAGAGAGAAGGAGATGTATTCAATCTACTGGTTCACTCCCTAAATGCCTACAACAGACAGGCTAGGTCTGCCCAAAGCCAGTAACCATGCTCAGTCGAGCCTCATGTGGGTTGTGGGGACTCAAGTACTTGAACCATTATCTGTTGCCTGCTGGATCTAAAGCGGAGTAGCTGGGACTCAGACCAGGCGTTCCCATGTGGAATGCAGGCATCCCAGGCAGCCACTTAATTGCTGCACAGAACATCTGCCCTGGTAGATGCTTTCTGGTCTCGAAGAGAGGAAAGCATCTTTTTAAGGTTTTCCTATTTATCTTCATCTATTTGAAAGGCAGGGTGAGAGAGAGAAAGATCATCTATCCACTCCTCAAACACTGGGCTTGGCCAGGCCAAAGCCAAAAGCCTAGAACTCCACCAGGATCTGCCACATGGTGCCAGGGCCCTAAGTACTTGAGCCATCATTACTGCCTCCCAAAGTATGCATTGGTAGGAAGCTGCATCAGAAACAGTAGCCAGGGCTTGAACAGCCTCTGATGTGGGAAACAGGCACATAAGTGGTGGCTGAACTCCATGAACCACATCCCATAAGGCATTTCTTACCTACAATGTTATTTGCTGTCTCCTGTTCTCAGAATACGCATCTTTTTATTTGGCCATTCATATGAAGGGGTGGTGTATGTATTCATGTTTAATCTGTTGAAATGTAGCAAGTAATTAATTTTCTCTCCAACAGGCTGTGATGTTGATCTTGGAGATTTTGCTGGTCTTTTTGATTTGAAAGCAGCTGGCTTCAAAGATCCTCTTCTGGCCTCTGGAACAGATGGCGTTGGAACAAAACTGAAGGTGATCAGACACCTTGTGAATCAGACACCTTTTGTGAAAAATAATGGGATTAACTCTACTACTGAATATCGATTTTCCCTCTCAATTATATGAGCTAAAAAGCATTATACCAAACAGCCAGATAATATGGTTCAAATGTCTGCACATTTCTAACAACAAAATATTGTTCAGGGTGAAAGGTTATTTTAGGGGGTAAAAGGGATAGTTTTGGGCCAGGTCGCTTATCATAATTTTGTGTTCTTTTGTCCTTTGATAGTAAGAGCAGCTAGATACTGCGATTTGTTAGTCTCCCTTGATAAATTGGTTAAAGATATATGAGGTTACGTCAACAAGTTCGTGGAAAAAGTGTGTTAAAAGATGAGTTTATTCTTTTGCAAAATAATTTTTAAATCCATGCATAGTTTCTTCACAACAGTCATTTTCCATAAACTTTTTCATGTACCCTTATAGCTTGGACTTACTCTCTCATGTGGGTCTTTATTTTGTTCTTGTGCAGATTGCTCAGCTGTGCAATAAACATGATACCATTGGTCAAGATTTGGTTGCAATGTGCGTGAATGACATTCTGGCACAAGGAGCAGAGCCCCTCTTCTTCCTCGATTACTTCTCCTGTGGGAAACTTGACCTCAGCACAGCCGAAGCCGTTGTTGCTGGCATCGCGAAAGCTTGTGGACAGGCTGGATGTGCTCTGCTTGGTATGGTCATCCACTGGAATCCCAGTCTTCTCACTGTGTTGTAGCCCTGTGTATAACTGTGATCAGCACCTAGCAGGAGAGACTGTATGTCACAAGATGTGGCAAATAAGATACATATTAATCTTAGACCCTGGGGCCCTCCAACCCCTACTCAAGGGTTTGTCTCTCAGACCCGTAACCCTAAACTGTCTCCTTGATCTTTGCCCATCTTTCTACCCCTGTCTTTCTCAGTAACCTCACCTCCTCCACAGTAAGGCCTAGGGGCTCTTTCCTTGTCGCTGTCCCTGCAGCAGAGGCAGATGGGTTCCTGTCATCTTCACTTAAGACACATTTTCCCACAGAAGTGACATAAAGAATTAAGTATACCCAGGTTTTATAGAAATATTGCTTAGTTATCCCTCACCTCAAAGAAATGGTATATCTGAGGTAAAAGATGCGCCAATTAGCCCTGCTAGGATCATTGCATATTTTGTGTGTATATTGGAATGTCACAGTGGGGGCAGGCATTTAGCACAGTGGTTAAGACACCTGCCTATTGGAGTGCTTGGGTCCACTCCCCGGCTCCTGATTCCAGCTTCCTGCTGATTTTTTTAACAATCCATGGAGGCAAAATGTGACGTTGGTTTGGTGAAGAAATAGAAAGTGTGCAATCTTCTTTAAAAAAGAAAAGGAAAATATTACTAAGCTATATATGAAATTGAGCACAATGAATTTGTAGTTTTGCCAAGTAACAAAGTTATCTCCTTTAGTATTATCATTTCTGTGAATAAGTCTGTCCTAGAAGCCAAAAAGCTCCCTCCAGTTATCTCTTGGTTTCTACTTTGGAGTTTACCTATTTCTACCTTATACCTTTTTTTTTTTTTTTTTTTTAAGATTTATTTTATTTATTTGAAAGGCAGTTACAGAGAGAGAAAGGAAGAACAGAGAGAGAGAGCTTCCATCCACTGGTTCACTCCCCAAATGGCCACAGTGGTTGAAGCTGGGCCAGGGTGAAGCTAGGAGCCAGAGGCTTCTTCTGGATCTCCCACAAGCATACAGGGGCCCCAGCACTTGGGCCATCCTCTGCTGACTTCCCAGGCACGTTAGCCTGGAGCTGGATCAGAAATGGAGCAGCCAGGACTCAAACTGGTAACCATACGGTATGCAGGTGCTCTAGACCGGGGCTTTAACCCACTGTACTGCAGCGCTGCCTCTCTAGTAACTTTATATGATATGACCAGAAAGGTGTACTATGCTAAAGTTTTAAGCCAAGGCATTTGGAGTTGAGCAGTCTGGTTAAATCACTTCTCTAAGCCTGTGCCACCCCCTGGAATATGGAGTGATTATAAAGATCGAATATTTATGACACTGTTTCTGAAACTAAACTGCTACATAGGGTTTTTTTATTTCTTTATTTATTTTAAGGCATAAACATTTCATAAGTACAACTTTAGGAATATAGTTGTTCTTCCCACCATACCCGCCCTCCCACCCTTTGTCCTCCTCCCTCTCCCCTTCCCAACCCCATTCTCCATTAAGATTCATTTTCAGTTAACTTTGTACACAGAAGACCAACCCTATGCTAAGTAAAGATTACACCAATTTGCATACACATGCACACACAAAAAAATGTTTGAGAACAAGTTTTACAGTTAACTCTCTGTGGTTTTTTTAAGATTTTATTTATTTATTTAAGAGAGAGAGAGTTACAGACAGTGAGAGGAGGGGGGAGACAGAGAAAAGGTCTTCCTTCTGCTGGTGCACTCCCCAGATGGCATCCATGGCCGGAGCTACGCTGATCCAAAGCCAGGAGCCAGGAGCTTTTTCCAGGTCTCCCACGTGGGTGCAGGGACCCAAGCACTTAGGCCATCCCCCAGTGCTTTCCCAGGCCATAGCAAGGAGCTGGATTGGAAGAGTAGCAGCTGGGATTAGAACCAGCGCCCATATGGGATGCCAGCGCTTCAGGCCAGGGCTTTAACCCGCTGCGCCACAGCGCCAGCCCCTACAGTTAACTCTCATAATACAACTTATTGAGGACAGAGGTCCTACCTGGGGAGTTAGTGCACAGTGACCTCTGTTGTTAATTTAAGAATTAACACTCTTATATATGATGTTAGTGACCACTTACGGCTCTTGACATGAGCTGCTTAGGATATGGAAGCCTTTTGAATCCACAAACTTCATCAGTATTTAGACAAGGCTGTAAGTAAAGTGGAAGTTCTCTCCTCCCGTTAGAGAAAAGTGCATCCTTTGATGGCCACTTTCAGAAGGGGTTTTATATTCAACTGAGCATTCAGCCTGTGAAAGTAGTGATGTTTGGAGGCTGCATATGTACTTGTTAGAGGTATTACCTCATCTCACACTTTGTGGAAATTAGTGCTATTTTCCTGGAAATTGTGCTTGGTTGAAAGGCCTGTTAGGCAGAAAATAGAGAATGGGATATAGCCTCATGTTAAGGGTGGCTGGTGTCACTGTTTCCTATGAAGATTTATAAATATTATATGACTTCTTTGTCCTTGTGTTACTCTGCCAGGAGGTGAAACAGCAGAAATGCCTGACATGTATCCTCCTGGAGAGTACGACCTTGCTGGTTTTGCCGTCGGCGCCATGGAACGAGATCAGAAACTCCCTCACCTAGAAAGAATCACCGAAGGGGATGTTGTTATTGGAATAGCTTCATCTGGTCTACACAGCAATGGATTTAGCCTTGTGAGGAAAATTGTAGCCCAGTCTTCACTTCAGTACTCCTCTCCAGCACCTGATGGTTGTGGTGACCAGACCTTAGGTAAATTCCCTCATGTTCGAACTGTGCTGCTTGGAAATACCTGAACCCACTTAGTAGGTTTAGTCTCTCCTTACCCGAAGCTAGAATGGGAGGCTGTGTGTTACCCTGTGGTTTGAGTTCTTGGACGCTGTAGTACAGCTGGTGTGTCTACAGCATCACACTCACTCTCCATTTCAGAATTGTTTTATATTTGGTTTTATATTCATGAGCCATGTTTTTATCTTATCTCTTCAACGTACAGGGGACCTACTTCTGACTCCAACAAGAATCTACAGCCATTTGCTGCTGCCTGTCCTACGGTCAGGTCATGTCAAGGCTTTTGCCCACATTACCGGTGGAGGATTGCTGGAAAACATCCCCAGAGTCCTCCCTCCGAAGTGTGGTGTGGATCTAGGTAAGGTCTTGAAAAGGAGCTTTTATTCAAAAACTGTTGAGGAAAAAAAAATGCCCTGTGGGAGAAAACTCTGTGGGTAGTTAGCACACATAGAATTAATTATACATAGGAAATTCTTTAAAAAAAAAAAAAAAAAAGAATCATGTATTTATTTGAAAGAATTACAGAGAGAGAGTTTTCGTCTGCTGGTTTACTCCCCAGATGGCTGAAATCAGGAGCAAGAGCTTCTGAGTCTCCCACATGAGTGAAGGGCCCACAGACTTGAGCCATCTTCCACCGCATTCTCAGGCACATTAGCAGGGACTGGATAAGTGGAGCAGCGTCCATCTGGGATGCCAGCTCTGCAGATGGTGGCTTTACCCACCTCTGCAGATGGTGGCTTTACCCACTGCACCACAGTCCTGACCCTACCACTTTGCTTTATTATCCACATTTGTAAGGCAGAAAATCTTCCTATGCGATTGGCTAATGTAAAAATGCAGTGCTCTGCAGTGAGCATCTCATATCAGAGCACTGGTTCAAGTCTTGACTGCTCTATTTCTGATCCGGCTCCTTGCTAATCTGCCTGTGAAGGCTGCCAAAGATGTCCCAAGTATTTGAGTCTCTGCCACCCATATGGTATACCAGGATGGAGTTCCTGGCTCCTGGCTTCAGCCTGGCTTATCCCTGGCTAATGTGGGCATTTGGGGCGTGAACCAGCAAACGGAAGATGTCTCCCCCTCTCACTTTCTCTCCCTCTCTCTTTGACATTCTGCCTTTCAAGTAAATAATTCTTGAAAAAATTAAAATCAGTGCTCTGTGCAGATCTTCAAAGAGTGTTGGTAACTTCAAGTTCTATCATGAACCCTCATGCCGTAAAGCTATTAAGTAGTTCACGTAGGAAATCAGAGGACCTGAAGCATGACAGAAAAAGAAAATAGATTTGAGAATCATTTCATGCTTAGAAGGGAAAAGAAGTCCTGCGTTGCTAGTTAAATAGGGGAGTGGATGGTAACGTCATTAATTGAGGGGAAAGAGTAGGTTTGGAGTAGAAAGTGAGCATACGATTGTTTACATCTTCAGTGTTTATGAGCAGAAATGAAAAGCAGACTGCAAGTAAGTTGGGTGGTCATGTGCACATAGTAATAGTTGTAGCCAAGAGAGGGGAGGGGCCAGAAGGTCATCCCACAGTCAGAAGCAGGGGATGAAGCATGTCAGCGTACCATCGTCACGCCCAGTGAAGGGATTCGGATGGGGCACTGCTCAGCAGCACAGAGGTCTAGGAGGACCAGAAACTGGCCGATGTGTACTGCAGAGTTTCCCGGAAAGCAGCCTACTGGAGAGAGACCACCAACCGATTCTTGTGTGGAAATGGGTGACAGATGTAGAGACTGAGCAGAGATGCCTATTCCAGGACATTTACTGGTGAAAGGGAAAGTAGAAAAATTTAGCCATGTGACAGAGTGAAGGACAGGGTTTTTTCTCTCTGCTTTTTAGGATAGAGACGCAGTCAGAGGAACTGTTCTACCCATCATAGTCAACTAATAAGAATTGACTTGAGGGAATAGAAACCGAGGAAGATCACATACATAATTTCCCAGTGGAGTGGGCATCGTGGCGCAGCAAGTTAAGCTGCCACTTAGGATTCCCACAACCCATATTGGAGTGCTGGTTCCAGTCCAGGCTACTACTAGTCCAATCCTCCCTGCCACCCACGTGGGAGACCTGGGTGGAGTTCCTGGCTTCAGCCTGACCCAGTCCAGGCTCTTGTAGACATGAGGGGAGTGAAGAAGTGGACAGAATCTCTCTATCTTTCTGTCTTTCATTCTCTCTAACTTTTGGAAAAAAATCATGAAAAATTAGGGAAGTATGCATTTAGCATAGCAGGAAAGGTGCTAGTTAATATACCACATCCCATGTTAGAGTGCTGAGTTCTATGCCAAGCTCTGTCTTCTGATTCCAGCCTCTTGCTAATGCAGACCCTGGAAGGCAGCAACGATGGCTCAAGTAATTGGGCTTCTGCCACTTATGTGGGGGTTTCCAGCTTCAGCCTGCTCCAGCTGTGAGCATTGCAGATATTTGGGGAGAAACTGGCCATGAGAGTTGGCTCACTCCCTCGCTATCTGTCTGTCTTTCTCTCTTGCCTCTCAAAGATGTTTTAAGTAAATTTTTAAATATAAATCAGAGGTATACACAGCATGTTGAACTTAAACCTTTTCTGAAGCATGACTTTTCTTGAATTGTGTATGTATCTCCTCTAAGCCACCTAGTTTTACATCATACAGAGTATATTTTGGTCATCACCAAGACCCAGCTAACCATTCACGGAAAGGTGGTAAACCATCCTTTACTGAAGGTCACACATCTAATCCATCAGGGGACTTCTGAGGGTCTAGTTAGTTCACATAGCAGAAAACCTCACTCAGTTGTGAATACTGAGCCTGTCAACAAACAAGGTTCTTAATTTCTAAGATAACAAATGTATACCTCCCAAGACCTGTGCTGTAGCATAGATTAAGTAAGCCTCTGCCTGCATTGCCAGCATCCCATACTGGCGCAAGTTTGAGTCCCAGCTGCTCCACTTCCAATCTGGCTCTCTACTAATGTGCTAGGGAAAGCAGTAGAGATTGCCCGAGTCCTTGGGCCTCTGCCATGAATGTGGGAGACCTGGAAGAAGCTCTGGCTCCTGGATTCGGCCTGGCCCAGCCCTGGCCATTGTAGTCATTTGGGGAATGAACCAGTGGATAGCAGATTCTCTCTCTCTCTCTCTCTCTCTTTCTCTTTCTCTATCTCTATCTCTATCTCTATCTATCTCTGCCTTTCAAATAAATAAATAAATATTTTAAACAAAAAAAGTATTCTTCCCACCAAAAAGAGAAGTTCTGAAAGGCCAGTTATACTTTAGTCCTATGTGAAACAGCAAAGCCTGATTGTAATTTCTGTGTCTCCATATGTGTGTAACTTTGTACTTTTGTAGGAGCCAAGAAGCTAATCAGACAATTCTTGCTTGTTGCAGATGCCCGGACCTGGAGGATCCCTAGGATCTTCTCATGGTTACAGCAGGAAGGGCAGCTCTCTGAAGAAGAGATGGCCAGAACATTTAACTGTGGGGTTGGGGCTGCCCTCGTGGTATCAAAGGATCAGACAGAGCGGATTCTGAGGGACATTCGGCAGCACCAGGAAGAAGCCTGGGTGATTGGCAGTGTGGTCGCTTGTCCTGAAGGTAGTCATTCTTTGTTTTTATATGTCTAATCTTCAGTGTAACTGAACCCCACCTCATGGACACTCTGCCCACCTATTATTCCAGCCATTGTCGTTGTTAACCCCTGTAACATGACAGAACGTACCCCGTTTAGAGCACATTTCTCTTTCTGCCTCAGAGCTCTGACACCTCTGTCTAGTGCACACCTACACCCCACAGGGTCACTTCCTAAAGTGATCCCCCTGTTTGCAAGACCTCACGGCTCCACTTTCTGGTGCAGCCCAGTTCAGGGAGTAGTGAATGAGCATCCGGGTAAGCCCTGGGTATTAGTTAGGCCTCTGCTAGAAATGCTGGAAGTTGGCAGTGGCAGATCAGCTTAATTAAAAATGTCAGAGCTTGTTTTATTTGCCTGCATTTGTCTTTATTTCTTCTGTTGTGTAGCCTTCAGGCAGGTCCTCCAAAGACCAGAAGGATAACGCCCTTCAGCTCCCCTTATAACCAGAAACCACCTGTTTCTTACCATCCTGAATCGTGTCTTTGAGTGACCCTCCTGGAACACTAGCCTAGCCCCGTGCCAGGAGGTTGTGACACTTGTGGATAGTCTCACTGGGAGGATTAATCAGGGATTAGGGACAGATGCTGGCAGGCAGTGACAGCCTCGTAAGCTTCTGACAAGCTGTTCTGTAGCTCTCGGTTGAAGCAGGTGACTGCATGCGTTCACCTTCATCTTTGTGAATGAGTAATGTTAAGTGATAAACCTGTTAATTTAGTCCTTGCCTATCTTATTTTCAGAACAAAATACAGTATTGCAAGGTTTTCATAAAGCATTTTTCTTTCTGTTATCCTTATAATTCACAATTGTTCTTCATGAAATGAAGGTTCCCCTCGTGTGAAAGTCAACAATCTGGCTGAAGCCATGCAAATGAATGGCTCAGTAATGGAAAACAGCTCCCTGAAAAATCATTGCTCCGTCCAACCCACCAAGGCCAGAGTGGCTGTCTTAATATCCGGAACAGGTGAGATGTGGCTTTCTCTTCACTGTGAAGCTGTAAGTGCTCTCCTCTTCCTCCTGCCTCTCCTCCAAGAGAAGGACACGAGTACTCAGGTTGTCAAGATTCTCTCTGAGCAGGGGATCCTCGCATCCCTCGCCTTTCCAGCCTTCCCGTGAATGTAACCCCACTCCCAAAGAAAAAAAAAGCAGAGACGCATGGTTAAAGAGAAACCGGAAGAGACAGAAAGGGCAGAAAGCCCAGTCTCTTTTGTGTGATAACTTTGTAGGAAGGTCTTAAGACAGTTGCAGCTTTTTAACTGTTACTAGTTTTAAGAATAAAAATTTACGTTTGACCTTTGTAACAGGAGTACAGTAATCAGAGGATTGTATTTTCCCAGATGGATGTAGCATTTTCCCATCTATTGTAAACAGCATCGCTGTGAATGTTATTATAAGTACACAGTATGTATTTTTTAAGTGTGTATCTGATTATTTCTTTAGTTTATATACCCAGAGGTGAAATCATTTTGCAAATTGACTTTAAGGTTTCAATATATTTTAGGCTCAAGTCGATGGTAAGCAAAGAAAGTATTATAAGGATTTATTCTTCCTGAGAAGGTCAATTTTCTTTCCTTAATTAAGCAGCTTATTCCTCATCAGTCAGTGTTAAAATCATGTTATGGTGTTTCTACTGCAATGCTGGATTGTAAGATGTTATTTGCAGGAGCAGTTGTATCTCCTAGAGCCAGGAATACCTGTGTTTTTCACAGCCTATTAATTCATTATCCCAGAGGAAGGGAGTTTAAGAGCCTTCTAAATGTTACCAGTCTTTCCCAAGACATTGATTCAGAAAGTTTGATCTTCCTATGTTCAGAATAGCATCTGTCTCTTTTTAAGAAGTGTGAGCTCATTTGTGTCTTTCTTCATTTTCAGGTTCAAATCTCCAGGCACTCATAGACAGTACTCAGGATCCAAATAGCTCCTCACACATTGTTGTTGTCATTTCCAATAAAGCTGCGGTGGCGGGCTTAGAGAAAGCAGAAAGAGCTGGTATTCCCACCAGAGTAAGTTCCTTGGGCAAAGTTCTTTCCATGGGCTGTGATTAAGCTCTTCATGTACTCTCACAGGCCCCAGATCTGTGGTGTACTTTCTTGGACTTCTGCATTTTAGGGAATGCTAGGCTTGCCTCTAGTTCATTATTTCTTTCTTACTCATCTCTCTCTGTCAGGCATGCCTTCATAGGAAAGTGAAGTGTGAGTTATGTAAAGGTTGAGTTTTAGCCTATTTTGCTAATCTGTTGAAAAGTTGTGCTTTTCTTTATTACAGGTAATTAATCATAAATTATATAAAAATCGTGTAGAATTTGACAATGCAGTTGACCAAGTCCTTGAAGAGTTCTCCACAGACATAGTCTGTCTTGCAGGATTCATGAGAATTCTCTCTGGTCCCTTTGTTAGAAAATGGAATGGTAAGCAAAAATTATTTGATACCACATTGAGTAGTCAACTGAAAATGGATTCCAGAATGGTTAACTTGACAGCCAGTCTCAGTAGTGAAATATTTACTATGATATTTTACTTTAACATAGGCCATAACTTAATTTCCTTTTCATTACCTAAAAGAGTAGCCCAATGATGATTTATTAATCTGCTGTCTTCTAATTATCTTTAACTTGCTGTAATTCCTCACTGTTTCTAATAGAGCTTAACTTTGTTCACATTATTGCAAAGATAATATTTCATCTTCTGAGTAAATGTTTGGAAACTCCTCTTATGCTTGCATGGAAGCAAGAGAAAGTGACTTCCTATATCCCAAAATGAGGAGTCCATCCCCCTCCGTAGAAAGCAGAGACTGTTGCCAGAGAGGGCAAGGAAAGCATTGTTGACAAAAAACACATGCTATGTTGTGTTACTACTTTGTCCCCCAAAAGCTTTAGTTGCATTGTTTTCCCTTTTTTGCACATATTTGGGCAATAAATGCATTTCCTTCCAAAGAATTTTTATTTTCTTGGTTGACCATAAAGCACTTGTGCCTTTGGTGACACAGGCACGAAGAACTAACTAATCTAGCATCTGATTGGTGAACACATCACTTTATGATTAGAAGTCAAGAACATAGGGACCAGTGTTGTGAAACAAGTGAAGCCACCGCTTACAATGCCAACAGTCCATTATCAGTGTTCTGGTTCAAGTCCCAGCTACTTGAATTCCAATCCCGCTTCCTCCTAACGTACATGGGAAGGCAGCAGAATATGGCCCCAAAGAGTTGAGCACCTGCCACCCTTATGGGAGACCATGATCATTGGAGTTCTTGGCTTCAGTCTGACTTAGACCTGACTGTTAAAAGCAGAAGTCAAACACATAAACACATTGCAAATGCCAGCAACACTGAATTTTCTTGATGAGCCCTACCATTCAGCTTAGACCCCTCCATCTTCCCATCACTGTGGACACCTCTTTACCATGCCTTTGGTTGTGCAAGGCAAGTACTTGCTGGTGCTCGGGCCTCCTGGATAGGAACTAGATATATTTTTTTTTCCAAAATGTATTTATTTATTTGAAAGTCAGAGTTACACAGAGAAGGAGAGGCAGAGAGAGAGAGAGGTCTTCCATCTGCTGGTTCACTCCCCAATTGGCCACAGCAGCCGGAGCTGTGCCGATCTGGAGCCAGGAGCCTCCTCCAGATCTCCCACGTAGGTGCAGAGGCCCAAGGACTTGGACCATCTTCTACTGCTTTCCCAGGCCATAGCAGAGAGCTGGACTGGAAATGGATCAGCCGGGATGCGAACTGGTGCCCATATGGGATGCCAGCACTGCAGGTGGTGACTTTACCTGCTACGCCACAGCGCCGGCCCCTGGAACTATATTTCCCTTTACCTCATTTTTGTGTTTGGCAAAGAAAACATCCATCCCAGAAATCCAGCTTCAGTTTTTCTTCTGATTCTGGACAGGAAAATATATATTATCATGGAATGTTTAAAATTCTGATCACTCGGCTGGTGCCACAGTTCACTAGGCTAATCCTCCGCCTCCGGCGCTGGCACCCTGGGTTCTAGTCCCGGTTGGGACACCGGTTCTGTCCCAGTTACTCCTCTTCCAGGCCAGCTCTCTGCTGTGGCCCGGGAAGGCAGTGGAGGATGGCCCAAGTGCTTGGGCCCTGCACCTGCATGGGAGACCAGGAGGAAGCACCTGGCTCCTGGCTTCGGATCAGCACAGCGCACTGGCCATAGTGGCCATTTGGGGGGTGAACCAATGGAAGGAAGACCTTTCTCTCTGTCTCTCTCTCTCACTGTCTAACTCTGCCTGTCAAAAATAAATAAATTCTGATCACTGTGCTTTTTGATTTCTAGGGAAAATGCTCAACATCCACCCATCCTTACTCCCTTCTTTCAAGGGTGCGAATGCCCACGAGCAGGCTCTGGAAGCTGGAGTCACAGTCACCGGCTGCACCGTGCACTTCGTATCGGTAAGTTGTCTGTCTTACCAAAGTAGTAGCAGTGGCTGGATGCAAGTGCACTGGCTAGAAGGTGATATTCAACATCTCTGCTTCCTTTTCCAGGAAGATGTAGACGCCGGACAAATTATTTTACAAGAAGCTGTTCCCGTGAAAAGGGGTGACACTGTTGCAACTCTGTCTGAAAGAGTAAAATTAGCAGAACATAAAGTATTTCCTGTAGCCCTCCACCTGGTGGCCTGTGGAGCTGTGCGGCTTGGAGAAAATGGCAAGATCTGTTGGGTTAAAGAGGAATAAAGCCTAATTCCAGAGTGGAGCTGTTTTGAAAGAATTGTGACTATTTGCTTGGTAGTGGTTTGTTGTTTTGTTTTGTTTTGTTTTATTGTGGACTTGGCCCAAAAGGCTACTAATGTGCCTGGGAAAGCAGTGGAATGGCCCAGATACTTGGCTCCTGGCTTCGGCCTACACCAGCCCTAGCTGTTGCAGCCATTTGGGGAGTGAACTAGCAGATGGAACATCTCTCTTTGTCCCTCCCTATCCTTCTCTCTGCTACTCTGCCTTTCAAATAAATATTTTTTTAAAAAAAAAGATCTCACCCTTACCCCCTTGGCCATTTTTTTAATAAATACATTTATTAAAAACAAGACTAGTGCAGCAAATCTAAGACTACAAATATCATCTGTGATGGTTCGTATTTTACCTTTCTTATTCACAATCCACCATCAAGCTGGTCATTCAGAATTCCCTTCACTAAAGCCAAAGAAGATACTAACACTTAGAGTCTTGTCTTCCTTTTCTGACCAATACAACCTCAATTTTTAAGTCATGTATTCTCTAATTGTTAATTCTTATGCTTTTGAAGCCATGGCTGCTGAATGTGCCTGAGTCAAAAGGTGCAAGAAATGATGAGGAGATGCCCAACTCTGTCACCTGTGCCACTCCTGTTCTTGCTGCTCAGCTGGGGCCAGCGCTGTGGCATAGTGGGTAAAGCCGCCGCCTGCAGTGCCAGCATCCCATATGGGCACCAGTTCAAGTCCCGGCTTCTCCACTTCCGATCCAGCTCTCTGCCATGGACTGGGAAGGCAGTAGAAGTTGGCCCAAGGACTTGGGCCCTGCACCCACGTGGGAGACCTGGAAGAAGTTCCTGGCTTCAGATCGGCACAGCTCCCACTGTTGCAGCCATCTGGGGAGTGAACCAGGGGATGGAAGTCCTGTCCCTGCCTCTCTGTAGCTCTCCCTTTCAAATAAATAAAATTTTAAAAAACTATTATAATTGATTATTCAACAAAGCTTGGGCAGAAATCAAGAATGCTGATAATTGGAATACTGAAGTGTGGAGGGTGCTGTTGGGGAGGGACGGGGCACTAGGGCACTCACCAGGTGGGTAAAGAGGGGTAATGGAACTGTGTCTATTTCCCTGTCATGCCAGTTTTCCATCTGGAACGAGGAGGTCAAGGCCTATAGCACCACATTTCTTATGAGCAGGGCACAGCCCTTGTACACAGCTGAGCGGCCACAGTGGTGTGACAGCCCTGCCTGAGCTTTAGTGCACTTCAGTGGTTGCAGACCTAGAAGCCATGTTCAAATCTCCCTTCTAGTGAATTCTAAACATAACAGCAAGGGACTCTTAGAGTCACTATTTTCATTGCAAATAATAAACTCTAGCCTTAAAAGTAGTGAGTCGAGGGGCCAACATTGTGGCATAGCGGGTGAAGCCACCATCTGTAGTACCACCATCCTATGTTCACTAGTTGGTGTCCTGGCAGCTCCACTTAAGATCCAGCTTCCTGCAGATGGCCTGGGAAAAGCAGTGGAAGATGGCCCAAGTGTTTGGGCCCCTGCTACCCATGTGGGAGACCCAGATGAAGCTCCTGGCTCCTGGCTTTGGCCTGGCCTAGCCCTGGTCAATGCAGCCATCTAGGAAGTGAGCCAGCAGATGGAGGATCTCTCTAACTCCTTCAAATGAGTAAATCTGTTAAAAACAAACAAACAAAAAACACGCAAAGGAGTGTGCAGGGCTCCCCAGACCACAGAGACCTGCTCTGCCAATAGAACTCCTCACTGCCTCCATACAAGCTGGGACCTTCCTCCTGTAGTGCACTTCCACCCACCATCAAGTGGGAAGTCCAGATTCTCTTACAACAGTGGACTTGAGGTGGTGCAGCAAGTTTGCAACACCAATCTTCTAAGTGAGCACCAGTTTGAGTTCCAGCTGCTCCACTCCCAATCCAGCTCCCGCTACTGTGACTAGGAAAGCAACGGATGATGGCCTAAGTGCTCGGGCCCCTGCACTCATGTGGGAGACCAGAATGGAGTTTCTGGCTCCTGGGTTCCACCTGGGCCAGCCTTGGCCATTACAGATGAAAGTCTCTTTCTCCTTCTCTTCCTCTCTCTAACTCTGCCTTTCAAATAATAAATAGATTTGTAAAAAATAAAATAAAATAAAAAGAGAGAAAAGAAAAGAATGAGTGACGGATCTTCCATTTTTCCATCCTTCCATCCAGCTTCACTCCCCAAATGGCTGCAGCAGCAGGCTGAAGCCAGGAACCAGGGACTTCCTCAAGGTCTCCCGTGTGTTTTGCAGGAACTCAGGTACTGGAGCCGTTATCTGCTGCTTCGTAGATGCATTAAGCAGGAAACTGGGTCAGAAGTGGAGTAGCTGGGACTCAAACCAAATACTCAGATATGGGTTGTGGGCATCCCAGGGGGTGGCTTAACTCCCTATGCCACAACTCCCATCCCCGTAATATCTTAATTCCATTTTTCCAGACTTTTTGATGTAACCTCATATATATCTTGGGATGTGAGGAATCAAAACGTGTCAGACACTAAAAGCACTTGGAAATAGCAAGGATGACAAAGGAGTCCCTTAAAGGGGCGGTCCCTCTGTGCAGTTGGTAATGGATTAGTAGTATTTGGATTCAGTGAGTGAACAGCCACTATTTTATAACGATAAAGACAAAAGGTCATGTGAGTTATGAAAAAGGTTTTACTAAGGTTATGAGGATTTTTACCTTTCATTGTACATGTCCATGGTCCTATTTGTGTAAACAGGAGAGAAACATGATCACACTTGTGGTAGCAGTGGGGAGGCATGTATTAACCAGCTCTGTTGGTTATTTCAGTCAGAGGATTCAAGTTCCAAGATACTAAGTAAGCCAACTGTTCAAAAGGAGAAAGGTTACCATTTCGAAGATCTCATAATCTCTAAATATTCCTCAGTTTTTTAATTATGATTTTAAACATAGAATTTTACTCGAGTATGTACAATATTTTATTATAGGAAAAGGTAGTAATTAGTAACAGCTGGTCCCTCCCTCCTGGAGTTTTCTTGGCTGTTCTCACCCATGCTTTGTGTGTGTGTCCATATGTACTTTCTGTCAGCTTATAGGTTTTACTGTGATTTCACTTAAATTTGTCATAGACCTTTTTTAATATTTTATTTATTTATTTAAAGATTTATTTTATTCATTTGAAAGAGTTACAGAGAGGTAGAGACAGAGAGAAAGGTCTTCCATCCATAAGTTCACTCCCCAGTGGCCACAACTGCCGGAGCTGCACCGATCCGAAGCCAGGAGCCAGGAGCTTCTTCCAGGTCTCCCATGCAGGTGCAGGGGCCCAAGCACTTGGGCCATCTTCTACTGCTTTCCCAGGCCATTGCAGAGAGCTGAATTGGAAGAGGGACAGCTGGGACTAGAACTGGCGCCCATGTGGGATGCCGGCACTGCAGGCAGAGGATTAACCTACTTTACCCTGCCGTAGACCTTTTGAAAAAAAAAAAAAAAAGGTTTACTTATCTGTTTGTAAGTCAGAGTTACAGAGAGGCAGAGAGAGAGAGGGAGAGAGCTTCCATCCACTGGTTCACTCCCCAGATGGCCACAATGGCCAGAGCTGAGCCAATCCAAAGCCAGGAGCCGGGAGCTTCCTCTTGGTCTCTCATGTAGGTGCAGGGTCCTAAGGACTTGGGCCATCTTCTACTGCTTTCCCAGGCCATAGCAGAGAGCTGGATGAGAAGTGGAGCAGGCGGGACTTGAACCAGTGCCCATATGGGATCCCAGCATGGCAGGCGTTGCCCATAATCCACAGCGCAGCAGCACGGGCCCCACCACTACAATTTTCACAAAGTGAACAAACCTGAAGGGGTTGGGGTTGGGCACAAAGATTGAGACACCACTTGGGACACCCATAGACATCACGTATAGTGCCTGGGTTTCAGACCCCGTCGTGGCTCCTGATTCCCACTTCCTGCTGTTGTGCACCCTGGAAGGTGATGGTTCTCGAGTAGTTGGGTCCCTGCTACCCACAGTGGAGACCTGGATGAGTTCCAGGCTTTTTGGCTTCAGCCTGGCTCAGCCCCACTCTTGCAGGCATTTTGGGAGTGAATGAATGGATAGGAGATTTCTCTTTCTCTGCCTCTTCTCCCTCTCCCCCTCTCTCTGCTTCTCAAAGAAAGAGTTAAAAGAAAAAAAAAAAACTCAAAACCACCACTCAGGTAAAGAAAAGTTACCAACATTCCAGAAACTTCTAGCCATTGCTCATCTACTCACACGTGTAATAAGGGAAATCACTGTGACTTCTAATTAGTCTTGCCTATTTTCAGCTGTATGAAAATAGAATCCTGCAAGACGTACTTCTTTGTGTCTGGCTTTGTTTCTCACACTTCTGTGAGATGCATATCGTTGTAGTATTTGTAGATCACCATTCCATATATGCATATACTACACTGTATCCACTCTACTAATGCCAGTTTGGATATTTTCTGTCTAGGGCTATGATTACTGCTGCTAATAACATTCTCGTACCTGCATATTTGATGAATTTATGTTCACATTATTCACATTTCTGTCACATGTAGGAGTGGAATTGCTGAACCATCAAGTATTCCTGTGTTCAGCTTTTTTTTTTTTTTTTTTTTTTTTTTTTTAAACAGGCAGAGTGGATACTGAGAGAGAGAGACAGAGAAAGGTCTTCCTTTACTGTTGGTTTACCCTCCAATGGCCGCTGCGGCTGGCGCACCGCACTGGTCCAAAGCCAGGAGCCAGGTGCTTCTCCTGGTCTCCCATGGGGTGCAGGGCCCAAACACTTGGGCCATCCTCCACTGCACTCCCTGGCCACAGCAGAGAGCTGGTCTGGAAGAGGGGCAACCGGGACAGAATCTGGCGCCCCGACCGGGACTAGAACCTGGTGTGCCGGCGCCACAGGCGGAGGATTAGCCTAGTGAGCCACCGCCGGCCCTCCTGTGTTCAGCTTTAACAGCTACTGCCTGGGGCCAACATTGTGGCAAGCAGGTAAAACCTGACACCTTCAGAGCCGGCATCCCATATGAGCCCTGGTTGGTGTTCCGGCTGCTCTGCCTCCCATCCGGTTCTCTGCTAGAGGCCCAGGAAGAGTAGTGGAAGACGGCCCAAGTATTTGGGCCTCTGCCACTCATGTGGGAGACCTAGAAGAAGCTCCTGGCTCCTGGCTTCATCCTGACCCTGGCAGTTGTGGCCGTTGTGGCCATCTGGGGAGTGAACCAGGGGGTGGAAGATCTCTCTGTCTCTGTAACTCTGACTTTCAAAATAAATAAAAATAAATCTTAAATTAAAAAAAATATTTTGAAAAGGTAACGCCCAACTTCCTCCTGGTGTTTGGACCGGTTTACTCTCCCCACGGGTGGGATACAAGAGTAATGTTCCACAGCCTTGTCAGCACCTAGTGTTCCCCCATTGTGGTTCTGATACTAGCAGTTTGCGTGCCCCCCAAAGTCTCTTGTTCCCCAGTCTTATTTCAAAGGTTCAATGATAAACCTTAATCTAATTACCATGTGTGAAGGTGTGGCCTTAGAAGGTGATTGGATTAGACTTGGCTGGTAGGGTGGGGCCCCATGATGGAGTCACGGTGGCTTTAAAAGGAGAGGCCACACACGGCAGGTGACTAACTTGCTCCCTATCTCTGCTGCCTGGTGCACCATATAATCATGCCATTGGGCGCGTGCTGTAAGCCTTCCACCCTCATCAGGTGCCACACTAAGGGAGCCAGCAGGGCTTGGAGGATGAACGTCAGAACCATGAACTGCAATAAGCCATCATCCTTCATGAGTACTTCCTTGTCTCCGATATTTTAGTTGTACTAGCAAATAGCTTACTAACACACCCCCATTTTAGCTTTTTTGTGTGTGGCTAGTGCTATCACATTGTTGGAACTATTATTTCCAGTTGACCAATGATATTAAGCCCCTCTCAATGTTCACTTGGTCAGTTTTCAAATATATATCATCAGTACCCC